TTCTTGACATTCTGTCAACCCTACGAGACAACTTAAGTGCCATATGGGTATCGAGAATGAGGCCGTCAGACGACTAGTGTTATTGGTATTGGCAGTGGAAGTACTAGCTTTTTGGTAGAGTGCCGCTCACCGATCGTTCTTTCAGAACTCACTCGTTTCGTTGTGCCTTACGGGCTCTCTCTCAAGCCCAACCAGCAGCCGCACAGCGGCGCGTGATATAGATAGAATGTTATTACCGACAAAGACAAGGGAGACTGAAATGGCTATTTCTGGCTCATTAGCCGTCGTCAGCCAGTCATACCCAACCACGAAGTGTGGAACACCTAGGGCTCGATCGCGCGACCCATAAGGCACAAGCGGACGAGTGAGTTCCGTAAAAACGAGCGGTGAACGTTCCTCTACCATTGCATATTCCCGATCGAAACCGACAGGACAACGAGCCCGTAGCTCAGTGGTTAGAGGTGTTGGACTTCTAACTGGTCGCGAGGTCGAGTCCCAGGTATTCCACACTTGGGGATTGGGTATGACTTGCTGACAACGGCAACTAAGCCGAAAATGGTCATTCCGGTATCCGTTGCCTTTGTCGGTAATAACCTTCTGCCTATATCATGCGCCGTTGCGCGGCTGCTGATTGGGCTCGAGAAAAAGCCCATAAGGCACAATGGAACGAGTGGGTTCCGTAAAAACGATCGGTGAGCGCCCCTCTACCATTGTACATTCTCGATCGAAACCTACAGGACAACGAGCCCATAGCTCAGTGGTTAGAGGCGTTGTACTTCTAACTAACTGGTTGCGGGATCGAGCCCCAGGCGTTCCTATTTCGGGGTTGGGTATGACTGGCTGACGACGACTAATAAGCCAGAAATGGCCATTCCAGTCCCCCCCTGTCTTTGTCGGCAATAAAATTATACTGGCTTTTTCTCCACTTTGCGCAAACAGGAAAAGATGCCGACTGATAGTACTATTGGCACGCCACCTGCGAGCGTCTCTCGAACTCTGCGTTGGCTCTTTTGTCTGGAGAAGTCGACGACACCGGGCCTACGCGACGCATTTGTGCACTGTTGTCTCAGCAGACGTGGCGAGGTTCGTGGCTACCTCGTCTACGCCTGCCACCAACTGCATCTGGAGAACCTACTGGAGTTGGTCACTGATGAAAACTAGCTGACCCCATCAACCGGCCTGCACCGGCGGCTCGTTGCCACCGCGTCGCACCCTCCCTGCCCTGTATTTCCGACATTCCTTAGATTTCTGTGTACAGATGCCTTAAAGATTGTTCTCCTTTGCATACCTTCCTTGACCACCCTCTGGATTTCTTTCCAACTTCCTGTAAGGACGAATCGTAGTTGTCCTTGTGCGTGTGGGGTTGACAGCTTGACCCGGTCTTTTCGTGGTGCACATTATTGACTGCGCGCCTGGAGAACTACGGCAGCCGTCTCCCACTGGTTAACCGTCGTCAGCTAGCCATAACCAGTCTCCAGGCTGGGATGACCCAAGGTTGGGCCGCTGGTCTGTTTGATCCTCGATCGGAGCGCTTTACCAGTTCATCAACTGAGAATTACCGTCCCATGTGTCCCCCGCCCGTTGGGCGGTGTCAATCGTCACATCACGGACACCAGTGCTCACATTTTAGAAAGTAAAATCACCTCTGACAGATAACAGTAACTGACTACCAAGGCTAACGGAATAACCTGCACCGGGCATTTAATCTGAGGATAGTTAGAGGAGAACAGCTTTGCGGATGAAACGCTGGTTGTAACTGCCTTGAAACGACAGGAAGCGTGGATTTCGATAAAGTAGCCAGGGGCTGTTTCACGTTCGCATCAACGGTCGTTCGCCTTCTGTGACTAGGGCTCCGCCCCTGGATGATGCAAATTTTCATGTAAAAGCCAATTTAGCTTTAATGTTGTGATAGTACTGCACTGGTTTTGCATCCCGGTCTATCCTCCGTATCAGCCCTGGTCGTCCTGTTATTTGACAGGTTAAGCCGTCACGACTGGAATTTCTCCGTAAGAGCAAGAATTCCTCAGTCCGATTTGCTTGCACATCGACTTTGACTCTTCTTGGGACATCTAATGCCGACCTACGATTACGACCGTTTAGGATTGGATGCTGGCAAGGAGGACTTTCCAAAGCATAGAGGTCTGAAAACACGCTTATCATAGTAGTTGACCTTCTGGTCGGTCCAAGTGTTCTACCATGCCGGTCACCAGACATCATGTTTAGACGAACCTCGTGGATTGTAGGACATATTGGAGACAATTTACATGTTAACAAACGGTGAAATCCCAAAGGAGACAGTAATACTTGGGCTTTCGAAACTAATCGGACGGTAATTCCCTTTGAACGATAAACTTGACGGCTTTTGAAAGACCATTTTCAACTAAGTTCCCAGTGAATAGCAACAGCAGAGCATGCGTTCGCAACTCGCTCCAACCACTGGAAACAACCTTTAATCTTAGTTGGCCACACTCCGTAGCACGTCTACGGAGAGGCGGTACAAATCCCCTGGAGACCTGACCATGAACTCTAAACGTCTGCAATCTACCCTTGATTCGACCACTAGAAACAAACTCAGCCAAGGACGCACAGCGGATGAAACATTGATTGGCTGCAGATATGCATCCATTTGATTGGTAGGCCACACTCGACGGAGGGCAGGAAAGCGGCAGGCTCTCGGTTAATCCGACCTGCCGTGGCCCGTCAGGCGTTCAATGAGTTTGCGGTCGCGCAATAAAAGCATCCAATGTGCGTCTTACTTTTTTCAGGCTTAGGTGGTGGGTTTAATCATGAATCAGACAGATGAAACCCACGTCCCAATGGCGGAGTCTCCTTCCAGGTACTACCGGGAACTCGCTTCTCCATTCATAGGTCTTGAAACAGATGCGCCATCAAAGATTCGAACCACCACATCATTGGTGGTGTTTCCCCGTTTTCTCTCGCTAATTTTGAGTGAGTCGGTTAGTTGGGACGGAGGGAAGAGGGAACTGCAAAGATAACCAGGCATCTCCATGCGCGATTCGGCGAAATGAGCCTCCCATAGAAGTTAGACGTCCATGTTTTTGTTAGACTGAAGCATAACCATCCCCTCCCCCATAGAAATAAAGCCCCTGAAGACGCTGTACTTCTAAACTGAGCATTTAGTAATATGCCTTAAATCCTTTCGGCATTGTACCTTGTTCGTATAAGCATACGTTATTATGATTAAATCTTGTGTAAATTAACAGAAGTAAATTTCCTACTAGGTTGCTGTGGAAAGTTATCACGTCCTCGCTTTCTGTGACTTGATGATGTACCCTGCCACCAGACAGATAAGTGGGATGAGCACACTTCAAAATATACAATTTTTTGGTTAATAACCAAATGCAAAAGTCTACCCACCGAAGAAAATTAACAACCATGAAAGCATGGATGGTTATATTTTAGTCTTGACCACGTCTACTTCCGGTTATGTGGCCGATATGAACAGTCGGAACAACACTGGCTCCGCGAACTGACGAAAAATGCTGTTCGCGTAGACTCGCATGTCTTACCTTGTTTCTACTGACTGCAGAACACCAGATAGCAACCTTTAATCGGTTTTTCACATCGTCGTCTAATTACTGTCAATTTTCAGACCCACCTCGCTGATTAACTGGTTTCTGTCATAACCTACATTCCCGACTTCTGCGTTATGGCGTCTTGTCTGGTTTAGGGCCAAATGAAGTCTTTTTAACCCCTAAGGAAGGATTTTTTTCTTTCGGTCGGACGAATAAATCCTGGAAATCAGGAGCGCAGAATCGCACGCTCTCCATGGTTACCCAGTTTAAGCCAGCAGCCACCCAGTCAGTGAAGGAGCGCTAGACAATGCACATTTGATTCTTGTCACAAATTTGGCACTAGTTATCAATTAAAATCCCTAGTATAGAAAAGTGACCAAAAGTCCATCCGCGCACGCGAGCACAACTGAAAGGCCTACTTCAATTGCGCTGTGAGGCACCAGTTCATTCGGGAGTCCAAGGCACGAGTGCACTTACGCAGTGACTCCATATGGCAAGCCGAGAGGACGATCACGTTGCGTAGGCATCCACCATGCAGCATCTTCGAGTAGACCTTGAGGTCGCAGAGGTAACGAGAACAGATGGCTTTCAAACGCCTGTCATGACTGTCGAAGAGCATCTCCTCGATCTGCGCCGTCTCGGGAAGGAAGAACCGTTGTCGAAATTTCGGCTTTGTTGCAAGCATCGACTGATTAGCATTTGGGGTCTCTGCGTGAAGACAGGCAAGAACAGTGTGCTTCCTCTGGTTCTGCGACAGTGGTGTTTCGAAGATGTTTACTGACCTCCTGATGGGCTTTTCTGGGCGTTCCGGGCGCTTTCGAGCGACCACGATGGGTCGAAATGCCACGGGACGGGAGCTCTCTGAGAGGCTTCTTGGCTTGGCAACCTTGTCCTTGTCAGTAGACCTGTCGTGTAAAGTGGAAAAGTGCAAAAACGTTTGACTTCGAAAGGTTCGAGGCGTAGATTGCCCCCTCGACTCTCCTTTGTAACCCGTACTGGGTCTATTCTTGGGAGTCAACGTGCTTTCCTCATTCCGCATGCTGTGTGACGGTGGCCTGGCAGTTTGCTGACCCGTCCTGATTACAGACCTTTGTTGAGGCTGGGGAGCTTGTCTTTGAGGCTCCAGCCGAAAACGACCTCTTGCTGCTCGTTTTGGAGGCTCTGGCGTCTTTTCTTGGGCAGAATGCTCTGACTGATCGTTTGCGATCGCCGTTCTTTCGAAATCCCTTTCAAAGGGAACTCGGGGATGCGGGTGAAGATCGTTGATTCTGGGCGAGGAGATACTGTTCTCCTTCCACGATTCCGCAACATGCGTCCGCACAGCCGGCGGTTGGACGGTCTCCCTCGCCGAGGGCTGGTGAGCGGAGACGCTTAAGCGCAGTTCTTTTAGCTGCGCCGTCGCCTTGGCCAAGAGCTCCAATGTCCCGTTTTGGCGATTATTTTTATTGGAATTACACTGGTGATCATCAGTGCCCCTCTGGAGAACATCTCTCTGGACAGTTGAGTGTAGAAACCCACCCTGCTTGTGATACTCCGCGTCCAACACTTCTTTTCCCCAGAGAGAGGATGCACCGCTAGCGCAAGGCAGCGAACTGATTGAAGAAAGTGCCGACGAAGCATTCTGATTTCCAGTATCGGTGGCTCGTTGAGGTCCGGCAGGGTCTTCCAGATTTCCCCTCGTACTAACCGTATCCTTTGTTGAAAAATGCAGTTTATACAGGGACCGTGTTAGTCGTTCAGTCATCGTTTTCGAGGGAATGGCTGAAGGGTGATTCTCTAAAAGTTTTGAATCTACTCCCTTCCCATCACTTTCACAGTTCTCCCAACCTATTTTCGTCTCTGGCGGTTGAAAAAAGTCGCCAAACATGCTTTCCATCCTGACAGCCGGTTTTGAATCCTTGTGCTTTTTAGGTCTCATATATGGCAGCTGTCGAAAAGAAGCTGCTCTTCCTGATCGATTAAAGTGTCGTCTTTGTGAGGTACGACGTGTAGTGGGTTCATGATCTTTATTCTTACTCGGGTATCTGTTAAATAAAGCCTCTTCTGAGCAGGAAAGCTTGTTGAGTGGAATCGTTAATTTTGGAGCGATTTTAATTCTTTCGTGGTCGTGTTCACTAGACACAAGCCCCAGAGTTCCGTAGGGCGTTTGTGTTGATTGGTTTGCAAAGGGAACCAATGTCTGGGTTTCTGTGCTCTTTAATACAAGGTCCGGATGGGCAGTGGAATTTTCTGTGTGGACCGGCTGGAGAGCGGATCTAAAACTGGGATTATACTCCTTCGTGTCGCACTGAACACCTCGGGAGTAGAACCGTTTCATTTTCGCAGTTGTCGGTCCTTCAGTTGGTTTGCATACCGAGGCATGGTCACGGAAGTCTATGGGGCTATCTAGACGATCCGCAGTGGACTCAGCATTACCCATGTGGAAATCGCCTCGGTTCGACAGGGGCCCGTTTTCACAGATATAAATTTCTTCTTCAAAACCCCTTGCAGTGACCTCAGGGGATTGACTCGGAGAGCGTATTTCCACAGTAGAGATAAAGGAAGCCGAAGTGTTTGTCGGTTCGTGGACGGAGGCTGCAGTTTTTGCTCGCTCAATGAACGACGCAGTATAAATTCCGTCTGGTATTCCACCGTACACTGGGGCGGTTTTTTGTGCAAATGATCTATCTTTTGTCAGACTGGAAACATTATTGTTGACCCATCCTTTCGCGCTATCTTCTTCATGAGCCTCGACTAGGATGCACGCAGAATATCGCTGCATCTTTAAGCGCGGGCATGCTTTTGTTTTAAATTGCTCCGCAGTCATTCAACAAATCGATAAAGTCGACACCAATCTGCAAGCGGCTCGAACAGGCAGTGACTTTTGAACATTTTGGCTGACAGCACGCGCCCATACTCTCTCAAAGAGGCCTCCTACTCCGCCGAATCCATTTTTAGAAGATAGACAGCAGTACCTTTCATACAATTCATTTAAAGTGAAATCTGAAGTGAAGTTGAGAAAAAAGTACACCCACGATTCCTAGTGCAATCAGTTAACGAGGATGTTGTTTTTCTAGCTTAAACTGAGGGCAGAGAAGGTAGGGCATTATTTTAAAACGTTTTTGGAGGTAGAGAAATCGTTTTCCTCTGTCGTTTCAACGCCCTCGGCACAGAGAACCCTCGATTAGTCATCGATGGGCTCCGTCTAGAAGCTTGCACGAAAGCGTTATGGCAATGAAGAAGTCCTGCTCAATGAGGCAGGCCTTTTACTCATAGCCTGGCGGTTCTGTGTAATCTAAAACGCCAACAAATAATAACCTGCCTCATACTAATAGACGAGAGAAAGTGTCATCACCGGTTTTCAAACCGTGTAGAGACTGCCATCTCGAATTTGAAAAAGTTACCAAATGTGATGTCCTCCTACCATACTAGAATAAATACTGGTCATATTTCCCTCCAGATTAATACTTGAATTAGTGGGGGAAATGAAGCAGCAGATTCCCGGAAACTCTACCATCTCACCAACAATCCGAATTTCAGTTTAGTTTGTCTCCATGCATGTCTGATGTTTCTGTACACCAAACTCATAAGACTGACAATAAGGTCCCACAAGGTAGTTCAAACACTTTATGCGACAAATGTCTCCTACTCTTTATGCGACTTTTGTCCACCTAGTAATGCCACCAAACTCTCTTCACTCTGCGGCATGGCGGCAGCGGGAGTAGTTCGAATCAAATAGGCTCGGCATTTGAATTGCCTGCGCCAACTGCCAGGAATATTACACCTTCGCTTAGTCAATCTCCCTACCCCCAGCACAGACGACCTCTTGCAGCAAGCGACGACGTTCACTGCGTGCCCAACGGGGTGGGCGACTTGCATGTGCATTGGTCTGTAGTGAGGCAGCCTTGCGCTGCGTCTACCTCCCTCTCCCCTCCCTCACCTACATGGGCTGGTGGCAAGACAGTGTCAAAACGACCACAATAAGGCTGTGTTACAATGGTTGACAAAGTTAGACAGCCTGCTCAAAAATGCCATACATGACAGAGTACCCACTACATGTACCAGGCGTTCACAAGGGACGACACGGATCTCACTTTCGTGAGCGGACCATAAGGGCTGCACAAATAACGAGTTATTGAATCTGACTCTCAATATGCCAGCCAGTCACCCCACATGCGCAAGATTTTTTTAATGAGCAGTGGGCTGAAGTGCCGGGGGGATGAAGACCCCAGATGCGTTCAGACACCCTCTCTCACACACACAACGATTAGGCGCAAAGCTAGACAGTCCGTCTTAGTGTACCACACAAGACCTAGTCACCAAATAATAAGGAAGAATACATCAATGAGCATGCTTCTCATCTACGTGAGATGCGCGTATTCTGACACGCGACATTTCGCAGTCTACAAAGGTGATAATGGAGCAGATTACACGCCTACTGTCGAAAAAAGGCCTATTACGAATTATGACGCGTGGGCTGGAGGGCGTTCATAAGGGGTTCAGGGATGCGTATATGCGGGCAGGTGGAGCAAGGTGGGATGCTGAGGGCCGGAGAGCAGTTTTATCGAAGATGTTCACGGAGACGCAAATGGCCGAGTTGGCCCACGCGATGACTGAATGCCCTTGGGAATTCTTGGCAGCTGGGGTGGGTGCGACGCGTGTATGCACACGCAGTGGTTTTCTGGTCTCTGTGCAATGGCATCTCAAGTGATCCACGAGGCCCATGCGTGATGAACACGTGCGACCAAAATGGTGGCAAGTTCGAATCGAGTCCACGTCGATGACGGTAGGAACGGTCGCGGAAATGTTTTGCTGATCAGCAGAAGTATCCTTATCGTAGTCCATAAGCACAGCGGAGAACATGAGGTCAAATAGGGTGGAGGCGTGAAAGCAGTCACACAGACAAAGGCATGCCACATTGAATCCCACCGTAATAGGTTAATGAGCTCCGGATTTATTCTGGCGTAAAATGCACCAATTTATCTTGAAGACAGATTTCCCGGCATTAACATCGCTCCCGCTTCTTTCTCCAGCGCGCTAGTCAATTTGGTTGCCTGAGAAGTCTGGCTCAAGTGTGCCGAGGCGCCAGACTATCTTACCTTTCCTTACCTGTTCCTCATTCTTGAACTTACCGGTTGTTTAACTGAATGGAAGGAAAACAACACGTCGCGACGCGCTTGGCATGTGTTGGATTGTCAGGTAGTTTAATATTTGATTGTTGATTCTTTCATAACTCTGCTCTTATCCTGATATCCATAGTCTGGAATTGACGGTTCTGTCCTTAGCGCTCGCGACACAAGTAGTGGGAAGAAATGAGCCATGTTGTGGCACGCGTACACATGGATTACTTTTCACGTATTCCACGGAGACCTGTCCCATGCTCGGCTGCCATGACGTTTTATTGAGCATAAAATATGTTGGGTAGGGGATGTGGGAGAAAGGACGGTACTGTGTCATGACACAATTCACCCCCAAGTAGTCAGCATCAGTCATTTGTACCACCTCCCCTCTACCCAACTCCAGAATGCTGCGTGTTCCGTCTCGTTAAAAATGATGAGCCATAATAAAACCCAGTAGCCATCTGAGGTTCAAACAGACCTCCTCAGGGCAGGGAAGACTTGTACTTCGCGAGTAAAGGTTGGATAAGATTCCATAGAAATTCTAGAGTACTGTTTCCACTTTTTGTGGAAACAATTCGTCCCGTCGCCGTCATCATCCAAAAGTCGGCAGTGGAGAGTCATAAAAATTGAGGCGGATCTGCACTCTGGGTCGAGAGTGGACATGCAGCTCGCCGGTGCTGGAACCTGATAACCAGACAGTTTTTGGTCATAACTTCGGCCCGCCTCGAAATTGAAACCTCCTCGCCTTCCCTTTCCCTCAAGCAAAATTCCTCCATCATAAACACCGTCTCCGCCTAGGTGGATGAGTTGACGCCTCGAAAGATTAATGAGACGAACAGCTTCCGTAACCCGATCAGCAAACTCCCCCGTAATACAGCTAAAATTACCGATCGTAATCAACAGAACATCATGGTTGTGGCTCAGTTGTAAAGCATTCGACCCAATGACCAAGGATCCTGGGTTCGGATCCCAGGTGTTTCAAACTCGGAGCTGGGTACGCCTGGCTGATGTCGGCTAGTAAACAAGAAATCGGCATTTCAGCCTTCCTAGGTAATCTCATCCAGCAAATGTGTATAAGGAGGATAAACAGGAGGTTTTTTCGGGGAGAAATTGAATTACATTGGTAAATTTTCGATCTCATGAAACCAACCCGTTGTCTGAAGAAATAAACAAGAGAGAAAGTGAAGTTAATACTTCTATAGGCGAATTTAAGACTGTTGACTGTCTAGGACCGCAATGGTTACACCAGCGGCCATTGGAGGTCGAGTGGGATGGGCACAGATTTATGGTAGGTTCCGGTGGAGTGGGCATAGGCGATCACTGATACTGTGCGACGTTCGATTAACAGTCGCTTATTTGGAATGTGAGTGGAAGTCGGAAGGCGTGTTCGCATACCCTCGTGTTGACGATTTCTGGTTTATCGGCCGTCGTTAGCCAGTCATACGCCATCCCAGGCCCGGGTAACCTGGAATTAGCACAGGATTTACTCGGTGTTTGAGTACCAAGTCTAACGCTCTACCAGTGTGTTTCTCACAGTCGTTGGAGCCAAACGCGGAAGATCTCCCAGAGCAGTTTCGTGATTCTTGCGCAGTTTTCTCGGTAGACTTTGGCCTCTACGCTGGAATTGCTTTAAGGGTGCGAACTGAACTCGCTATTTCTGCATTGATCATTTACTCAAGTAGTCACCGGACTTTTGCTTTGCACAAGAACTTGAGAGGCAAGCACAAAATAGGAGGAAGACATTAATGAAAATAAGCGTCCCTGATCACGAGGAGAAATGGATCGTCCTTAGCCTCCTGGACCCACGTCGTCCCGAGAGCAGAAAACTCCGCCGACCAACTTTCCTGATTCATCTGTTACAACGGTTGTTGTTTGTTCGAAGAGGTGGCGGCGGCGGCGGCGGCGGAATTCTGTTGACCGAGTTGTACATGTTCCAAAAACCTTGTTTCGCCCTTCTGACCGCGATGCTCGCCTCAGCTAAGGCAGTCTTTACTCGACACTCAACTTGGACGCGAATTCGCACGCCATCAAAGTCCTCAAAGGCACTGGAACAGTCTTCGAGGGAGTCATCTCTCGGGCCTGTGTTCTCATTTGCACAGACGTGCAGTTTTGACTCCTGGGTGCTGCGGTGTCGGTCAGCTTGAGACTCCAAATAGACCTGGGCCTCAGTCTGGAAGTTTAAAAACGGAAAACATGTGAATTTGCCTAGTTCACTATTCTTGCCCTCAGACCAGGCACCTAGTAGTTTAACAGAGATCTTGTAGGTTTTTCAGCAAGTCATTGCATCCGAATCTTTTTTCGTCCATCACAGAGTGGAAAGCAAGTTGAAGGGAAAGTTTGGAAGACGCAGGATAGATTTGTAGAAGACGGTAAAAAGCTGTGACAATGTAAACTCGAGGAAATATCCTAAGAGGTAGATTTAAAACCATTTAGTTTTCAGACACCCCATTAACCAAAGTGTGGCCCTGGAGTTCGCCGGATCCTACCGAACTTGGGAAAACAAGTAAACTCACGAGCAGTTAGTGAGTACAGAGAAGCCGACTAAGGATCTGGGCAGTTAGTTAGTGTCTGTGTTGACTAACATGACGAAGCTAATTCTTATGAGTAAAAAGCATTTGGGAGGCAGCACTTACTGCCCAGGGAAGGTGAGCACTTTTCAGGCAGTAGTCAACCGAATTAAACGTCGTTGCGTGGAAATGTTTGCATATAGATTAAACACCTATATAATATACACTTTGCTCTTCAGTCGTGATTGGATCCCTATCGGTTATTTTTAACGACGCAAATCTGTCCATGACAGGCACGAATAAAGCCATCGAACACTAAGGAAACTCGGAGAAGGAGACACGATCGTTGGAACAAGTGTTTTATTAGCCTGACGTTTCGGATTCTCACTCGAATCCATCATCAGAGACAGCGCCAGATAGGGCGCCAGATCATGAGGCCGAAAGACCCACTGCTACGACAGGAAACATCTGGAGTCGTTTACCGGGTCTGCTGCAGTTGTGGGCGAAGCAACTATGTCGGAGAAACGGGAAGACTACTCCACACGCGGTTGGCCGAGCACGCGACAACAGTAAGGAGGAACGATGCCAACTCTCAAGTGTCGGCTCATTGGACGGGACCCAACCACACATTCAAGTTTGACGAGGCAGAAATTCTTGCTAAAGGTAAAAACCGTGTGAGCCGCGAACCGCTCTAGTCATGGTTTTGTGGTTCTCAATCAGTCAACAAGCGCAACGACCTCCCTTCTCCATATTCGGCCCTGAGACTTTGTCTAGGCAAAGTAGTTAGCCACGAGGAGAGCGTGTGGATTACCCCTGTCCCTCGTATCAATGTCGGCGAGCCAAATCATCCCAGAGTCCACACAGATGACAAAATCCGACAGTCAGCCACTCGGCGGCGTGTGATGACCGTGGAAGCCGATAATCTTGACCGGCATACTGGCGCATAGCAACTGCATGACAACGGCATGCTTCAACACCTGGCGAGTCGAGCTGTGATGCACTCGGGAGCTGTCAACTCTGATAGGCATGTAGCGGTTTAGCAGCTACATCCTATAAGTATTGCAACACCTGAGCAATCCACTACCCTTATCTGACTCTGTCCTTGATCATGGATTTGAGTGAGAATCCGAGACGTCAGGCTAACAAAACGCTTGTTCCAGCGATCGTATCTCCTTCTCCGACTACTTCCTGGAACTCGCCTCTTCGCTTCTGTTAGCAAACTTGGAAGACAGTGGTTTTGTCCACTCAGCATGTTTCTGATCTTCTACGGACACAATGATCCTGTTTTGCTAATGTATGCGTTTGTGCCAATGTAGTTTTTCAAAATTAGGCAATTCCACTACTGCCTTTTCTTTTTCCCCGCGCGAGGTTTTTGCCACCAAAACTGAATGTTGACTTGTTAGTGAAATAAATTAAGTAGCGAGCTTCAACTTTGCGAAAGTGCCTACGGAAGGATACAGAATGCCAGTTGGCGAGCTTACGTCTGCTTTCGATGAATTATCGTCAGACCAGTAAATCTATAGGGGAACGGGGTACAAGTGAAACATGTGAGTGATAAGGGGAATCGATCACACTCCGTGTTTTCATACATGTGTGGGAGTAGGGGAAAGTAATAAGAGACAGTGGGGGTTAGGAAGAACCGTTTCAGGGTGGAAAGGGGAGGGAAGAGTACGGAGAAGCGCATGCAGCCAAATGGCCTTTGACCCGGGGCTTGCACAAAGTTCTGTCGTGCGCATAAGACCGGCTTGAGTAACCTGATGACAGTCGCATGACCTATTGCTAACTTAGGGTAGTCCCGTCGGACCTTATAAATCCCACAGATGACTTCGATATGGTCAATATGACGCCCTGAATGAACAGCGTGCGCGGAAATGACGCTGCTTACGCCCTGATTTCCGCCCTTTCGCAGCCATGCTTGGAGGTGTTCTTGCATTCTTTTTGATAGGTGACGACTAGTGCGACCAAAATAAACTGCTTCACGGGAGCAAGTGAAGACGTAAATACCCATGAAGTGGTCTGCGCTGTCAACCTATCTTTACCATCCTCGTGCATAACAGGATTGGTTGAAAACAATACCTGCACAGTTATGTAATTACTAACCATACTGACAACATGGGTACTAGCTAAAAACCCAGATCGCGTGTTACGCCGATCTTGCGCTGCTGCCTGAAGCAATTGCGAGGGGTTGGGCTCATCAGTGGGTCCCCCAGCCTTCCCGTGTGTTTTTCGTAAATGAATTTCATTTTCACCTTACTTTGAAATATAATTGAATTTTTAAGGACTAAGTAAGCATTCATTTTTTTACAGAGTGTGATTTTTACATGCGGTCGGAAAGATGTTCGTTCGAAAGCCAGCATCCCGAGGTAACTGAATTATTATAGAATTATGCGGCAGGGTGACTAATATTGCAACACCACTTAAGTAATCTTTTCGAAACAAAAACGCATTTCAGAATTCCGGTTAACATTTCAAGAGTCAGCACACCTACTGTACAAATACCAAATGGCTGACCTTGCTGGTACCTGTGCTGTCGTCTTGGCAAACCATTTAGTATTTGAAAATCCTTTCCTTTTCCGTCGTCGTCGTCGTGGTGGGGTTTTGTTATGGAGTGTGCAAGCGGCGTAGAACCACACGGCATAAGGCGCTGAACAGGGGGACCAAGCCGGCGGCGTGAGACACGCGTAAAGTTAGACGGCCGACCGCCGTGCACTGCAGCGCCGAGCACGTGTGGTGGCTTTGCTCACATGCGCGGCCCAATCAATGGCTGGTCGAACATTCCAGACATTTCTGCGGGGGGGGGACTGTCGCGCACGCGGTGACCGATCAGCGACCAGCACGCCCAGGACAGGAACATTCTAGAACGCCCTCAACGGCTGGCATGTCACTGGACGGAATGTTCTAGAACGCACAGGAGCCAATATAACTAGCACATCTCTCTTACGAGTTGTAACCCCCTCGTGTCCGCAAGTTACCAATAAAGTGCTTGTCCTCCGAACCGGCTCTCTTCCTGTCCTACCTTTCTTCCGGGTCATAAAAGTGTTGTTGGTCTACCGATTTACTACGGTGGCACGCGCAGACGAGGGTACTAGATATGTCATCCACCGCGCCCATTCCCCACACTAGACAACTGACCGACTCAGACAGTCGGGTGGGCCGTGGGAATGGGAATAGAGAGTGAGGTTGACGACTTAGCGCATTTTTCTCACTATGAACTATCTGACGCGCTTGAAGCTATCACGGTGCTCTAAGAGCCGTGGATTGGGAGGTTGGTGACTAACTGGATAACTTAGACCTCGCAGACGGCCCAGTGTGTGTTTGTGTGGAGTGGCAACTGGTGGACTGAGAGTCAGGCTGCAATCGCTCTTCCTTAATACGGCCTATATGGCACTCCCACTCCGTGGGATCCGAGGCACCCACCCTTCCTCTCCTGTTGTGTAACGCGCTGGTCAATGTACGCTGTGGACCGGGGGATGCGGCGGCACACCTAGGGACGGCTCTATCCGCGCCAGTCATCTGCACCCTTTACCGCGTCCGGCGTTCTTGCGGTAGCTGCTACTGTGCAAGTCTACTACCACTGTCAAACAATTCACAAAAGTTAACGAGGCAAGGGTGGCTACTTCAGTCTTCCTTTCTTTGCCCAGGAAAAATTTCAATTGTTGTTCGAACATCGCTGCACAACCATCACCTTAGGCCATGTTTGGTGATTCGAGACAGAGCGGAAACTCCGTGATCCGCTCGGCAATAAAGCAAAACTAGCCAACGCTACTGTTATTTTTCTCTAGATATTCTCGATTCACTGCTGGTTTATTCATCGCAACAGACGCACCCGAGGTCAAGGCTATGTCAAAAGACAGTCGGCATAACCCGATTATTCTTTGCAGTTCTATAGCAATAAACAAAAAGATTAGCGGAGCACGATAGAGTTCATAAGGCGGGGAATCAGTTGAAAAGTGGACGTACATTCGAGATGACTGGATGAGCAGTCAGCGAATGACGCCAAAGTGCGGTGGTCGGTGTAAAAGCAAGCGGCAACAAAGAACAATGAACGAAGAACGACGAGAACCGACAAATAGGGGTACAGAAACAAAGGCAGGGTGAATGAGTAAAATCTGGCTACTAACAAACAGTTAGTAGTAAAAAACAACCAAGAATACAAATTGACATCAGGGATGTCACAACTACTTCAAATCGGACTTGATCACGGAAAACAAAGTATATTTATCGTGGCGATTCGGACCATTGGTACAGCAGTCAAGTTAGGGCTACTGATAAGGCGTTTGAAAGCCCAGTCATTCCCATTTCGTGCTAAAAATTGGCTGTCTGACAACGAAATTAAAGGCAAAGTGCCTCTGCACTGCAGAAGTCCCATGAGGACTGCGACAAGTTTTCTTCGATTTGAAGCAAAAAAGCATCTCTTCAGGCGTTCGGCCCTTGACCTCTGTCCACAGTCACCCCCCTCGAAATACATTTAGTTCTCCAGGAGCGCAGTAACTTATGCCGACCTCCTATTTTCTTGACACTAAGTAGAGCTTGCCGCAAACGGTCGATCATGACCATTTTGGAGTAGAGGTCAAATTTCGAGACCAACTTTGCCCGAGAGAAATGTGAACAAGGGTGCTGCAAATCGAAGAGTCTTCTAGGTGAGCAGAGCACAACGTGCCAGTAAACTCATTCGTTGACCGGGGTTAGTCCTAGTTTAGCGTTTGAGGTCGTCTTTAGGCATAAGGAAAACTTTTGTTTCTGATGATGGGTTCGAGCAGGAATCCGAAACGTCAGGCTAGTAAAGCCCTTGTCCCAGCGATCGTGTCTCCTTCTTCAAGATAGCGAGTCTGTTATGCTGCCCTGAGGCTGTTGCAAGCGGTGTTGAATCACGTGATTAACGTGGTGGTGGGGGCGTGCCACTTACCTTACTCTACCTCTAGCGTTGACCAGATTCACCCAATGACTTAGTTAGGTGACTAGTAATCATAATTTAGGCAAAGCCCCTTTGCAATATATTGCTTTCGCCTATCGTGTCCCAATTCCTACACGGAGGAACAAATCATTTTTAGTCGAGTGGACGGTCATCAAAATTGATAATGTCCTTTTATTTTGCTTCTTTCACGGCCTTGACCTTGTGCAAACGAAGTCTTCATGGGTGCAGTTATCATCCTGAAGGCTCTTGGCATGCCGCGAGTGTCCACAACCATACTTTCCTCATAAAACTGGCAATTTCAACTGCCAATCAACGGCGCCCGAAGTAAATGATCAGGAAATCAGTAATTTTAGTGTTCCACCTGCCCTTTCTCAAGGCCCAAGCAAAACGGAAGATACGCTATGGATAAATTCGCCGATAAGAGCGTAGTTTCTGCGGCTCTGGTGTCTATCGCCAATTAGACTTAAAGCAAACACCATCTCCTGACTCAGTTTCAGCCTGCAAACGGTAAGTTGTGGTTATGTAGCCTCAGTCGACGTACACAATACTATTGGGGGTGGGGCTAGGGGGTTAGGGTTAGGGGTTATGGTTGGAAGTTAGGGTTAGGAGTCAGGGCAACTATTTCTCAACCACTGAAAGTAAAACAGCGCATTCCCATTGGCTTTTCTTTTGCATACAAGTACTTGAACTCGTCGCCCGTGCGTTCCCCGGCCCTACCTGTAAACCCCCAATTACCATCGGTACCGTATTTCAGGTGGCCGGGGTCTGTTTACTTCAGGTTGGACTACATAACCACATCCGGCTCTGCAAACTTGTCCTACCAGCGAGTATAACTTTCGAACCTGCGATATCATTTCCCCCTTCAATATTGATTAGAAGTAACGACTGAAGGAAACTCGTCAGAAGCAGCTTACCTTAAGTTTCTTGTGCACCACCAAGAGCTTACTCCTCAGCTCATTGCATTTGTTGAATATCGCCACGTAGTCGCAGTACTTCGAGGAGCTACTGTCACCAGGTTCTGGCAGAGCTATTAGCGAATATCTGCCGTTCCTCTGGAAGGTCCATTCCTTTCCACCTGCACGGAGAAACACCTGGTTTGAAAGGGAAAGTGAATACTGCGGTGGGCTCTGTTTGAAGCACGCAGAAGTTCACCCAGTAAAATCATCCACGAAAGCTCCGCTTCAATCTTCCAGTTCAATTGCATTGCTGTGGTGTTGTTTAGTTTCCGTCATTCCATCCGAGACTAAGCTCGGAGCGATACTTACGTGTGGTGCGCATTTTCGTGCAGATTGTAGGAATGAGCTGTCTTTTTAACGCCTGCCCGGCAGCATTTACTTCTGATCTCTGTGAATCAGTTTACGCAGGTCAAATTAACAGTCACCTTTGCAAATCATTACACGAACAAAACTCTTTCTAGCTTGGCCAGGGCATGAACGATCTCATCTCGAGCTTTGTCCAAGCCTACCAACTGAGTGCTTGTCATCTAGCGAATGTCAGAGAAACTTGCTATGTTAAGTCAAAGTTACTAATGCATTGGTACATACTGGGCACATACTGGTGACAGTAAAGGTTGTTGTCATGTGTTCACAAAAGCAAGTTCTTTAACTGCTATGATCAAAATTTGTGTGATTGTCCTGTTAACTCACCCGACAGCTTATCCATCAAAGAGCATGCCGCAACTGCTGGCTCGCCGTGCACCCTCCTTCACTACACACATCTCTTATATTCCCACTGCCAGCACTCAAGCTCATCAATCACCGTAATACCCAATTGTCATTACTGAGGAGGCCGGACAGTGAGTAGTAGAGAACACCTAGTTGTGGTTGACGTTCAGTTTGGAGTAGTAGCGGTGGTGGCATCAGCGCAGCAGCAGCAGTGATGATGATGATGATGATGATGATGATGATGATGATGATGATGATGATGATGATGATGATGATGATGATGATGATGATGATGATGATGATGATGATGATGATGATGATGAATGTGATGGGGACATTGATGGTGCTGGTGCTAGTAGTAGCAGTAGTAGTAAGGGCAGTAGTAGTAGTGGTAGTAGTAGTAGTATAAGTATTAGTGGAAGTAGTAATGGTAGCAGTAGTAGTGAAAGAAAATTAATGGCGGTACTAACACCAGCGACGACGGTAATGGTGATAGCACTATTAGTTATAATAGTAACAGCGGCGACAACGGTGGTGTTGGTGGTGGTGGTGGTGGTGGTGGTGGTGGTGGTGGTGGTGGTGGTGGTGGTGGTGGTGGTGGTGGTGGTGGTGGTGGTGACAGTACCACCAGTGGCAGTATAAGTGGTGGTTATGATAGTAGTAAGAGGGGCAGTAACAACTGCTCACTAACATATTACTGTTCGACGCCAGTGGACGGATTAGTTTCCAGTTCCAATAAAGCCGGTTCGGAGTTTTCAGTACCAAAGTTCTCAGTTAAACTGGCCGCCTGCAATCGAACCGCGGTTCTACAAAAATAGATTTCACCCATTTCGCAAGGCGGCTACAGAGACTAAACATTACTGTCAAAAGGCCTCTCTGTAGCGAATTTTGCCACTTTGACTACATAAACAAGCCACTTTTGACTGTTTTACATCTAACAGAGAGGGAGATGGCGGCAAAAAAGCCTTCGGAAACTTTTGACGGAGCATTGGACTTCTAACCAACAAGTCACGGGCATGACTGGCAGATGAGGGCTAACAGGTCTGTTCCCCTCTTCCTTGTCGGGAATGTCATTCTGATTCTGATACTACTTATGAATGTTCATCAAAAAATATGATCTCCTCTCAGATGGCCGCCTTAACTGGACCACAGGAGATCGGCATACTGGTATAGGTGGGCGAAACAAGGAGCAGTGTTGAAAACTGCGCGCAGACTGCCCTCTATGATCCCTCGGTGAGAAAATAAGGACTCACCCAACAACTCCTGAAATTCCCTCTGCGTTAGAGTCTCCTGTAAGGCCGCCAACTCCTTCTCCGCGTTCTCATAGGATTCGCGAATCTGGCAGAAGTCGGATATAACTGCTCTGATTGGCTACAAGAACTTTTTAGGATAACTGGATGTGGGCGGGATACCGTTAGTTTCTTGTCAATTTCATTCTGAGTATGTCCTAAAGAGGAAAATCGCGACAATTCGATGTAGGCATCCTTGCAAGAAGACTAAATGCCAAAAATGGCGAAATAGTTTGTCCGGAAGGATGTAAATGGACGCATAATGATTAAAGAAATGTCTCCCGCTCTTATGCATGGCTACCATAGACCACAAGAACGTAAACCGTTTTGATGTCCTAGGGAGGATCTCATCAGCCCAATGGTAACCTACATCCTGGAGATTGTTGATTGACCCCTTGGTGAACTGTACACTGGAGCAACGTCGATAGGCTAGGCAAAGAGGGATGCCATTTCAGTGCAGGTTCAAATCTATTCGGTGTCAAAGTCGGATATGAAAAAGTGATAGGACGCAACAAATATACTAGAAGAGGTAGAGGATTCTTACCAGAGGCTGCAACTGAAGTGGTAGCATTGCTGTCGGTCTGAGGTATCGGTCTCTTTCGACGCCCTATGCATTCTAAAGGGCACTAAAATTTAAAAACAGTCTCGTGGTAGTGGCGCTCGTCGACCTAAAATATGGTTTTGTACTACCTAGGTGCTCCGGCTAGAATTCTGCCAGGCCATGTTGAGTGCATATGTGAATTCCTATCAACCAATCCCCATGAAATAGGTATTCCGACGACCTCACTCAAGGAACCATAACTAAAATGCACACAAAATATGCAGTTTCTTTTTGAAAAACATATATATATATAGACACATAGACGGAGTTGCTATGAGATCGCCTCTTGGTCCTCTCCTAGCCGATGTCTTCATGGGCGCACTGAAGAAATTTTGGCCAAACGACCAAATCAATCGGCTAAGGCACTGCGGTAGTTACCTTGACGACATCTTTGCATTCGCCACCAGCGCCCCCCCTTGGATGCTGTACATCAAGCACATTCGTTGGAGGTGGAAACGCCAGGCTCCCTGCCTTTCCTAGACGTCCTTCAAAGCAGAATAGCTGACGGCAACATTCGAAAGGACACCCGGTCTGGGGAATATACAAACTCCTACAGTTTTGGGTCACGCTGAGTGGGCAACCTAACTCTTCGCCCTGAGATGGGCGGGCACCGAGTTATAACGTCAGTTAGCAAGCTTCCAAGCCGCGACATTTAGCGCACTATGGTAGTTTCATAAGGCGTCAGATTCACTATAGTGAGGAACGCACTACGTCTTGAAGATGGCGCCTGCAGTGTCCGCCGAGCTCTTTCTTCCCACTCCCATGCATCAGCCTCCTGGTGCTGGTAGTGGGCTCGGGAGACTGGTGCGGCGTGGGCCTCTGGCAAGGCGTCACATTTGTTGTGTGCGTAGTCCATGCACTGCTCGTCGTAGTCTGACCTGGCTCTCGCAATGGTTCAGCATGGAACACGCGTGGGCCCTTCTAGGGCCAATTAATCATTAAACCGATGTTACTAAATTAATATTGTTGTTATTAATAATCATATTCATGATACTGCCATGTCTGATAGTCCGATAGTTCGACCATCGATTTCGATGACGTCCTTCGTGTCCCTCACAGCTGCAGCAGCGGTGGGAGCAGGGACGGTGACTTACGCAGGGGGTTTATAGTGCCAGTAGACTTGCGCTGCATCTATCTACACTCTCTCCGCCTCCCCCGCCTGTGCCCGGTGTCAAGACAGAGTCAAGAAGACCGGAGACGAGGGAGGCCGCAGAGGGATGGCTTGGACGGATCCTCGCCTTGGCGCTCCACTCCGCACCCCCCTGGTCCACACACAAATGACCAGGATTTTGACCACAAAACAATCGGGTGATGGCAGTGGTCCAGTTGTGCGACGACGACCGACAACAGCGTCTGCCAGTGTAGGCATTTGTTATTGCGCACAGATAACGCCTGCCAGATTCCGATGTGGCCCCCGTGCTGGTCCAACGCATCTAACACGTGGCCCGTTTGGAGGGCACGGCTCATACGACAAATGTCACTGGACTTTATTTCAGTTAATAATTCCACTGCTGCAACTACTACCACCGAATTTGTCAGTACTTTTCCCGAAAATCTCAGTAGAACATTGAAAGAATTATGATTTAAAGTTTCGAAGATTCCCATAAAGCAATCCCGAAGAGCATTTGGCGAGCATACGCGTGCAGCTCACCGGGCCAGTACATTTACATGGGAACGAAGTACAAACTGAAACGTGTGATCGATAAGAGGAATCGATTACGGGTCGTATTTTCATACAATCGGGGTGTGTGAATAAGGGGGAGGGAGAGAGGAGGTAGTAATCGACAGTGAGGGTTAGTTGGATCCGTGTCACAACGGGGAGGAGGGGGACGGGGGCGCGGAGACGTGCATACCAGTTAATTGATCCTGACTCCAGGTAGACGCGGGGCGTGCATAAGGTTCTTCTGCGCGCACAGGGCTGGCTTCTGCAGCCCAATGTCAGTGGCTTCTGCTGTTGCTAGTAGGCGCTGACCCAATCGTTTAGGCTAGTTAGGTGGGACCTTGTAAATCACACGGAAGGTTTCGTTGAGATCCACACGGTGCCCAGAATCAACCATGTGTGCGAGGATGGAGCTGTGTATGCTCTTAACTTCACCCTTCCTCAGCCATGCCGGCAGGTGTTTTCGTATTCGTGTGGATAGGCGCCGACCCGTAAGACCAATATAGCCTGTTCCACAGGAGCAAGTTAAGGAGTTGATGCACACTGATGTGGTCTGAGTTAACAGCCTGTCCTTACCTCCTCCTCGTAAAACAGGGTTAGTAAAGAATGATATTCGAACCCTTGCTGCTGGCAAGGTTCGTGAGATAGCTTGGCCAAGGCGTCTTTTTAGGAGTTCACCCACAGCGTCTCCTTGAAAGGGGACTTTGAGGAACAGAGTTTTCTTTTCCGCCGTCGGTATGATGGATTTTGTCGGTCGGTTGGCAAGATTCCTTATAATTAATCTATCGGGATACCCGTTCTCGCGAAGCAAGTCAAGTTCCTCATCAACGCTATCTGCCGAACAGATTTTTATGGCCCTTTGCGCCAAACAACGAACAAATTACGTCTCTGTTGAAGGGGTATAAAACTGTAGAAGTTTGTACATTACCCAGGCCAGGTGTCCTTTCGATAGACGCTTCTTCCAGTGCTGCCGTCAGCTCTTCTGCTTAGAAGGACGTCTAGGAAAGGCAGGGAGCCTGTCGTTTCCACCTCCCTTCAACGTAAATCTGATCAACGAATGTGCTTGATTTACAGCATTCAAGAGGATGGTTATGTTACTTTCGGCGGTGTCAGTTGCAAAGATGTTGTCAAAGCAGCGACCGTAGCGCCTTAGCTAATTGATTTGGTCGTTTGGCTGAAAGTTCTCCAGTTTGCCCATGAAGACATCGGCTAGGAGAGGACCTAGAGGCGATCTCATAGCAACTCCGTCTATTTGTCTATATATGCGATTGTCATATTTTGTGTGCATTTTAGCTATGGTTCCTTGAGTGCATTCGTCGAATGCACATGTAAATTCCTGTCAAACAACCACCAAGAAATGGGCATTTAGATGAACGCACTCTAGGAACTATTACTAAAATGCGCACAAAGTGTGCAGTTCCTTTTTGACGACCAAATATATAGACAAATAGACTGAATTGCTATGGGACATGCGGAATGCACCTCCACCGGGGCCTGCCGTCACACCCCAAGATTGGCATTTGTTATGTGCGCGCATTCCCGATAACGTCTGCCGAGCCCCTATCTAGCCCCTGTGTTGGTCCAGCGCACCTGCGCTGTGGCCCGTTTAAGAGGCACTACCACTACCCTCACTATTATCATCATCCGTCAGGGCACTCCTGCAACACCATCATTAAACCTGCCGTCAAAATTGTGAATTAATTTCCAACCTGCCCTCATTGTGACCTCACATTTTGATCACGCATCGGCCTGGTCGGTCGCCTGCAAATCCATTGCATCAGAAGCGAAAACCTAATGTGTGGAGTCCCAGGATACATGTTTCAGGATATTCAGATACCGCATGCGTCTTTTCGGTCCTGGCGCACACATGACAGCGGGATTCATCTCGTTCGTTTATGGAACCGACGCAAGTAGTGCAGCCGAAAAATGTTCTGCCCCCAGTCTCACCATCAATAACCGCGCCGTCACCACCACCAGCTTTCTAACCACAGGTCCGTCCTGTCTTCATTGTTACTGTACATTTGAATCCCGCAACGGCTTTGTCGTTCACCTGCGACTCCATCGCATAAAGACGGACGAACTAGTGTCAGTAGCTCCGAAACACACCCGTAGCTCCCGCTTCACATATTCACACTACTGTAGGACATTCAGCACTCACATGGACATATTCGACCATACGCACCTCCATGACATTCTTAGATGATGAAATGCAGCCGAGACTCCATTACAGCACCCCGTCTTCACGGCAATAAGGGAAATGACAGACTCGGAAGACTAAATGGAGGGCAGAATGAGGCCGACGATAGGGAGACCAGTTTACGGAAAATCAGCGCATTCGTGATTACAGCAAACCTGACATGTGCAAATCTACCCCGACACGCCCGTCCACATAGGAGCATTCTGGAGTGGCTAGAGGATCGGGAGTCAGGTCGCAATGGTTCCCTCGCGATGTGGCCTTATGGTACTCCCATTCATGCGAGACCCGGATCACGGCTATGTCAGAAATAAGTCATACGAGGAAGCAGTTACTTAAAGCATCGTTACTCCAAGGAACAGGGAGGATCTTTTAAATGTGGCACCGAGAACCAGTCTCAGACCACACGACTGCCAACTTAAAAAAGGACTGTGCCGCATCAATCAACCTTCCTCGTCCTGACATGGAGTCACTTTTCGGTGGAATTCTTCATCAACTTATGCCGTGCGTTCCCCCACCATGAGTGAATTTCAGTGGCGTCTCGATACTCACCAGCTAGCGGTTTGTCAGAATTCCCCAGAGTTCATTTACTGGGACGCCGTAATAACTGCCAACATGCTACTACCTTGATTCCAGTAACCCACTTTGTTTACAGAAGCCCTGACGATGTTGAACATATGGGGTTGCGAATGCAGCAAATGTGGTGTTCGCCATTATTTCGCAAATTCGCCATCACTTTCACACTCGCGTATCACTATCAGTCTTATGCATTTTGCATACCAAAATTACTTGTAAATATTTACCATCTAACTGCCTTTCATAATTTTAAGGATTAAATACACATGGTCGTCCGTGATAGAAACATTTTAGACGATGATAACGCGGAGAGCTGGTTGCCAAACCAATCCCCAGCTAGCAGCAGTGGCGTTTGAAAGGTCGATAGAAACGCTGCAGATTCGGAACTTTTATATCAGCCACCAGTCGCGACAAAGGCGAAGTCTTTTAAAAGCATTCTGCCAGCGTCTGGAATCGTACTGTGGTGCACCTGTTGTCTAGAAGGGAGAATCAGTTACCCTCGAGTACCACTCAGGGCAAATGTCTATCCATGGTTATTAGTTGAAGGAGGCTAATGGTCCCAGACTAACAGAGTCAAAAAGGAAAGCCCGCCCGAGTCATGGCGGAGCGTACAGAAAATAGGAGTATGCGGACCATAGCTATGGGCATCGCGAAATTTGGCGATGGAATCGCTCATACGATCAAGACCACACTTCGGCGCCATGTGGCGCATCCAAAAGACCCCGATTCTACTGGGCAAAGTCATTCGTAGTTTGCGGCTCCGAGTACGATTTTATGAAATCCAACTAGGCCGATGAACCTGGTCGAGAGTTAACGACACGGATGAGCGAACATTGGCTGGCGTTGAAATAGTCACATCCGATATCGGGAGTTGCATCGCATGCAGCTCAAGCCAGCCACACTTTTTGCATAGGTGAGGTCGATTTTTCAGCCGAAGGGAGTACCACTCTTCTAGAATTTTACACGAAGCACGGTTATCAGAGGACTGTTCAGTCAATCGTCTAATCGAGCTGCCTGCGGTCCATGCGGCTTTACGGACAAACCGGTTTCGGATGTGAATGAAAAAGGAAGACGACGGCAAGCGATTCGCAGGTGGTACTGCAGTGGTGTTACAGGGAAACGCGGCGCGCTCCAACTGGAAACCTAATAATGACCAGTACGCTGGACGCAGAACTCTCTGACGACCGAGAGCCCCGGAAGCTTGCTAAAAACGTCCAGCCTAAATGAGGCTTACGTTACATAGGCAGGCTGGAGTTTAAAAAGTGCAAGTTCAGGTCAATTCTTTGGCCGTTCGTGGCAACGGTATGGAGAAGGAACCCACTTACCTGTCGGCAGACTTTGCATCACGTCATATGCCTTTTATCTTGGCATTCATTTGCAGGCGTTTTGCAGCCATTACACTGCCAATAACAACCACATTCCATGACTTTAAACCATCACTCAAACGCCTTTTTTGAAATTTACTTTTTATTTGTTTTTAATTACCGCGCTCATTTCCGTTGTCGTACGAAAGCGTACGATGAGTTTTTCGGGAGAAATCCGGACAATTTCTGTGTTTTCTTGCATTTCGTCAGCTTACGGTCTAGTGTGCTGTTCAAACTGCAAACTGCCCTTATCAACATCCACGTATGACTTGATGCACAGTCTACGGACAGTAAAGTAGGGTCGTTCTCCATACCGTTGCCCCGTTCGTTTTAAATAAAGACCACAGGACCTACACTTATGTCAGACCTTCTACCAAAATCTTTCATAAAACAAAACAAAAAATAGCAAATAAGAAATACTCACAAATAGAATGGGTACTCACGCATTCCAGCGACGACGGTGATGAATTGCAACCCAGCCTTTGACCCATCTTTTAGACTCGGGAACTCCTACCACTAGAATTGTGAGTAATAAAACACTGAGTATTTGGGCCTTTTTGAATCGACATCGTGTTTCCTACCAATCAGAGGCAAACCTGAGACGGCAAATGCGCAGTCGCCAACCTGCGTCGAAGAGGGGTGGAAACGAAGGAGTGTTCACTTACACCATTTTGGTGCGTTTTGTGATACCGACGCAATAGGTGGGCTTCCGTATTTAGCTCACAATGCACCATGGGCAACACACCTCATGAATCATCCTGTGTAAATTCTAGAAGGTTGGTTTTGAATGGCTCAGATGTTGTGAGCTTTGGTAATATACTCATTTTGCTACGCAACTGAATTTCTTTTGCTGTGGCTTTCTTGGACGCGCAGTCCTTATGAATGCACTCGCGCAACTAGACCTGCACCAGCCGATTTGCAGACCTGGTAGGCTATGCCGAACTAGGTTGTACAGGCGCGCGAGTTCGTCTCACGGGGAGCACTAAGGTGAGGAAGGAAAGTGGATGGGAGCAACCTCAGTGTCTTTGGACATCTATTTTTGCGTCTCGGGGGAGTTAAACTTCGTCCTAATTAACGTAAGGGCGTTTCCATCCTTAAATCGTGGACCTTCAACTTTAAGTACCGATAGCTCGTAGGCCTAAATGAAAGCATCTGGAGTTTCGCGATAGGCCGTCACGTTTATCTCATGTTATTTTTTTTCTCGAAGTTCTGTGGATATATGTCCGCAGTTAGTTTCAACTGATCACGAAATTAAAATATTATAGGATTTCAGGGTAAGATGTGATTATTTAGTCGTACCTAGTGGACACAATACTGTTGATCAACAGTGGGTGGGTTAACTCATGAAATGTCAACCGAAATTCCGAAATGCGTCTCCGTTTTAAAAAGATTCGGTTAAAAGGGTTGTGAAACTACTAATCATGCAGCGTAATTCTGTAATAATTAAGTTACCTCGGGATGCTGGCTTTCGAGCGAACTTCTTTCCGACTGCATGCAAGAATAATACTCCGTAAAAATGACTACTTCAGTAGCATGCATTTTTATCATTGACTTCCGACGCCCTTAAGAATCCAACTATATTTCATGGAAACGTGTATAAAAAATTCATTGCTTTGCTCATTTGGTAGAAAATGACGTCTTCGTCTAATTTTATACTCGAAGGGAGGGTATAATTCGGTTTCCAAAAACTTTTCCAATTCCCGAATAAATATGAACCCGACCTGCCGTTACACTCGCATTCAGGGTTTACAAACTGCAAGCAGTACATTTTTCGCGTACGGAAAACCATACATTTCTCATACATTCTCACATGGGATTCATAAAATTTAACAGTGGATTTGAGTCGTATTGTTAACTTTACAAGTCACATTGGTAAATGCAGAAACATGACGTTTTACGAACGGTCATGTCACGGTATTAAAAAATCTCACAATTAGAAACTTTTTAAAAACCTAATTGTATTTCCCTTCGAGTATAAAATTGGAAGACGACGTAATTTTCGGTTAAGGCTAGGGGTTAAGGTTAGGGGTCATCGTTAGGGGTTAGGGTTAAGGGGTTAGAGACAGGGGTTAGGGCAACTATTTCTCAACCACTCAGAGTACAACTGCGCATTCCCAATAGCTTTTCTTTTGCATACAATTACTTGACTTCGTCGCCTGCGCGTTCCACCGCCATACCTGTAAAAAGCCCTATTGCCACCTGTCGCGTATTACAGGCGGCTTGGGTTTGTTTACCTGAGGTGCGGCTACATAACCACATCTGACCGATTTCCACCTCAACCGCTTGAGAGTGCAGTTAAGCACGGTAGAGTATCGACTGGGGGTGGGGACACTTAAAAGATAAATGTTGGTTTATTTAGCGTCATTGGCCAACCATACCCACGCGCAGACCAAAAATGTCTGCTGTTTGAGTCAGGGCTTCGTTTTTTATTGAACAGTACGCTGAAAGTTGAACCACCCGCGTACGATTTGTCGGTTATGACTCGGCGAACAGAGCACTTCGGCCAATCTTGCAGCTAGTTACTTAGACCAACTGTTTATTCGGGCCAAATACAGCAGTGCGAAAGGTCTGGCCCTTTATGAGGGAAGCGGTAGATGCGATTACTGTAACAAAACGTTTATTTGCCTGACGCTTCGGATTCTCATTTGGACCACCAGCATCAGAAACAGCCGCAGATAAGGGTAACGGAGGCACAAAGACTGCGGCATTTATAGTACGTAGCTTCCGTCGGATTACATGCGTACTATGATTGGCAGCTCTCGCGATCACCGCCAAGGAGTAGTAATTCATGTGATGAAAGCTCGCCAGTCCGCGTCCGAGTCGTAAATTGTCGCAATCTCATCATCCGAGTGACGATTGCTCGATAATTTGGCCCGCTGTCACTAGGACTGTTGCTCGCCCGCGCCCTTCCCACGTGACGGATTCACCTGCTCAAGGGAAGTCTCCGTACCGATTATGGTACCGGCAGGTCATTGCGTTTGTTCCTCCCTTTACTTCTGAGGCCCCACCCAGCTCGGGATGGCATGACTGGGTCGACACGACCGAGCCTGGGCGCATTAGCTGGCCAGGCGTTCATCCTGCACGTGGTGCGAACCGAAACAGAGAAGACTAATCGAGCAGAATGTTTAAGTCCTTTTCATCCCCGTAAAAACGCGCCGCCCATTTTTGCGCTCGCCCTTACAGGGCGAAGGGCTGGGCGTACACCTTCGTCGCCATGACCCCTACGCACACACGTAATGAGACCGAACCAGGGTTAGGAGTGAGAGAGGACGGTTGGCGGTGGTCAAAAGTTTTTGCTTTCTAAACACTACCCAGACCGGTTGTAAACAGTACAGCAAACAGAGGGTTTTCTGAAGACAGTTCAAAATGTATGGTATTCTGCTTGAGGGACTGCGTCACTACATCCTTTCTAAATACGGCGAGGAGGCATGGGATAGTCTGCGCAGGTCTGTCGACTATGAGGACAACACATTCAAGCCTACCACTAGCTATCCGGAGTTCCTTCTTCCCGACCTTGTGACGGCTGCTGCGGAAACCTTTAACGTCACCACGGACGACCTGCGTTTCTACCTGGGAGAATATTTTGTTACCTACCTGACAGGACACGGCTATGGCGGCATGGTGCGAATCTTGGGACGGAACATTCGCGACTTTCTGGACGGTCTGGACAACATGCACAAGTACCTGCGTTTCACCTTTCCATGCCTGCAGTCTCCCCTCTTCTTCTGTGCGAATGAAAGCCGAACAGGCATTAGTCTGCAGTACACATCCAGGAGGGCAAATTTCACGCATTATGTTCGCGGCATCATCTGTGAGATTGCAAAGCAGTGCTTTGACATCAAAATGAACATTGAGGCAAGTTAGATACTCTGGTTCTTCCGCACTTAATTAAAGCAGCCTTTTCTGCGATAATACAGCCAGTAATCAGCTTCATGCAGTTTTAGCGTAATCTCTGAAATGCGCTTTCGATTGGGAAGGATTACTCAAGTGAGCTTGGGATGGTGATTTTCGTGCGTCAGGGTGCCGGCTTCTGAATGGGCCACTTCCGGGCCACCTGCAAAAATGCATTCGGTAAAAAATAACCGAACAAGTAACATGATTTTTTTCATCAATTTTTGATGACCCTTTAAATTCAGATATATTTTTAGAAGATGATAAAAATATGCTTGTTTTTACTCGTTTGGTGTAAAATCACGTCTTATTTAAACCTTACACTGCGAAAAAGTGTATTCTTTGAATTTTCTAAAAAGTTTTTAGCTATGAATTTTTTGAAGATCACCAAGGTTTCATCTAAATATCATCGAATCTGTACTTTTATAAATGTTCCTTATGTAATATACAGCAAAATCTACATCCATTGCAAAATTTTATGAGTCACATGTAAGGGCATGGAGGAATGTATGATTTTCAAAGGTATTCAGCTTGTAGATTGCAAACTCCAACGCAAATATAATGGCAAATCGGGATCAAAGTTATTGTGTAGCTGAAAAATCTTTTGTTAAGGCCGGTTGGCAGGGCTTAGACACTCAAAACCACTCATGCGCAGTAAAATAGGCCTTTAGTCGAGTATCCCTCCATTTATTGAGTACCTAAACGAGGTGCACTTTTTCGGTTAATTTGCGATGTCAGTAAAATTCAAATCATTCTTTGCAGAAAAGAGGATATACAGTGAGCGATCAATCTCATCAAATGTTGGCCGAAATTCTGAAATTCGCTTTCGATTAGGAAGGATTACTCAGGTGGGTTTGTAATATTGATTATCATGCGGCATAATCCCATAATATTTCGGCCTCGCCAGGATGTCGGCTTTTGAATGCACCTTTTTCGACCTGCAGAAACCGCACTCGGTAAAGTAACTGCTTAATGAGAATGCATTGTTGACATTGATTTTCGATAATCTTATAAATTAAAATATATTTTATAGAAAATACGCACAAAAATTTGCTTTATTCTACTCCTTTGATGGAAAATCCCATTATCTTCACATTTTATACCCGAAGAAATGGTACATTTAGGTTTTAAGAATTTTCCCATTTTCGAATAATTTTGAGTCTGATCAGCCGTTGCATTAGCATTTAGCGATTTCTGTCTACAATTTGCATGCTTTCCGGATAAGGAAAATCGTATATTTCTCTATGTCTTTGAAAATATGCCATATAGAGTTCATAAAATTTTGCAATCGATGCGGAGTATGTTGTACATTTCATGGGGAGCATTGATAAACGGACAGGTACGATTCCGCATGAATAGACATTGCACGGTCTCAAAAAATCTCATAGTGAGAAACTTTTAAAAATCTAAAGATACTTTTTCTTCGGGTATAAAGTGTCCAGACAACATGATTTTCTACCAAACGAGTAAAAGACAGCACATTTTGTGCATGTTTCTATAAAGTATATTTGAATTTGTAAGGCCATCGAAATTCAGTGTGAAAAATGCACGCTAATCAAGTAGCCAATTTTATCGAGTGCGGTTTCTACGAGAGGCCGTAAAGACGTGAATTGAAAAACCGACATCATGGCATGTCCGAAATATTATAGGATTATGCCTCATGATAATCAATATTACAACACCACCTGAGGAATCCTGCATAATCAAAAGCGAATTTCAGAATCTCGGCAAACATTTCGTAAGATCCGCCATTCACTCCATACTGTCAAGATTATTTTTGCGATGACTGTACCATATGGAAAAGGCTACTCGGTTCGGAAATGACTTAATCATGCGACATCAATATTTCGAAGTAAAGCATAGGTTTTAGTTAATTTTTGGGTTCTTCTATCCAAAGTTCACGTATTTCTCTGAAGAAAGCCGTTGTCATACTGAATGTCTACCTAAAGTATTGTGATACAATGTCTTTGTTTTAGTGTGCTAAAAAGCTCCTGTAAACTCTTACACAACCTTGATTAGCACTATCAGGCACATCGGCGCCTCGTGGCGAACTTGTTATTTCTGAGTTGACTGGTGTAAATACCCTAGGGGTATTACTCCTCTTCATTCGAGTGTAGGCCCTTGTAAATTCTACAAAGGTCTTCCCCCGTAGATGCGACACTCCAACCTTGTGAGTAGCATTGACGAACCCAAATATTCACTCAAGCTCCTAAAGAATTCGCCAAATCACGTTCGCCAAATCTTGTTTAATTCATGAATTTATCCTCGAATGACATCTCTTCGACCTCAGTGCCGTCAGTCCAAAACCCTCCGCGGTCATCTTGACCTTGCCTGCATGTGGAAGTGGCACAAAGCCTGATAAGTCAGGAGGAAATTGACTTACTGGCTGATCAAACTGTCATCTGAGACCTACGTTCCTTATGTGGCTCTTCCGACCTTCGAACGGCATCCACCTTAAAGGATTGCCTATCGAAAGTTACGGGTGTGGTCAGTCCCTTCGAGATGCGTTTCAAGTGGGGGGTTGTGGTCGGCTATCAATGTTTTGCATTGCTGTTCATGTATGCGGGTCGAATGATTGGGTCCTGACGTCTGACACGGTGGCAACCAATATCACTGCAACCTCACCGGTAGGCAACTGCTGACCCTCATCAGGTGGGACGGGGTCTCTCGAGGACATACCATGACGAGCTCTAATCTAGGGTCGACGAGGTATGCATATCCCGGAAGATTGCAAACCTGGGCGGCAGTCTTGGAGACTTGGTTAATGTACTGGATGGCCTGGCACATTGAATCATTTTTGACTGAGAAGTCGTTCGCTATTCTGGTGGTTTCTGTGCTCGACATGTCTAATTATTACTGGTGCGAGACCCTTTCGCTTTTTGCTGATCTATAGCGTTTATGTTCACCCTGGCGATTGTTAGAGTTCAGAATTTGCCTAGCTTTGAGGGCGTTTCAGAGCACAATATTCTATCGTCCCCCATGTGCCTACCAACAAAAGAACTTCAAAGAAGGTAGGTTCTTTGGCCAATTTCACTTGCACGAAAAGAAAATGTCCTGTTCAACAGAAATGCTTATAGGCAGCAATGGTATTACCGACAAAGAAAAGGGAGAGTGGAATGGCCATTTCTGGCTTATTAGCCGTCGTCAGCCAGCCATACCCAAGCCCGAAGTGTGGAACACCCGAGCCTCGAACTCGCGACCTGTTGGTTTAGAAGTTCACGCCTCTACCCACCGGGCCACGAGCCCGTTGCCCTGTTGGTTTTCGATCGGGACTATACAATGGTAGTGGGCGCTCACCGATCGTTCATACGGAACTCGCTCGTTCCGTTTTGCCTTAAGGGCTCTCTCTCGAGCCCAACCAGCAGCCGCACAGCGGCGCATGATATATAGGCAGAATGGTACTACCGACAAAGACAAGGAGACTGGAATGGCCATTTCTGGCTTATTAGCCGTCGTCAGCCAGTCATACCCAAGCCCGAAGTGTGGAACACCCGAGCCTCGAACTCGCGACGTGTTGGTTTAGAAGTTCACGCCTCTACCCACCGGGCCTTAAGGCACCGAGCCCTTAAGGCACAACGGAACGAGCGAGTTCCGTATGAACGATCGGTGAGCCTCCCCTACCATAAGACATGCTTATTTGCGTAAGGTGCTCAATACGATTTGTGCTGGTAATGATGCATATGTGGCCACTAAGAAAACTCGGAATTTTGGTTTATAATCCGATGATCGGTAAACATGGTCGCCACGGGAACTAGAGAATTCAAACAAAAGAAAGAGTAATTCTGTGTTAATACAAATAACTTTGAGGATACAAAATGCCTAACTGGAGCGATTATTTGAATTGGATATACTGTCAAACAAAAGTTGAATATGGAAGACGTTCGGCGTCCGGAGAATGTGAGCTTCAAATGCGTTTGAAATTTAAAATTTCCCGATATAATTAATGGTAACATACACCTCTAACTACAGGAAATCTCTAGTGATGAGACTGCGTTTATGACATATACCTGAACGCAGGACGCTTCCAACTCAATGGGTTCGAGAGTTGATATTAGCTTTCATCTTTTTACCCTGTTGGACGAGGTTAGGGCGTTTTCGTTACTACTGATAGCAACATTCAGGCGGTTTGCTGAAGTACGGTTAATATTCTTCTACAGGTCCTCAATATTTCTCAGGAAGGCGGCCTCCACCAGGTACTCTTTCGACTCCATTTCAACAACGTATCATACGAACGGGTTGACGACGCACTGGCCGTTCCGTCGACCATCTTCTTTGAACTCTTCCCCTTCCACCTCGTGATTGCTCGAACCATGAAGATAACTAAGGCTGGTCGAGGCCTAATCTACGCAATGCCGGACATCGTAAACAAGAAGCTGAACGAAGCCTTCATTTTAGTCTGTCCTGTAATCAGCTTCACTTGGGAAGCCGTAAGTGTATCTTCTCTTGCACACACATGTATGTATATACACACACGACAGCTCCGCTGTCATGTCCGATGATGTCTACTGTATGCTCCAAAACAAGGTGGAACAGGCGTGATTTAGTTTATAGTAATAGTAGGCTTGCACAACATCTACCGCACTCCCTCCTCCTTCCCCACCTAAGTCCGGTGTCAAGACAAAATCAGGAAGACCGGAGGCGGGGGAGGGCGCAGATGGATGGCGTGGTCGAGCCCGCACCTTGGCACTACACTCCACACCCTTTGATTAACATGGCGAATGACCAGGAATTTAACCAACAACAAAAATGGAGAGGACCGCAGGGGTCCCAAAGTGCGCGACGTCTGCCGGCAACCGGGTGTGCCACCGCATTCCCCGAGATGCTGGCATTTGTTATGGTGCGCATTCCGATAACGCCTGCTAGAATCCGATATGGCCCCGCGTGTTGGTCCAGCGCATCTACCACGTGGCCCGCTTGGGGGGTGGGTACGCACCTCTTAATGAGTGCACAAACAGAGAGAAGTGGGAAAGTTGCACAGATGCCAGTTCCTCTTATGCCCACAAAGAAACTGATATGTCAAAGTCTGCGAAATTCTTGCAGTCACTTCTGGCCTGTATGGAGGATCGCATGGTCAAAAGAACTACGGCCGGTATAAGAGTGAGAACACTGGGACAACTCCCGTTTTCGCTGCTCCCTTCAGACAATAGAAATTAGAAAAATCTGCCATACCGACATCGTTATCGCATTCTACCCTATCACTGACGTTTGAGGCTATGTGAAACTAGCTGACCAAGTCTTCTAGGACTTTTAGAAAGTCCGCGTAGCTCAAGTGGTTAGAGCGTTGGCTGTACTAAAGCCTTTCCCTTACTGCGTGGGTTTGAATTCCACCGAAGCGCCGAGTTTTTCACAGTTGGGTCAATATGAATTATTCAAAATCTGCCAAAATATCTATGAATTACATGAGCCTGGTAGTCATCTGGTGGATTCTAGGTGAATTACTTAGGAAATCCTGCTTGAGCAGTCAACCTTCTGTATCAGATTTGGTGGATTCCAGACGTTGCAGTAGGTTGGGTGGGTAACTTAACCCAAATGTGATTAAACTCGAGTCGTCCGGCGGGCCTCGTGGCTCAAGTGGTTAGAGCGTTGGTTGCCCTAAAGCCTTTCCCTTACTTACTGGGTTCGAATCCCACCGAGGCGCCGAGTTTTTCATAGTTGGGTCAATATGAAAGTCAACCATAATTTGGACCGGCTCCACTTCCACAGACTAGAGAACACGGGCTCCTTTTTCGTCTGATCCCTGTAGGCAAACAGCTGCCAAACACAACCCAGTGACCAAATTGTCCTTTTTCAGTTAGTTTCCTGAAAATAGTCTTTTTGCAGCTGTCGCTTTATTATCCCGCTCGACTTAGTTATTAAAAAATCTGGCTGCCTTGACGGAATTCGCACCCGAGAAAAGAAGGCAAAGGTTGGGTTACAGCCAACGTTCGAAACACTTGACATACTAGACCCGGCCGGGAGTCGTGAGATTAGTCATATTTTAGTCAAGTTGCCCGCCCAGCCTTGAGCAAATTATGGGACAACCAAATATGATACAATGAGCTGGCTGCCCAAGCAGGATTTCCTATGCAATCCCTTTAAAATCCACCAGATGTCTACTAGTCCCACTTAATTGAAAGGCGGTTTTGGCAGATAGGAGTAACTCATTTGACCCAATTGTAAAAACCTCCGTGGCCTTTGTAGGATTCGAATCCACCTTCTCTTGCCTTCATCTATACACGTAAGGCAAAGTCTAGCATGGATCTCAGTCCGCACCAAGTCAAATTTAGAGCAGAATCGTGTTAACGATGCTGAGTTCCAGCCCGTCTCTGCCATAAGACTGTAGGACGCATAGGTTTCCAGCAGGGTGTACCTTTTATTAGTCCGCCCGAACCCAATGAAAGAATGCGTCATTGGGACCTGTTAGTTGGAAAACTAGAAGGCTGACCAATTCGGACCAATAAACATGCAATAACTGCCCCTCTACCATGCTATTAGAGAGTATTTTATGGCATTACGATGCGTGGATTGGGAAGTTTTGGAAAAGTAACAGAGTTCGTCTGACCTTGAGGCATATTTTACCGACTTCAGAGACCATCCCTATTCTTAACTGTTCTTGTTCCCTAAAAATTACAGAATTAACCTAAAGCGAAACCCCTCATCGGAAACGGGCTGTTAACAACAACGACTTTTAAAGAAACTCAAGATAGCTGTTTAGGAAAAGTGTCGATAAATATCCATATCTGAAACATTTTTGCACACTTCCAGATACTGCTAAAACACCGCATTAAATTCTGTTTTAGGTCATGTTTCACACAAAGAATATCTTTGAAATACTGCAACGCACGGAAGATTACGGTAAGTCGTCTGAGAAGGGTTAATGCATCGAAATTTTCCTTAACCTGTAATTAGTTGAAAAATGGGCTTTAATTAAACATTTAATGAAAGGCTGTGATCCAGCCACTGAGCGGTTTTAGCATAGGTCAGCAAATATCCTATGATCGGAGGCGTCTATTTATCGTTGTTTTATCGGTAGGTGCCTGTGGGTCACTCCGTTAATGCGCACCGTTGTCCGCAGTCAAAATATGTAATTTTGCAGTCCCTAAGAAAGGTATTTAAAAAAAGCCCCACAAACCTTTCATCTGGAGTAATTCCACACTACTGGGAGTTCTTTTGTTTATTTCAGTTTATTTGGTAAGGATAACAGGCAAGGCCTTTGAAAACCCTATTGATTACATGTCCGCTCGTTAGAAATAACTGTACACGAACGTCGAGAATATTCGTTATTAAAACCGTACTTGGTCCATTTAAGTAGCATTGTTTCAAAGAAATAACTTCCAGGAGATCGCGAAGTATCTAACTCAGGTTCAGACTATCGAGGGAAACCAGGGGACACAAATAATTATCCAAGCGTTTCTTGAACAGTTGCAGGGACATCACCTCCACGACTGATTGAGGGAGATTGTTAAACTTCTCCACTACCTATTGTGTGTAGAATTCAGAACGAAGATTCAGCGTGGACATTTTTGTCCTTAGCTTCGTCGAATGACCACGAAGATTGGGTGAAAGGTGCTGCTGAAACATGTCCCCAAAGCTAAGTTCATGCTCAAGGCCATGGATTACCTTGTAAACCAGGACAAGATCATCTCTTTGTTGCCTGTAACACAGAGGGAATAAATTAAGGCATTCAGTCTGTTTATGTAGGATTGGTTTTTAAAACCGTTCACAAGGTTTGTTGCACGACGTTGTACTCTTTCGAGGCATTTTTGGTCCGTTACTAGCCATGGCCGCCGCGCTTGTATGTTATATTCCAAATAGAGACGACAAAAAGTGCCTTAAACTCTCATAAAAAAGGTCTTTTTCGAAGGTTACGGACGCCCTTTTGATTGCATGGAGTACTTTCATGGCGTTTTTTGCAGCCCTGTTGCACTGCAGTGTTAGTTTCATGTTGTTCTGTATCAAAACACGGGGATCCTTCTACAAAGGTTCTGCGGGAAGTGTAGTGTCTTTTAGATTATATGTCTTCAGGCTCTCATTTGAATGAGGGTTGGTTGGACGCCGATGAAGGACAGCACGCGTCTGCACATTGAACTATAGAGGCCATTTCTCGGACCACGCTTGCAGTGGGTGCAGATTGTTTTGAAAGACTCTCTAGTCATTTGGACTCTTAACGACTTGCCAGAGCTTAACGTCATCGACAAACATTAATTTGCCGCAGTCAATGTCCTGAAGGCTGTTATTAACGTAAAGGGTGAAGTGCAAGGTCCCAGAACTGAGTATTGAGGCACATCACTAGTCACGTTCACTCAGTCTGACATATCGTCTCCGATGCAGACGCTCTGTTTTCGACCAATCAGAAACGCCCTTATCCAGTTCCTCAGATCTTTCCAGATGCCGAGGGCGTCCATTTTATGGAAAAGGTGTTGCTAGGAGACAGTTTCAAATGCTTTACGGAAATCGATCAACACGACATCCACCTCAAACCCCTCTTTTAAAGCCCTGGTCCAAATTTCCAGACAAGTTAGTAGATTTGAGAGGCAGGAACGTCCTCTCCGGAAGCCATGCTGAAAATCCTGCAAGGCGTTATTTTCTCCACAAAATTGATGTCATCGTTTGCTTTCATTGTTTTGTATGATAGGCTAGTTAAGCTAGTAGGCATAAAGCTGCTTGCTGTCATCCTGATACCTCCCTTATGTTGTTTCGAGTCTTTTTAAACTATTGAAATGAGAAAATGTGTGTGTATATATGAAAAATCCCTTTCATCAGTTAACTAACCGCCTCTCATTTAAACCCCTTTTAGACGAAGAAGACGAGCAAAATTCGGGCGGAGCACTACGAATTCGTGGTCAGATGAAATACATGAGTGACTGGGATTCAATAGTCTTCCTTGGAACTCCAATGTGGGTCTGGGATTGTGCCTGATAGCTATTCCAAGGGAAAGAGATGCTGAGGGAAAGGGGCTATCAGCTGCATAAGTCAAACATCCTTTAATCCTTTTATAGGGGCCTTTTACCCGGCAGCGCATTCTCAGGTATGCGTGAAAATAGGGTTTACCAGAATGCGGTCAGGTCTGTTAGTACATGGCTTCCTCCTAAGCGCTCGATCAAACTGGAAAGAATTGTGTCATCTGTAGAAGTCTCGGTCGCTGGCCCAGTTTTGTGGTCCCCTTCACCTGCGTCCAAACGGCTGGGCCAATGGCCGAGATTTCAGCAGATCTCCCCCGTCCACCCCCAGTTCTTTGAAACGAGTGTCCGGAAGTACAGTTAGTAACCGATCTCATGAAATGTTGGCCGAAATTCTGAAATACGTTTGGAAGGATTACTTAGGTGAGGTTGTAATACTGATTACCATGCGGAATAATCCCGTAATATTCCGAACCTGCCAAGATATCGGCTTTTGAATGCGCTTCTTTTCGATCTCCTGCAAGACCCACACTCGATAAAAAATTGACTACTTAAGTAGCATGCATTTTCGCATTGATTTACGATGGTATTATAAATTCAAATATATTTTGTAGAAAACATGCACAAAAATATGCCTTCTTCTACAAATTCGGTGGCAAATCACGTCGACTGTACATTTTATGCTTGAAGAGGGGTATATTTGAGTTTTAAAAAAGTTTTCTAGTTCTTGAATGATTTTAAGCCAGATCAGGCGTTGCATTAGCGTTTAGCGATTTCTTTCTGCAATGTGCATACTTTCCGTGTGAGGAAAATAATTTATTTTTCTATGCTTTTAAGGGGATATCATTTTGAGTTCACGAAATCTTGCAATGAATGAGGACTATGTTGTACATTTCATGAGGAGCAATGATAAATAGAAAGGTACGATGCTGTATGAATGTCCATTGCACGGTCTTGAACGTCGTATAATTAAAGACTTTTTTAAAATCTAAATATACCCCGTCTTCAAGCATAACATATACAGTCGACGTGATTTTCCACCGAATTTGTAGGAGAAAGCATATTTTGTGCATGTTTTCTATAGAGTATATTTGAATTTATAAGAAAATCGTAAATTAATGCGAAAAATGCATGCTACATAAGCAGTCCTTTTTTTACCGAGTGGGGTCTTGCAGGAGGTCGAAAAGAAGTATATTCAAAAGCCGACATCTTGGCGAGTCCGAAATATTACTGGACTATTCCGTATTCTAATCAGCAGTACAACCCCACCGAAGTAATCCTTCCAAATCGAAAACGTATTTCAGAATGTCGGCCAGCATTTCATGAGATCGGTCACTCACTTTAGTTCGGTTGTAAGAGTTTTTATGGAACAATATATGAGGGGAATGTGCCAGAGCTACCTTTGCCACAAAAACTTGCAGTAGTATTGATCACTTGAGCTAAAGGTAAAAGACAAACGGGCCTTCAGACCGAGAAATGACCCCGTCCTTACCCTTTCGGCCCCATCATTAGGACGCGGACATGAGTTAACGGGGTGCAAGTATCAAACACGCTGATCTGAAAGCCTTTTTTGAGGGAACTGATGGAATTGATTTGTCTCTTCATAAGTATTAAGTACAGTAGGTGTGCTAACTCGTGAAATGTTAGCCTAAATTCTGAAGTGTGTTTCCGATTCGAAAAGATTAGTTGAGTAGGTTTGAAATATTAATTATCGCGCAGCAGAATCCTAAGATACATCCTTTACTTCGGGATGCCGGCTTTTGGGCGAACTTCTTTTCGGTCGCCCGCAAAAACCAGTCTGTAAAAATTACTAGTGGAGTAGTATGCACATTTTTATATTGATTTTTGATGCCCTGATAAATTTAAATACATTTCCTAGAAAATATGCTAAACTGTGGTTATTATTACAACCCTACTTAAGTAATCTTTTCAAATCGGATATAACTTTCTGGATTCTTCTAACATTTCATGAGTTATTGCACCTACTGTTATTTCGGGCAAAAGGGCGTTAGGCAGTGTTTTGAGTAGGAATAGTAAAAAGTTGCAGTTTTCTCCTTCTAAGATGTCTAGAGGAGGGAAGTTGAACTTGTCTTGTCTTTAAAACTTGGTCAGTTGACGGATTACCCGCTGATAAATTTAAGATTCAAGGAGGTAATTATATGAGATGAAGAACAGCGTTGTCTAATCTGTATATTCTGACTGGAAGACCATTTGTGACTCCACCTAACTTCAGACTGGCTCTCCAAAAATGTTTTACCACTTGCTATATGTATAGATTTTCTATTGGTAACTTAAATTTGAATGGGCGCCTCGTGGTTGAAAAGAATTACATAGTTAAAACGTATTTTACAACCTTGAGCTGTCATTCCTGTGAGCTTAGGGTCTAAAGAAGACCTGATTTTAGATTTGCGAAAATTCCCGTAGCAGTAGCGAGAAGACGAGAAGCTACGTATGCTCGCCACCTTGTCTTCTCAAGACCTGATTTGCTGCCAAATGAGTGCAAGAATGAATATTTTTGTGTCTATTTTCCATAACATATATTTGGATTTACCGTGTTTATCATCCCCCGAGGAAGAGGAAGAAGAGAAAATCATTTCATGGACCAGATTGTATTCAAACTGACGTTTCGGAAACGCTCTCGTTTCCATCATCAGAGTTGTTAGCTGACGTTTCTTGCTGGCCTTGATTTGTTCAGCCTTGCCGCCTGTCTCGTGTTATAACTGTGCCCAGCGCACATACGTTAACTAGCCCGTTTTCTGTTGGCTGGTTGTGGCCTCTCATATCCCAGTCATTGGCGGACTGGCGTGCCTTACGCCCCCCTCACGCCTGCGTCGGCGTGCTCGTTAGCCTCCCCCTCGTCAGACAGCGGGCTGATCGATTGTTGTTCCTCAAGCATGGTGTTTTCGGCCTCGCGAGTACGTTCGTGAGGCAGTGTGCCACGCCGGTCACGTGACATTCGGTCAGCGCCTTCCCCTCTCTCCGCGAGCGTCGGCAGTCGAGTCCGTGTGACTGGTATCGGTCCTGCCTGGACTGACTCGAGCCTTGCGCGGAGCGCCTGGTAGGCGGGATGTAGGCCTATGGCTCAGTTGAGCTATCAGCGATTGATAGAAAACATGCATGCTAGTTATGCGGTCATTTTTTTACCTAGTGTAGTTATTGCTGACGGACGGAAACAAGCTCCTTCAAAAGCAGGCATTCCGATGTGATTGATTGGGATTTTGCTCCAGGACGATCAATAATGCAAGCCCAACTATGCAATTGTTTCTAGGTCAAAACACAGTTCAGAATTTCGGTTAACATTTCATGAGATACTTCACCTACTGTATGTGCGATGCAACATTTGAAAAACGCGGATCCTGAATTCCAATTGATCCCACCATCCGATAGTGCAATTTACCATATATCATCTCGATTTCTTACAGGTATTTAAGGTCCTTCGCCCTCCAAACTTTCAACGTTCCAGTTATTGAGTATCACGAATCGGGGTTTCACGCTGAAATTTTAATTCCCGACACAGACTTTATGTTCCTAATCGTCATTTTCTGCTTCGTTAGTACCGAAACAGTGTTCACAAAGGTCTGCACTGTGAACGACAGTCATCCGCCACTAGCACTTTAGTATGACCCCTTGACAGGACAACAGAGAAGAAGTGTCCGATTGGTCGAGGTGCTAGCTATGTTTGAAAGCCTTGAAGAACACTATTCAGATCCGTTGTCAGCATGAGTCACCCATTAGCTGCCTGGTTCTGAACGTCCGCCTATCCGTTGACCATGCCAGCGGGGAAATCAGATACGTCATGCAACCCCCGCCTGTCAGATATCACCACGGTAGCTAGGCTGGAGTGCATGCCTACCGTCTAATGCGCACACCCGTGAACTTTGTGATTCGAGCTTCCGGTTTTAATTGTACTACTGATGGCCAGACGTTCTGTAGACCTGTAGCGATATTAGGTTAGTTTGGTTTGTGTCACGATAATTTCAAACGATCTCAGTACCCAAACGTGGGTCAGCAAAATGCAGCCAGAATTGTTGACGCTGGTAGCAGAGTTAACCTAACCTTATGACTGAGTCTATTTGCTCCGCCTGTGTAGCTCATCGGGTACTATGCCCCAACAAACAGTCAGGTAGTCACGAGCAACTGCTGCAAGAAAGTCTTTGTTCTGTCAGCTTTTTGGGGAAGTCTGTTAAGGCTTTGAAAATAAGCTTTGAGAGGCAATCGAAACGACTGCGTCCAAACCTACATTTACGTCAAATGGATTCATTTGACACAGCTCCGGACACCTGCATGAAAAAGAACGTCCAAAAACTCACTACTTCGGTAAAGGCTTCCAAGAAATAACCTACTTTGAAGGTTATTACAGGCAGAAACTAGAGAACTCATCGTTCCGGCGGTCAGTCAAAAACATTGCAAATTACAAAGTGTTTGTTTACATTTTAAGTAACACTGTAACTCGGCGGAATTCACTGTCGCAAAAAAAAACTAGAGTAATTTTATTGAAGAAAAGTACCCAAGATGCACAGAAAATGTTATGCTTTCGATTGGATGCGTCGACTTGTGACCCTACGGAAACTTTTATTCCTGTAACGTCTCTACCAGTGAAATCAGGCGAAATTCTCTTTGATTTAGTCAGCCGCATCATAAACAATACAAAACTGGAAAACGTCATCGAATTCTCGCAATAAACTTTTAGAACACATGATTAGACATTATGTGCTTAACCATGTGCCAGACTTCTCCCAGGATATTTGCTCCAAATGTACAGATGTATACATAGAGTAGTGTTTTAGCGTTATTACGTTTTTGCTGTTTTATTTTACCAAAACCACCATGCTCTGGGGCACATAACGAATTTTTATTTAATTTGGACGCATGTCATGAGATAGGTTATCTACTACTACTACTAATACTACTACTACTACTACTACTACTACTACTACTACTACCACTACTACTACTACTACTACTACTACTACTACCACTACTACTACTACTACTACTACTACTACTACTACTACTACTACTACTCTATCTACTGTTTACCTGCTTTCGCAGTTGTTCCTTGGTCCCCTTTGAAGTGTAGGTTACTTATTTAGGTTTGGTGTCTCTACTAGTTGAAGAAAGCATGACAATAATCCTACCAGCACTTGATGCTATTCCTTAAATAAATTTGGATGACGTAACTCTAGAAGTCTGTTAGGGATCCCTGGACTACCTTCCTGTAAAACCCTCGGGAACAAATCCCAAATGGCTGCACAAACATCAACGGAAGACGCCACTCGGTGCCTCATCATCTGGTCAATACGGATACATGAGAAGTAGTTCAGGGCATGAAAGTTTGTAGGCGGAGATGAATGCCAAAACAGGTATGCACTTTGTACCACTTTCGTGTGGCGCTGGGATTGCATTCCCTCCTGTGAAATAGGTTATATCAGTCGGCGGTCATGATGTGGACGCTAATAAAGCCTGTAGGATAAACTGCTAGATACCAACTCGCCTCTGAAACAGCCCAGGATGCTAATGGCAGCAGAAATGACGTCCACCCGACCAGGAAAACCCACACCTGTGCACTCAGGCTTCACGCCTGCCGCAACGCAATGCATGCCGGCTGATCTTCGCGGAATTGACCGGTTTTAAAGTGCATTTTATTGAGCCCTCATCTCTCCCCGCCCAAAATGATTCTACCCTCCACTCCGTAATCATCCGCCCCCCTCCACCCATGACCTTTTATCTCTCGCGAACTAACTTACCGCTCTAGTGAGCTGGCTGTCTATGCAAATGTATCGGTCCGATGCCGAATTACCGAAAACAATCCCCTTGCACAAGTCCCTTCTTCTCAGTATGTAAAATTATTTCTAGGGCGACCAAACCAGGGTGAAACAACCAGGCATTACTCACACTTGCCGCATCAAAAAGTCATTCATATAGTTCCAGACTGCGCATCAATGAAAGTGGGTGAAAGTCGGGTTATTTCCGTTTTTGGCATAGATGAATTACGAGAGCCTGGTAGTCATCTGGTGGATTCTAGGTGAATTACTTAGGAAATCCTGCTTGGGCAGTCAACTTACTGTATCAGATTTGGTGGATTCCAGACGTTGCAGTAGGTTGGGCGGGTAACTTGGCCCAACCGTGATTAAACTCGAGTCGTCCGGCTGGGTCTCGTAGCTCAGGTGGTTAGAGCGTTGGCTGTACTAAAGCCTTCCCCTTACTGCGTGTGTTCGAATCCCACCGAGGCGCCGAGTTTTTCACAATTGGGGCAATAGGAATAGATGGAAAAGGCACTGTCCTGGAACGGGCATCGAGTCTGCCACGTTAACAATAATCAGGAGTCTGGGGTTCCCCTTCAGACCACCCGTGCACATTTTCGTGGCCTTCTCGGATAAGAGGCTGCATTTCGAAAAAAAAGATTGTTTTACTATTCTTGCAACTTTTTGTTTTTACGCAGACTCCGCAACGTCGAGCAAATGCGAATGTGCGGCCTGTTTCTCAACGACCTTGGACTCCATGACTTCAGTCGCGATATGGTGTTTGTGGGCGAGCAGGAATCCACTCAGTTGAAGTTATCCCTTGATACGGTAAGTTCTCCCGGCCGTGCGTACTCTGAAGGCATGGTTAGACCCTCCCTCAGGAGCACTCTGGATGCGTTTATCCACAAAAGGGAAAACTAGACAGAGCCGGTTTTGCAAACAGGAATTTTATTTAGTCATCAACAGGCAAGCCCTTCTAAAAACGCTGTGAAAAAACAAAAATCGCCAATCACACAGCAGATGGGAAGGAAAGTCCGCATAAATGAATTGGTAACCGAGCACAAGAGAGTTAGTACTTAAGAATCAAAGTTGTGAAGTACAGCCAGAGAAAAGAGCTTGGTAAAATCGAGGTGGCGTATGTAAGTCTTCGGAGGACAATAAAGGTAGTTCATTTTTGCCAAGTGTCCATATTATGTAAAGCGAACCGCCGGAGAACTTTTCAAAATTTGGCTATTGAGGGGCCCCAAATACTGGCTTTTAAAGCAGTCCCCCACGTACGATGCAGTATCTTTTCCATTTTACAGGTGTTCCTGTCGCTAGGAGCTGCATTTGATAGGGACAAATGTTGTGGAAGGAGACGACGACGATGATGATGATGAGGATGATGATGATGATGATGATGATGATGACGATGGTGGAGGGGTGATGATGATGATGATGATGATGATGATGTTGTGTGGGGTTTTTGGGTCGTGTTAGTAGGGTGGTTTTAATGACTAATGCCTTTCAGATCAATCAACGAAAGTGAGTGGATGTATTTGTTCCACTGACGTCTAAAAGGATGTTTTTATTTTGACGCCTGCATGAATTGCATTAAGCAGTCAAAGTAGGAATTCAGCAAAGCTGACCGAAACCTGAGAACAAAGGCCCGCCGGAAAGAAGGGAACTCTGGTTAATACTGCTGATGACATTTCATAAGAGCCAGAAAAGTTTCTTCAATTCACTTCTAGTCTTTCGCCAATGAACCATACTCCTTGAAAATAAGCCTGCTTTGCGCATGCCAGGCAGTGGAACGGTGTTGGGCATCCAACAGTCCAGTCATCGCTCTTGGAGAAATCTGCTGCGACAATAAGACGCCAGGAAAAGATTTGCAGCAATCACTCTCATGTGCCAATTCACTAGCAGGAAGCCGAATCAGATTCACAAGTATACGACACGAGAGTCCATCCATTTGTCACGGCAACGTTAGCAACTCGGTTATGCCTCTTTCCTTGATCATCAAATGTCCTTTGGTTATTAGTCGTTACTTTTGTTTTCTTGTAACGTATATATATGCTTAACTTTTGCTTTCATTACCAGATGGCAACGCTCACAGAAAACTTTGAGAAGAGCCAAAAGGAACTGGCGGACAAGACCGAGGCAATGAAAGAATTAATGTACCATTCGATGCCTCACAGCATTGCGGAGAGGCTAAAGAGGGGACAGTCGAAAGAGGAATTGGCGAAGGTCTGCTGAATGCTTTTAGATTACAACAGTTTTAAGTGTACTGCATGAAGTTGTCTGTATATTAGCGTGGGTTGCATGCTGATCTCTAGGGCGGGCCACGTGAGAGATGATGTGGACCGAAAGGGGGGCCAGTTGAGGGTAGAAAATGCGTTAAGAGGGCTACGCAGAGTCTGCGCATCTACTTACAAACGGGCAGTGGGATGGCACGCGTAGACTCAGACATACTCCGCCCTAGCCGTTTGTGACCAATCACAGCATAATATGGCTGACCGGCTCGCGCAGTGCACGGGAGAAGAAAGAGAGAGAGAGTGAGGTTGACAGTGCGAAGTTGAATTCCCCGACATGTCAGGGCACCCTCAATTATAAACACTTTGATGCTCTTTGCAACCTTCACGACGCACTAAAAGGCGTGCTTTTGAAGGCTGTCAAGTAATTGGGTAGCTCGGTCCCCTCGTACAGAAAGTCAGTCTGCAATGGATCCTTCTTAATGTCGCTTCTGGTGGAACCCGAGCCGAGCACTTCTTGTTTCCGCGAAGACCCTAGGGTAACAATCGGGAGATGGCACCCAAAAAAATCCGCCTAACCAAAGCAACCTGTCTTACTGGACAGGTGGTAATAGGGGTTTTATGGGTGGTGGGTGGTCGGGATGTACGATACCAGCCGACGAACAGCCTTATTTGGACAGGTGAATGATCGAAGTTGGCCTGCTCTCCTTTCCGTTATTACAAAATGGGTCGTCAAAGGCAGTATAGTGGTAACGGACGAGTGGATGGCGTATCATCGTCTTCCCTCAGAAGGTTATCTACATTTCTCTGTTAAGCACTCAAAGAACTTCAAGGACCCTACCACCGGACGGCACACCAATGCCAATGAGGCATACTGGTGTAGACTGAAAAGGAAACTTCACGAGGGAGGCCCTGTATGTGGTCGATATGTGTGGGCTCACATAGACGAGCAATAGTATCGTCTTTGGTTTGGCCTCAATGCCATGCCTTTGACAGATGTCTGGGAACTGTTTCTGTCCCATGTGATGCAGACTTATCCTTTTTAAAAGTGATTTTGTTTTGTAATAAACTGCCATAATGCGAATGTATGCCGTATATTCAGGTGTACGTGTGTAACGATGGGGAAGGTTTGGTAACAGCGATCATCTTCCATGTAACCTCCTGCGATGTTCGTTCGGCCAGCCGATGTTAGGCCGTCGAAGAAAGCCCAAGTAGAGCGTGAAAGTAGGCCTGCAACGGTTAATATAGCCTGACGGCGTTTGAGTCTACTGATAAAGGTATTATTTCTAGGTAACGGATTTTTTTTGGGTGCCATCTCCCGATTGTTATCGAGCCTAGTTCTCTGCACGCTGTGCGGGTCGTGTGTGGGACGGGTAGACGGGATGTTTAGCTTTGCCCGCCACAGAGCCCGACCCCGCCTACGGCCGCCCTGACTCTGTCTCGTCACCGGGTTGAGGAGGACGAGAGGGGAGGGAGTGAGCGGATGCTGCATAAGTCCGCTATCATTACAAGCTATTTCACGCTCTAGTCGCTGTCCTGAACCTACCATGCTGTGTGGTACACGATGGGCACTGTCCCTCGTAACGGCCGAAATGATGCAGGTTGCATGGGATATTTAGCGGCAAAGAAGACGTTAACGCTACCCTGGATGGCATTTGAATGGTGTTTCTTTTCTTCTGGAAGAAATGGGAATCCTTGCGGAAGGACTGTGGGGCAAACGTTCGTCTACAGCTGCGAAGTGGGGTGGAGCCGAGAACGATCTTTTACTTCCACTTTCCAGTTAGCGGTCTTTTCTCTTTAACTCCCCTGAAGCAATGAGACTGCTCAGTATATGGTCAAGTGCTATCCGCTTCAACCGTTTTCGTGATTTTTTTACGCATCAGACCCTAGGGTTTCCCTTTACGCTGAGCTTGACCTCGTGCGTGGTAGGTGTTCAAGGCCTAATAGTGCCTGAACTCAGGACGATTGCACTGCGCTGACCTCCTAATTCCCATAGTACTACCCGCATGTGATTTCGTTTTCGAATAAACAGCCGAATGCAAGTGTTGAGTCGTATGATGATTTGCTTGGAAAATGCATGTCTGGTGTCATGCGGACGGTCATGTCCAGTCTAGCGATCAACATCTAACATTTGTCTAATTCATTTTGACCCAGCTGTGGAAAACTCCGTGCCTAGGTGAGTTTCGAGCCCACGACAGCAAGCGGAAGGCTTTAGTACAGCCAACGCTCTAGTCCCCTGAGCTGCGAGGCCCCATCGGACGACGCGAGTTTAGGTACATCTAGGCCAGGTGGCTAGAGCGATGGCTGTACTAAAGCCTTCCCCTTGCTGTCGTGGGTTTGAATCCCCGAGTTTTTCACAGTTGGGTCAAAATGAATCATTTGAAATCTGCCATAACACCTGTGGATTACATGGGCCTGGTAGTTATCTGGTGGATTCTAGATGTATAACTCCGGAAATCCTGCTTGGGCAGTCAGCTTACTGCATCAGCTTTGGTGGATCCAGCCGTCACAGTAAGTTGGGTGGGTAAACTTGACCCTAATGTAATTAAATTCGCGTCGTGCGGTGGGGCCTCGAAGCTCAAGTGGTTAGAGCGTTGGCCGTACTAAAGTCTTCCCCTTACTGTGTGCGTCCGAATCCCACCGAGGCGCCAGGTGTTTCACCGTTGGGTTAAAAGGGATTATTTGAAAACTGCCATAACACGTGTGAGTTGCCTAATTCTTATGGAGGGCATTAATATGGCCATGTTTAGATTGTTATATCTTCTCTTGATGATCCACTGTTCACAGTTGATTTGCTGCCTACGTTGAGCAAACTGGTCTCTTTGTCGTTAGCTCAATTTGTCGACTAAACGGCAGTTAGATGTGGATGCTACTTTTACTGTTCTCGATGCCGCAGCAGGTGATTTCGCCTAATATGCTGAGTAGTAACTTGAGTGCGTGTCTCAAGTCCGCAGGCAGTGCTAGTATAGGAGGGATAGGGCTCCATTCTCAAAATAGGATCTCAACAACTTTCGCTGTCAGTTGCACTGGCGTCTAGCTCGTCGGTATGCGTGCGTTGCAGAGGCGAAAGACAAACGGCGTTAGGAGTAAAATTTCAAAAATTGAAGGTATTCCCAGCACACAGTAGTTTTCGCAAATAAAGGAGACCTTTGCGGAAACGGATTTTGGTTTTAGAAAAAGTTATGCGTAAATTAAAGCATGCTGATGTAATACTCCAAAGGACGCACCCGCCTACTCCGTTATCCACATCGTACGTTAGAAAAGATTCAGAGCTGGGAGAATGATCGGAAGATATGGTCTGCTGAGAGATGTACTGGGTTGACTGTTTAAATTTCCAAAAGTGATGTTTGGGACCGATTAAGTGTTAACATGACATGACCTACGCACCGCAGATTTGTAGTACTAAAGTTTACCTAGCATAGTAGTGAACTTCCCAAACGGCCGTATGATTTCCTCGCTTCTAATGCAGTTTTGTTGACAGCCAGCTATTCTCCCTAGTTCTGCTCAACTTAATTGAAGATTAGATTGGAGTGCTATTCGTTGATCTATTCCCTCTTCGGGATGAAATATAGATGAAAGTTAAAGCATACAAGAATAGCTCGATTCAGCGTCACCAAACAATTTCGCGACGATCTATCAACTGCTCCCTGTCGCTTCGTAAGATGGATAGGGGGCAGTGCGTACGCAACCGGTTAACCCTATTAAGGGACTCATTATGAAAACAGCCACATCATAATTTAAGTAACTGTATTTAATAAATGAAGAATGGTCATGTAACAACACGGTGAAAGTTTAACCGTCGTTGCCGACATTATCCGCCGTGTGTTCCACAGCAAGGTGAGAGCAGGTACGATGACTTGTGCGGGAATTAGTTTATAGTGGTATTAGACTTACGTAGCATCTACCGCACTCTCTCCCCTCCCCCATTTGGACCCACGTTCAAGACACAGTCAAGAGGAGGGCGCGATGAATCACGATTTAGTCTTGGTCACACGGTGGTTGCAAAGCGCTGCCCGACGGTGTGCAACACTACTTGACTTGGTAGGGGGCGCTTACCGATCTTTCATACGGAACTCACTCGTTCCGTTGTGCCTTACGGACCCTCTCTCGAGCCCAACCAGCAGCCTCACAGCGGCGCATGATATAGGCAGTATGTTATTACCGACAAAGACGAGGGAGACTGGAATGGCCATTTCTGGCTTATTAGCCGTCGTCAGCCAGCCATACCCAACCCCGAAGTGCGGAACACCCGAGGTTCGAACTCGCGACCTGTTGGTTTAGAAATCAACGCCTCTAATCACTGGGCCACGATCCCGTTGTTCTGTCGGTTTCGATCGGGAATAAACAATGGTAGGGGGCGCTCACCGATCGTTCTTATGGAATTCACTCGTTCCATTGTGCCTTACGGGCTCTCTCTCGAGCACCACCAGCAGCCGCACAGTAACGCATGATGTAGACAGAAAGGTATTACTGACAACGATAAGAGCGACTGGAATGGCCATTTCCGGCTTATTAGCCGTTGTCAGTCAGTCATACCCGGGTGTTCCACACTTCGGGGTTGGGTATGACTGGCTGACGACGGTTAAGAAGCCAGAAATGGTCATTCCAGTCTTCCTAGACTTTGTCAGCAATACCATCCTGACTAGTCGCTAAATTAGGATAAATTAGTCTGTTTGAGACTCATAGACCCAGACTGGAAGTAGATATGCACATTTAGACCGAAGTTCATCAGCCAAATAGACTGATTTACTCCAATTTAGCGATTTATTTCAAGGGAAGTAAAAAAAGTTGTCATTGCAAAACTGAAGTATCTGCCAGAAAGCACTAGGGGAACACTGGCCAATTCACTGATGATCCGAATTACCTGTGACTGTGTCACGCAGCGACATAATATCGGCTAAACACGAGTCCGGGTTTTTAGCCAGTACCGGTGCCGTCAAGTATGGTATAGCGTACAGCCTATGTACAATCAGACATTTCTGAGAACGCTTTCATCTCGATATCTGCCACCATTAATATAGACTGAATCTTTATGCCGTTTAATAGATGCAAACACATCCTTTTGATTAAGAGGTAAAATAAATCATAATTTAATTCCCGCATGATTATTTTTCTAGCATATTTTGAAGGTTTGAAGAAGGTTCTGCTAGGACAATACGGAAATAAGGGATTTATGCCTCGGTACAGTGCAGATTTAGAATTCATTCCGAAGCTGCAGGGTTGCTATGCGAGTTTACACGCTAAAAATTATGCCTTTTGTAGGTCTACGAAGATGTGACAATCATGTCTGCTGCCTTAAACAATGTCTGCAAACTGAGTAAATTTGCGCAACCACAGGAGCTGTTGGAAGTGATCAAAAAGGTTATGGAAGAAATTGACGGCCTCGTTCGAACATACCACTGTTGTAAGGTAGGTCGCCAAAACTGTCTGAAAAGAGGCAAAAAAGTTTCTTCTATATCTTTCTGTCATAACCTCAGTTTTTAATATAGTTTTATAAAAACTTGACTAATTCCAGCATTTGTCTTAGAAAAATCGTGATTACTGTATTTATTCACTTTTCGACAATGAAAGGACATTGTTTGGTGTCTATCATGTGCACAGCGTTCATGCTCTTCTATTAACTTTTTCTGCTGGGTTGTGCAAACACCAGACATGCTAAGCCATCCTCCTCATACTATCTGAATAGCAGTCGATTACTAATCACCTATACCCAGCCACCTTATCACAGGGGCTTCAGCATGACATGAACCTCTGATGATGATAATAAATGGGGCGTACTGGAAACAAAACTCTTGCTTTTGAATCACAGAAACAGATACTGCGACTTGGAGGAGATCCCTGGGAATGAAGCTTTATAGCGTGTCGCGGGCAGCCATTATGGCCAGTCTGGCATCGTTATCCAAGGCCTCGCTGCCTCAAGGTCATTCACGCCTTGCAGTAAACCGTTCCAGATGCACTGACCTGAAGCCACTCGACAGGCTTCAGTTCGGACATACTTTTGTCCACACAGCCGCAGCTGCCCATGCGGCCACTTGAACGCGCCTCCACCCCCTGAGCCCACAGCCTAAGCTACTGGAACACTACCCCTCGGCAACTGCAACGCACACCGATTGGAGACCACTTAAGCTTGGCAAACGAGCCTACAAAAACGGCTGCTACCACTCTTTCATGGCAGGATTGGATGCAGCCAACATCAGCCCTGGCTTCGCCAGCGGCCACTGCTGCCTGAGGGGACCACTCACGGTTCTGTGCACAATAAATCCCTCATTTTGGCGCCTTCTGTCTTCTTCCCACAACTTGGGACTTGACCCGATGATGTTAGCGCACAAACATACTCACTCTCACTGTTCAGTCAGTATAGGCCTTAGTACGAAGATCCATGGTAATAATCGGGAGAGGGCACCCAAAAAATACTGCCGGCCAAAGCAGCAATCTTATCGCAACTGTCCTAAGCTATGCAGCCATTGACTGAGCCGCACACTGGCGACTGCGGTAGCTCCTGACCTCTGGAAGTAATGGTAAAAATTGATAATCCAAGTGCTCGGTCAACGGCGATCGCACTGCAATTGTCCATAGGTAAGCTACAATAGAATAATCCGCATAGGGACTATTGCGGTCGCTTGCCAGCAGTGGAAGCTTATATTAAGGTTGTTTAACGTAGGGTGGGTCTACGGCGATCGTTTTGCAACTGTCCAAAGGGTATGGGGCCATAGATTGAGCCGCATACCTACAGCTGCGGTAATTCCTCGCCTGAAGAAGAAGTGGCCATAATGGATAAGCCAAAAGGCCGGTCCACAGCGATGGTATCGCAAGTGTTTGAACGTATGGTACTAGAGATTAAGTCGCATATCGACTACTGCGCTCGCTCTTCAGTTGTGGAAGCTAATGTCAAGGTTGGTAAACATAAGATTAGTCTAAAGCGATCATTACCCATTTTTCCTAAGCTATGCTGTTCTAAAGAAAGCCGAAACGGACTAATGTCGTCGCTCGTGACCTAAGCAAGCATATGTGAAGGATGGCAAACCAATGGTCGGTCTACAGCGATCGTTTCTCAACTCTCCTAAGGTATACAAGGGTAGATTTAGCCGCAACTCCACTACTGCTGTCACTCTTTAGCCGTGTAAACCTAGGTCAAGGTAGATTAACCATGGCTCGGTCTGCAGCGGTCGCACCTCAACTGTTGGAGACTATGATAATCTAAGTGAGGCAACATGTGCACTGCAGATCAGATAAAATTGAGGTCGGATGAAACAACAAATATGTAGGGTCATAACCTACTCAAATAGGTATAGCAGGTATTATTTCTAGGCAACGGATATTTGGGTGCCCTGTCCCGATTATTACCAGATCCATAAGAGTACCTGAGTCGAAATCCACCAACCGTCGTGGGGATTATAGTGGCCCAACCAGGGCGCATGTTGCAACGGTGAGCCTCTCACGACTACTGATACGTGCGCACCAATTGCAGCCTGGTTCTCGGACAATACCAGCTGCCCAAACTGGCCAATCGCCTTCGAGGCTGACTCAGACATGACCTCGCGGTCGGATGTGGTTATGCAGCCCAACCTCTAGTACGGGACAGGTGGCAATAGGGGGTTTTTACAGGCCAAGTAGTTGTTTGTAAAAGAAAAGCTATTGGGAATGCGCGGCTGAACTTTGAATGTCTGTGAAATAGTTGAGCTAACCCATAACCATAACCTCTAAGCCCTGACCCTTAACGCCAACCCCAACAATATTGTGTCCATCAAATGGGGCTACCAAACCACATCTTACCGACCTCGCTGAACGACTGTCTCCCTGTCTCACACGGGAATACAGCACAGGTTCCTAAAAAAAGTCCAGGCACACGAGTTTCGCCGATATTCTGCGCTACATGACACAACTGCGGGACGGTGAGCGCATTAGTGGACTCCCCAGTGTTTCTGTGTGAGTTCTGGCGGACCCTCCGGTTTCAAAATTTCAAATTTTTAAATCTACGCAAAACCTCGTGAGCGAGGAACCCACTGATGGACCGAGCCCATCGCAGCTGTCTTACGCAGAGGCAGAACATCGATGAAACAGCGCACAGGGTCTTTACTTCAGATCCGTGCTGTTAAAAGGGTAAAAAATGAAGGGAAAGACGTTTCACATGAGAAATTGGATTGCTTCATCTCAGAGACTTTAGAGTCCTGTGATCAGAACACACATTGCATGCACATTGTGCCTGACGCTTAAATAACTCATGCCGACGGTTTGTGCAAGTTGAGAGTCTCCTTTTAAAAAGGCATCTGGCGAACATACGTCTGCTTTCGATAAATTCTCTTCAGGCCTGTACATTTATATGACTATTGAAGCCGCCAAGCCAGCCACCTGCATGTAGTTACCTTCGCCGGGATCCACCTTCTCCCTGGCGCTGACTGGAATTGTGGTGCTTCGCTCTCTCCCTTCCCTCCGCTCCCCAAACCCGAACTACGGCCTAATTACCCACTTGCCAGCATCTTTTAATGCATTGCTTCAATAGCCACATAGATGTACAGACCTGAAGAGAATTCATCCAAATCAGACGTATGCTGGCCAAATTGCCTTTTGAATTTTACAGTGGGAACTTTTGCAGCTCTTAAACAGTCTCTTTTTCGTTGTGGTTTATGTTACCTGCAACCTTTTCGACCGCATCGACATTTTATTGTCTCATTGGCCTTGCGATCCGACTGCCTCCTTTCAAGAAGGCCTGTGAGACCGGGAAGACCCCAGGGAAGCCTATGAGACGGTTTGCTGAACGGTCTTTTGATAGGCAGGTTTCTTGCAGTAACCTTGACCTGCGATCGCCGTCTCGGCCCGCATTCTCATTGCTCTCAAAGTCGAAGACATGACCGGTCAGCGTTGAATGGCTAGGCGTCTCGACTTGAGATGCAAACGCCTAACACAAGCTCTCGGGCGAGCTTAATTTCGGCTGGCTTGGTGGCTGGCATGCAAAAACGAGTCTTCCTTCACCCCTATGAGGCGCGCAGGCAGCCTGGTTTGTGTAGCAACCAGTAGTTCCTCTTATAACGCACTGTTTTAAGTGGACACCGAGAGGAAGACAGCAGAGAATATATTAGGAACGGAGGCCAGTCATCTAACCCAATCGTGTACCTGCCAACAATGATAAAGACGCCGTCTACATGGTTTGTCCAGCACTGCGGTTTGCGCGCCCTCGAAAATCTGCCCTTTTTCTGATTTTAGAAGACTACCTTCGAAAGAGGCCGGGAGTCTGTTGGACCCTTAGAGTTGCCTTGATTTGCCCGAAGATGGTCTCATTGAAGACGAAAATGTCCGGAAGCAGCACCGTACAAGCTCAATGAGTTGTAGGCTTGTCGTCGTCCACATAGATAGATAGATAATTTTTATTAAAGACCCGTCGGGGTCCCATCTTAGCAACATCGTAAACATTTCGACCACGAGGATCCGCGGTATGGACACTAGGGAGGGGGAGACATAGCATGATGTCATCCTTCCAGTTGGTTCAACCAAAACTCTACCCGCTGGGCAGACCTTCGTTTGTGAGATCGCCGCCAGGATCCTCAGTTTCGCCTACAACCAGTCTTCAATGAAAACGATGGGCCGCAGGCCGTAGCTGGTTCTTTGGCCAATTTGGTGGTTACGATCGTATGCTCAATTAGCTGGACAACAATTCGGACTGGTCTCGTCAATAGCGACTCCGGAACAACGGCACGGCCGATTCTCCAGGATTCCCGGTCGCTCGGAAGTAGCAGGACTTCGTTTCAGCAGTCTGTACTGTCGAGAAAAATGGTAGACGGGTCTTTGTCAGCAGGCAGAGGGGCATTCCCGTCTTCTGCTTCTAACATTTTCAGTGCCTCTCAGTTTTTCCGACGTGTCATGATCATCAAGGTGACTTGGTGTCGAAGATGGTCTTTTGATCCGTCTCTAATGCGGGTTTGTTTCAACAAAGTGCATACTTAGAGAGAGGGTTGGGCTAGATCGCAGTTGGTAGCCAGGAATGGGGAAGCGGACGACGACCTCAACCATAATCCTTACCTTACCCTAATCCTAACCTCATGCTTAAACGTTAACCATTAACCTTAACGGCAACCCTAACCCTAACCGAAATCTAAACGTCACCGTAACTCTTAGACACGGCCGCAACTGAGAAACCTAACCGTAACTCTGAAACCTATTCGAACGCTCAAACTCTAACCGTAACCCGAAAACCTAAGCCTAAGGGCATAACCCTAACCCGAACATCGGAAACCATTAACCGGTACCCTAATCCTAACCTCAAACGTAAAACGGAAGCCAAATGGGTCAGATGTGATTATGGAACTTTAAAAAATAGCCCAGTGAACAAACACCACAGCCACCTGTAATACGGGGCCTGGCTACCAACTACGATCTAGCCGAGGGTTGCTCTCGGTTTTAAAAAAAGCTTGTAATCATAAGGTTTTTAGGACGCTGAAATGGCCATTTAAAGAGCATCATATGTAGTTAAGGTAGCACCGGCCAAGACAAGGGAGACCGAAATGGCCCGTTTTGGTTTCTTAGTAAAAATCAACCGTCTAGTCCTAATCCCAAGACACGTTGGGACGTGCACGTTCCGTGACCTGATTAGTGAGCGCTCTCAACCGCAATTAATATTATCGATCACGATCGAATGGACAACGGAATTGTGGCCTGGTGGTAGAGTGTCAGACTTAACGACCAAAGATTCCGGGTTCGAATCTCAAGTGATCCACACTTGGGGTTAGGCACGACTGGATGATGAGAACTAGTGAGTCAGAAATGGCAATTCAAATCTCCCTTGTCTTTGTCGGCACCACCTTATCTGCCTATACTACTAGTCGTTATGCGACTGCCTGCGAGGATTCTGGTTTGAGTCCCAAGGCATAACAAGATAAGCACGTTTTGTGACCTGATCGGTGAGTGCCTCTCTACCATAACACCGTATGTGTCCGCTTATTAACGTTGTTTATGAAGTAAACGATGCGGTCTTGATTCACTGTAAAATTTGATGAACCCTGTTTGACACGTTCGGAATGGTGTAGCAAAGTGCATGATTTTCCTCGCACGGAAAGTGTACAGTATGTACGTTGGAGATCCTAAACGGAGGTGCAACCACACGTCGGGTTCAAATTTATTTGAAGATTGAAGAGTTTCTCATAACTGTATAATGACCTTTTCTGTAGGTTTAAAATTTGAAGAAAAGTCAACTTGCTACGAAATGAGCACAGGGCATTTTACCTATGTTTTCTATCGAAAATCAATGAGGGGAATTCGTGTTGCCTAAGTAGTCCTTTTTATCAAGTGCAGTTTATGTGGACGGCCGGAAAGACGTCCATTTTAAGACCGACATCCTGGCGTGGCTGGAGTATTTCCAGATTATGCTGCACAACAATCAATCTTACAAGCCCACTGAAGCTGTTCTTTCTATTCAAAAATGCATTTTAGAATTTTGTTTAACATTTCATGAGATAGGCCTGCAAGCAGCACGCATTCGGCAGTTTTTTTTTGAACAAATCAATACTCTTATTATGTCCTTGGCCATATAATATGCCAAATCAAGGCCCCCTTTTTTAGTTTGATTCTACGGGTGCTGCATTTGTCGTTGCGGCCGGGTTGCCCACGCCCACGGAACTCCATGCGCCTCTGATCGCAGAGCTGGCCTTTGATTTGGTCCTTGCTGTAAAGAACATAAACGCATCCACTCCACTGCTCGCCGGGGAAGTATCTATCCAGATTGGTATGTAACAGGAAAAGTTTTTTTTTTCTCTGAAAAATACCAAGATGTGGACTGAATTTAATACTACTTAATGTTTCACCTACTGCGAGAAGTCCAGAAAAAACCTCCCATTTGACGACAAACGGCACTTCCAAACACTCTTGGAGATGAAATAAGTAGATCCTGCTTCCGTTGTCGGAGCCAAGGGATTTGTAACTGCCTCCATTAGGTTGTACGGACATTGTAGAATGAAATGGTCAAAGTAGGGCGGATTTTTGAAGGAAGTTAACATTCACTTACCTAACGTTATCCCAATGTTGATATGGTGGCTTGTTGCAGTTCCTAAAACTATTTCCTTTTCTTTTACCAGGTTGTCACTCAGGTACTGTGCTTGCTGGTGTGATTGATACGGGAGTGTCTTCATATCAGGCATACGGGGAAGATATAATTATTGCGCAGAGTCTGCAACAGGAGAGCGAGGTGAGTGAAGCTGAGTTTTGCCAACAGAAGCGAAGAGACGAGTCCCAGGAAGTAGTCTTGAAGAAGGAGACACAATCACTGGGACAAGAGATTTATTAGCCTGAAGTTTCGGATTCGTGCTCGAAGCCATCATCAGAGACAAAAGCAGATACGGGTGGTTCATGCACAAGGGGTTGCAGTATTTATAGGATGCAGTCGCCATGCTACTGCATACCTATGAACATTCACGGCTCCCCCCTTCATCCGGGATCGTCGCACTTGGTTTGCTAGCAAGTACAATGATCTTCCGCTTCCATACTCGGTGCTGAGACTTTGCCTAGGCGGCGTAATTAGCCACATGGGGAGCGCACAAGGGAAGACTTTTCCCAACACCAGGGTCGGTGAGTCGGATGGTCGAGCAATCATCACACCAACATCCAAAACACGTGAGGAAATTGCAGCAATTAACGACGCGAATGTCGGCCATCACACCATGTGCAACGATCCCTGCTGAAGTGGGAGCCGTGAATATTCATAGGCATGCGGTAGCATGGCTACAGCATCCTATAAATACTGCAGCCCCTTGTGCATGAACCACTCGTATCTGCGTCTGTCTCTGATGATGGCTTCGAGCAGGAATCCGAAACGTCGGGCTACTAAAGCTCTTGTCCCAGCGATCGTGTTTCCTTCCTCTAAAATGAATTTTATTTATTTTTGTTATTGAGTTCCCAGTACAGCCAGTCATCGATCTCATGAAATGTTAGTTGAAATTCCGATTTGATTGAAAAAAACTTCAGTGATTTCGCAATATCGACTTTTGACCAGCATAATCTTAGGATAATTCAGTCACCCCAGGATGCCTGCTTCCAAATGCACCTCTTTTCACTCACCTAACAAAACCTGAACTCGGTAAAAATAGCTACTTAATTAGTGTGTGTTGTCTACTCGTTGAACCGCGATGCTCTTAAATACTCAAATATATCTTACGGGTAACATGGGCAAAGATTGGCTTTTGTACTCATTTGGTGGCATAACACGTTTATCTATAGTTTTTTTTTTTTCAAAAAGGAGCATACGTAGGTTTTAAAAAGTTATAATTAGGAGAGTTTCAAAACCCTGGCATGTCCATCCCAAAAGCATCGTATCTGCCAGTTTGCTTATGTTCCTTATGAAGTATACAATGTAATCCACACTCATTACAAAATATTTTTAGTGCTATATGATATTTTCTTAATGACATGGAGGAAGTTATCATGAAAAGTATAGAGTATCAAGAATGCAGACCTTAAAGACAGATTAAATGGCAGAGCGTTCTGAAAATTATCTGACAGTTTGAAAACATTTTTCAAAACTCAAAAATGTCATTGCCTTCAGAGCGAAATTTTACAATTACGTGATTAAGTAACAAATGCGTACAAAAACCAATCTCGACCATTCTTCCTACAGAGTATATTTGAATATTCAAGAGCATCGAAATTCGATGAGAACCGTACTGCCTAAGAAGACATGTAGATGAAGGCAGGTGCATTCAAAAGTTCGTATCCAGAAATGAATGAAATATTATAAGATTATGCTGCATGATAATAAATGTTACAACCCCACCGAAGCAATTTATCCTAGTCGAAAGCGTATGTCAGAATTTAAATTACTAATTCAGGAGATCGGCCACTGCTACCTCACCGAGAGATTGAAAGCAAAGCCCCGGGCTGCGATAGCCTGCCATCCCCATTCCTTTGCTTGCCCTGAAACTACTTTGATTTAACATGCACCTTTCATACGGCGTTCGCCCATTAAAATTTCATCCCTCTATTCGTCCTGCGCTCGACCATCTTTTTTCCTTCTTCGGCTTCTTCTCTCAGGGGTTCTCCTTTCCCTCGCTGATCTCTCTCTCTCTACCACCACTTGTTGCCTTCTTGTCACCGCTGCTGCCCCCTTCACTCCTTATTGCTTCTCTCCTTCTCTTCCTACTCATGCTTTCTTTACTCCGCCTTTAAGCCTTAACCTTTCATTACCCTTTTTGCGACTTGATTTTTCTTTTTGTCGCGATTCCCACTGTGCTTTCGACCTTCATGGCCACTGCCCTATCTGCGGCTTCAACTTCCTCACTAATTCATTTACTCAGTGACTGCTTCTCAGATCCTTCTTTCTACTTCCCTTCGTGCCATCCTAAGAATATTCTGTCGCGTTTTGATACTTTTTGTTTTGTTTCGGCAACGGCAGTGTAAGGACCCCAATTTACTGTCGGCAGACTGTGAATCCTGTCATAGGGGAAGGGCGGTAGTGGGAGTTTTACGGGTGGGACAGCATGCCAGACAGCAAGCTGACGAATGCAAAAAGCACAAAAAATTATTTATATTTTTCTGCCGAAAGTCTTATCGTGCGCTTTCGTATGGCAGCAGATGTGAGCGCGTTAATTAACAAATTTTCAAAAAATCACGAAGTTTGACTAATGGTTTGAGGCCATGGGAAGCAGTTGTTGTTGGCAGTGTAATGTCTGCTACGACTTGCAAATGGATGCCAAAATAAAACCCCAAATGACATGATCCACAGTCCACCGATGGTTAAGTGAGGTCTTTCTTCCCACCATTGCCCTTTCTCCCTCTTAGGTTTTGACGTATTTTTCTTTCGATTCGACGAATTCCTCTGCTCTTTTTAGTCGTCTGTCGCCATTCTGTGGCTATCTTAGTTTCGCGATACTAACCATTAGTCAGCCGAGAAATGGTCTAAAAAATTTTCTTCATGAGTTTTGACGGCAAGGATAGGCATTTACCATGTTTACTGAAGACTCTTTTTAGCGCCTACAGTTTTGCTGTTGTTTCCAGAACCAGAACGCACTCAAAAAGGGCCAATTTCTGCTCGAAGCCGAGAAGCCTTATCATGAAAATTCAAACCATATGAATTTTTGACGAATCCTGCCCCTGTGGTTTGCGGAGGGAATTTCCTACGAGGAGTTTGTGAGCCCTAATGAAAAATAGTTTAGATGATAGTGACATGTGTATGGTTGAGGCAGCGCGCGTACTAAACTCCACATAATATAACTTTCTTACTTTATCATTTGTTGCCACAGAGGCAGATACGATTCACTCAAAAGCCAGTGGCCTGGACGATGTACTAAGCTCCCTCTAAACGATCTTTATGCGTAGCTTAAATTAGGCGTAGGCTCGCACGCCTAACGGACGAGTGGCCTTACCCATGAGTTTAAAAGTTAAAATCTGTTGTGACAACAACTGATACGATAACGAAGCATGGTACCTTTACTGGTTTCTTCGGCCCTAAAAGGCACATCTATCTCTCACTTTTTCCGCAGCCACAGCGAATCCTAGTCAGTGAGGCAACACAGGCGAAACTGGCGGAGTTTGAGGTTTACGAACTGAAACCCCGTCGAGAAGATGGCCCGGTAAGATGGATACTTGCAAACATACTTGTGCCCAGTTTTTTTGCCTTAACCCCCGTTTGCTTTTGTAAACCTGAGTCACACATTCGCCCACGACCGAAATCGACCAGTTCCAAAACTTCTGACGGGGGTTCGAATGCCAGATATCCCCGGCATATATATATATATATGTATTGAAACGTAGGCATCCCAAGAAATATAAGTTGAAGTTAAAGGCGTTCTTTAGGAAAATGAACTTTATTGCGTAAATTTTCGACGGCGGTTCCCCAGGTCGTCGTCAGACGCAGACTGAGAGTAAATGTGCCGACAACAGTTAACATCTGGCCCATTTACTCTCAGTCTGCGTCTGACGACAACCTGGGGAACTGGCGTCGAAAATTTACGCAATAAAGTTCATTTTCCCAAAGAATGCCTTTAACTTCAACATATATATATGTATAGGCAGAATGGTATTACCGACAAAGACAAAGGAGACTGGAATGGCCATTTCTGGCTTATTAGCCGTCGTCAGCCAGCCATAGCCAAGCCCGAAGTGTGGAACACCCGAGCCTCGAACTCGCGACCTGTTGGTTTAGAAGTTCACGCCTCTGCCCACCGGGCCACGAGCCCGTTGCCCTGTCGGTTTTCGATCGGGAATATACAATGGGAGGGGGCGCTCACCGATCGTTCTTACGGAACTCACTCGTTCCGTTGTGCCTTAAGGGCTCTCTCTCGAGCACAACCAGCAGCCGCACAGCGGCGCATGATATAGGCAGAATGATATTACCGACAAAGACAAGGGAGACTGAAATGGCCATTTCTGGCTTATTAGCGGCCATCAGCCAGTCATACTCAACCCAAAGTGCGGATAACCTGAGATTCGAATCTGGGATCTTTGGTCATGGAGTTTGACACTCTACCATTGAGCCACGGTCCCGTTGTCCTGCCGGTTATGATCGGGAATGTCAGTTTTGACAGTGGACGCTCACCGATCAGGTTACGGAACATGCTCGTTCCGCTTTGCCATTCCGGTCTCCCTTGTCTTTGTCGGCTCCATCTCATCTATGTCTACTACTAGTCGCTGTGCGACTGCCTGCGAGGGTTCTTGTATGAACCTTAAAGGCACAATGGAACGACCATGTTGCGTAACCTGATCGGTGAGCTGCCATTGTCATATATATATATGTCTATGCAGTATGTTATTACTGAGAGAGAGCCGGTAAGGCACAACGGAACGAGTGAGTTTTGTAAGTACGATCGGTGAGCGCCCCCACCATTATGTATATAAATATAAATATGAAGAGAGAGGGGCTTGTCAGAAAAAGTCATGTATATATATATATATAACGTTAATATTTTATGTTCTTATATCAATGCATTTTTATTCCTGTTGATAGATCAAAGGCAAGACGAAAACTTTCTGGCTGGAGGCTCGACTTGCAGCTTCACATTCAAAAGCGGTTGCAAAGTTCGACAAAAAGCTTTCCAAGGAGAGGAAGAGATTGGCAGATCAATAGGTTCCTTTAGCTCCATTGCAATGGTTTAGCCTGCGGACATGTCTCATTGATTTAGAAACTCACTTTTACATGTGCTTTTGACACTCTTCTCTTTTCTTGACCTTTGCTCCAATCTTTCACTCCCTTCGTCCACATTCGCCATCAGATATTAGCCTGCACGCTTTTAAGCTTCCACTCCGCGTTCGCACTCGAGCCAGCATTAAAAAGTGCACCTTAAGTACTGGTCTTTCTTTACCAATTATTCAAGCGCAAACAGATTGGGTTTTGGGCCACGTCATGAAGCTGAGCTTTCTTATTTTTGCAAATAGACGGTCGTCCGGGTTGCTTCAATGGGCAGCACACGCAGGCTTACCCTGTACTACAGTCATTGACCGATCCCATGATATGTTAACCAAAATTTTGAAATACCTTTTCGACTAGGAAGGATTAGTTAAGTAGGGTTTCAGTACTGGCTATAGTGCTACGTAATCCGCGATATTCCAGACGCATCAAGGTGTTGGCTTTTGAATCCACTTCTTTTCGGCTGCTGTAGGAAGTGCAAGCGGTAAAAAAGATCGCTTAACTAATGTTCATTTTCTTCGATCTCCTTGTAAATCCAAATATGTTTCCCCACGTAGTATACTATCAGGACTGGTATTTTTGGTTCTGAAAAGTTTTTAGTAATGAGAATGTTTAATGCCGTGCAATGTCCATTCGGATAGCCTCGTACCTTTCCGCTAAATGATACTCCCCTTTAAGTATACAAGATAGTCCGCATCAGTTGCAACATTTTATGAGCCCCATATGGTATATTCCGAGTAGTATAAAACAAGGTACGTGTTTCTGTATGGGGAAAGTACACAGCTTGTAGACTCAAAACCCTAGACAAAAATGCAACGGAATATTGACTTAAAAATCATGCGAAAACAGAAGAAAGTTTTAAAAACCGAAAGGTACCATTTCTTCGAATAAAAAATAAAGAAGAGTTGTGAAAATTCCCATAGCAGTAATCAGAAGACGAGGTGGCGAGCATACGTAGCTTTTGACAAATTCTTGTCAGGCCAGTACACTTATATGGGAACGGGGTAGAAGTAAAACATGCCAGCGACAAGAGAACTCGATAAAAGTTCGCCTTAAAACACAGGCGGCGTGTGGGAATGTGGGGGAAGGGGGGGTTTATAGGGTTCAGTGTCAGGGGCGGGGTGAGAGCGGAAGGGCGCGGAATGTTGCTGCGTTAGTCCACCTTCGAACACTGTAGGCGCGGAGCCTGAACGTGGTTCTTCTGTGCGCATAAGATTGGCTTTCGTGACCTAATGGCGGCCGGTTCCGCTGTCGCTAACAGGCGCTGGCCTAGTAGCTTAGGGTAGCTCGATGGGACCTTATAAATTACACAGAAAGCCTTGTTGGGGTCCACACGATGTCCGGAATCGACAACATGCGCGAGAATGGCGCTGCTTATGCTCCTCGTTTCGCCTTTTCCCAGCCATGCCGGGAGGTGTTCCCGTATTCTCTTGGATAAACGCCGACTCGTGCGACCAATATAACCTGCTCCACAGGAACAACTGAAGGAATAAATGCACATTGAGGTGGTCTGCGATGGCAACCTATCCTTACCTTCTCCGCGTAAAATAGGGTTAGTTGAGAATGATATTTGAACCCTTGCTGCTGGGGAGGTTCGCGAGACAGTTCGATCAAGGTGTCTCCTTAGGAGTTCACTCGCAATATCCCCTTGAAAATGGAGGCTGAGGAACATAGTTTTCTTTTCGGCGGTCGTTGTGGTGGGTCTTACCGGTTTCGTACGCCTCCAACATAAACGAAATCTAGTCCGGTGTTTGGCACAAAGAGTTAAAATACTTTGGGTCAGATGTGGTTATGTGGCCTCACCTGAAGTAAGCAAACCCCAGCCACCTTTAATATGGGGCCGGTGGTAATAGGAGTTTTTACGGGTGGGGCCAGGGAACGCACAGGCGACGAGGTCAAGTAGTTGTATGCAAAAGAAAAGCTATTAGGAAAACGCGGTTGTCCTTCGGGTGGTTGAGAAATAGTTGCCCTAACCCCTGACCCTAATCCCTAACCCTAACCTCTGACGCCTACCCTTAACCCTAACCCCTGACCCTTACACTTAACTCTAACCCCTAGCCCCAACTCCAACAGTATTGTGTTCATCAGGTGAAGCTACGTAACCACATCTTACGAAAATTTGTTCAACAGGTAGCATCGAGGAAGAGCCTAAAATATCCAGGACTTGCTTCGGGAAATCAAGTATCCCGACAGGTGTATTGCAAAGGAAATTGCCGAACGACCGGTAATCGACTTCTCTAATGACGGACATGTTTTTGCTTCCGCCCTGTTCCCATATAGTTGTGCTGGCCCGAGAGGAATTTATCGGAAGCTACGTATGCTCGCCACCTCATCCTCTGATTATTGCTATGGGAATTTTTGTATCTCTTCGTCTTTACTTGAAGGAGATCGTGTTTTTGTCGAGGAGCAGGGTTTTAAGCATATCAAAAGAAGGAAGCCACTGATTGGAAGAGTTGTACTTGTGTTTTGACCTCCAGACAGTGAGCTCTGCCACCCGTTCTTAGAGGGAGGAGTGTCCTGTGCAAGGGCGTGCGGATTGCACAAGCGTTGATTCCGAAGTGTAGGTCATCATTGGCGACCGCTGGTGCTAACTTAAGCCCTGTTTTTCCATGATCACTATCGTTGCCATACTCGTTGACCGCGACAGCAAGTGGTGGTCGGTTGAATGGGTCCTTGAAGACAGGTCGTTGGATCAACTACCTGAAACATCAGAGTTGGCGAACGCCTCTCATACTTTTTGCATCGTTTCAGGAAAAAAGCACACTTTAGCACTTACTGCAAGCGTGCTGGCAGGGCTGTCCGCATATTACTGGAGCTGGATTTCAATCGGTTTTGTCTGATTTTTTGAACGCATTACTTGATCATCATCACGTTTAGCAGACGCAGTGATGCGTGTACTGAAACAATGGTTTCTTGCAAAGCATCATCATTTGGAAAATACGAACCAGACTAAAGGAGACGCCTCCTGCAGGTGAAATCATGAAAAGGAGAGAATACGATGACGTCTCAGTTTAAAAATACCTCACTGCGAAGATACCACCACCTTCAAGCCTCCTACTAACATGTCCGAGCGACAGAATCGTTATCCGGAGATGTCATTCTGACAGGGCCTATAAGTTTGAGCCGGCCATGGAGGTGAGATAAACGATTGTGAACGACTCCTTCCGCAAGCTTGCTCACAACCGTAGTTAAGCCGTCCGAATCGTGGTTCCCAGGCAGTCATTTAGATAATTTCTTAGCGAATGAGTTGGCAAGGTCTTATCTCCAGGAAATTTGGAAGCTGGCTCCTCTATGGCTGACGATGAACATACCACCTTGGGGCTGACCCAGCCACAGAGAACTTTTACAGGAGGGTTAGGTGAAGGCAACTCTGTCCTAGGATCAGTTCGACTGCATGGGGGTAACCACACTCAACTCCCGTTGGTCCATGTTATGTCCCGACAGGTGGATGAGAGAGGGAGGAGGGATCCGGAAACTAAGCCGGGTAAGATGTGGTTGTGTATCCCACTTGATGCACACAATACTGTTGGGGTTAGGGTTTAGGGTCAGGGGTTAGAGTTAGGGGTTAGAGCAACTATTTCTCAACCACCCAAAGTACGACCGCGAATTTCCAATAGCTTTTCTTTTGAATACAACTACCTGACCTCGTCGACTGTGCGTTACCTGGCCCCTACCTGTAAAAACCCCGATTACCACCGGTCACGTATTACAGGTGACTCTGGTTAGTTTGCGTCAGGTGGGACTACATAACCACATCTGACCTCTGTCCGGTCAAACGCGCGAAAACACACCGTATTTATTCTACTTCCAGCGATTCCACAAGTGTCTGGTTGGGAGTTCGTAAATTGACTATTTTTTACACGACAACCTACTCAAGGAAAAATCGCGTAGGTTCGTGTGGTAAATTGCTGGGCTGCACGCGTGAACGAGGGTACCACGCCTCCCCGCTGATCCGGCACGCGCTGATTGGCTAGTTTATTTCACATGTACATTTCGTGACTGGCTTGGCCCGGTGTGCCAGGCATGATCGCATTTTATTTTCGCTCTAGATCGTAATTCCATTCTATTTTCATCCTCCATGACAGTCCAGTTGTTAGATTTTGCCGACAGCATACGTCCTCGGACGTCTGCAAGGAAAGATGGAGTCTGATGCTGTGACCGGTGACGCGGGCCTTTTAAGGCAAAAGTTACGTGTCAGCTGTTCTTCCGATGCTTTCACATACACTCTTGGCGTCCTTTTGTCTGAGCTCTGCCCGGGATAAGTAACTTGTTCTTCTAACGGACCAGACTTCATCCAATTAGGGCGCGAACTCCACTCATCTTTTTCGATATATAAGAGAGTTACCGAACGATGCCTGTTTACCGTTTAGCTACCAGAGTTTTCCCTTCTTTGAAAGACGCCTCTTAGTTTTGCACATTATTTATGGGAATGGCGAGGCATTTTAGTTGTGTGTATACATCCACGACGTCTATGGTTCGCGTGATTACACTCCAAATAGCTTCTGCACCAGACCTCTCCTTCAAATTTATATTCGGAAAACCATATTTGCTAGAATATTAATGTTTGCGTGTCAATACAATTTGGCATTTTTTTTACCGAGGGGGCCTGAGGGGTTTGACTTGACAATACATGGCCTTATAGGGTCGTTTCAGTACCGAAGGCTCCACAAAAATAATAGCAACAAGTAACAAGTGCACCGAGTCGACACAGGACTCAGAAAAAATCGGGCGAAGTCATGTCAGGAAGATTACTGGTTGGGTTCAAGATTTTACTCTTCACAAAGTCAGCCATTTGGTGATTTTCTTGCTGCTCACGGGAGGGTTAGTTTTTGCTGACCACCTTGGTGGCTTCCTGCGTTCCGTTGTTCTGCATCACTCTGTCTTGCCGTTGGGTCAATGTCCCCACTTTATTCTTATGGGGTTCGCCAACGTCATTCGTCCTCGGATTTCTATTGGCTATTTCGCTGCCTTGATCTCTGAACTTGGTGTCTTATTGTGTAGGCGCTATGTTTAGCTTCCTGCGGTTCTTTGGTGTTAAATTTCGTTAGTATTCAATTTCCGGGGTCGCCTTCAAGGTCACACACGGATTTATTTGAACCTATTCACGAAATCAGAGCACTTTCCCAAAACGTCATCCTTTTCACCGCTTTCTTTCCCATCCATTAGACCGGTCACGTAAGACACGGTGACCTATCGTCCGCATTCTGGATGGGGTCGCATATTGTGTCGTTGCCCAGTCTAGCTCCTGAAGTTGATTAGGTGTCTTTCCAAGTGCTTGTGTCCACTTCGTGCTAGAGACACAGGCAGCTGTACTAAGCAACTAATCAGCCTGGAATCAGTCAGCATTTTGGCCCGATTGTTCAAATTAGCTATATTATCGCCGGAAACATGCTCCAGGGAGACGTTAGGGAAGTAGCGAAAATGTGCATATGTTAGTTTCTCATAAAACTTGCTCCGCCATCACCACAATGATGTTGGAGTTGCCAGAATGCGCAAGCCACTGGCGGGGCTGATAAAGAGCCTGTTGATGGTTTCCTCGTAGACTGCAGATGAGCGGTTGAGGACGCACGGTCCCACGGTTCGGAATCTGCGATTCCTCCACCAGTAGGGTTGCTTTAATTGAGCAGATGAGCTGTGTAGTCCCGGTTCTATGAGGACCATAGACTGCGCAGATGGACGCAAAGAAGTTTGATATTTTACAATAGTCTGCGTATCCATGGGTTCCATCCGATATGTTAACCAACGAATTGCTTTGTATTTCCCTCAGGCTTTGTCGGAGTTGACGACGGTAGTGAAAGGTTACGACTGTTTCAAGGATAAGGCCTTTGAAATGTTGGGCCCCTGGAGTCGTTGCATTTCGTTACTGGTGTTGCCATTGGACTCGTCCTGACCTTTTTGAAGTGAAGACCAGGCACCCATTCTCAGGTATCGTGGGGGTTGTATCTACTCAGACACTGAACTCGCTGAGGAGAATCAGTTTGCTCACTTCCAACACAGACGCAAAGAGGGTGCGCAGCTCCTCACAGGCCTGACGATGGCGAAGGTGGCTTCAACATCGCCCCACTTTCTCTAGTAACGGTTGCTCAAGAAGGTGTAACCCACATCAGCCTCGTTCAGCCGTCCAGGTTCTGAGAAACAGGCCTTGTTTCGTACGGCGATGTCCGTGCTGAAGTGAGCCAGTTTTCACATGACCAAAGCGGTCCGCCCATCTAGTCGCCCATTCACTGACCAATCTACAATAGAAAGGAAATTCCAGTTTTGTAAGTTTGTTAACTCCGGGGAGAGGGGACTGTGCAGGGAATGGGGACGAGGCTTCTTCCTTTGATTATTATTTCAATCATTTTGTAGCAGCCGCTCAAGTCCCCCGTTTCTCCGTCTCCCTTTTGTCGGTCGATGGCCGCGACAATTGTTGCCACCGATAAAACACCGTAGAACACGGTGACCTATCGTCCGCATTCTGGATGGGATCGCATATTGTGTCGTTGCCCAGTCGAGCCCCTGAAGTTGGTTAAATGTCTTTTCTAGGGCTTGTGTCCACTTCGTGCTAGAGACACAGTCAGCTGTACTAACTAATTAATCAGTCTAGAATCAGTCAGCATTTTGGCCCGATTGTTCTGGTTAGCTAGATTATCGCCGGGAACATCCTCCAGGGAGATTTCAGAGGAGTAGCGAAGATGTGCATTTGTTAGTTTCTCATAAAACGTGCTCCGCCATCATCACAGTGATGCTGAAGTTGCACGAACAACGGAAGTTCGACCAGAAAATGTGCAAGCCACTGGCGTGGCTGATATAGAGCAAAATTACGTCAAACGAGAGACTGCATACCATGGACTCGTTGACACAAATCCGGCTATCCAGTTCTGCCGAATCCTTGGCAGCTTTGCCATAAAATCCGGAACACCCTCAGTGCCAGAGTAGAATGGTAGTATTTAAAATACTTCCTGCAGCACAGTTTCGCATATCGTTTTTTATCTGCCCATGCGGACGGAATGCCGATGAAAATGTTAAGACGGCGTTCTATGCCCTCCTTGATGACGAAGTTGCGTCAACGTAAACTCCAGAGGAAAAAATACAAAGGAAGGCATTTGCGAATAGCCTTTCAATGATGTTATGAAACACTGGAAAACTGTTTTGGAATATGCACTCAGAATGTAGACAGTTGAAAAGCCGTCATATATGAAGTCAAACTACTTATTAGACGATAATTAGATGTTAACTTCACTAAAACAATGTATGAGAATACATTCTATACATCTAAAAACGAACTTTAATTAATTAGAGCCATTTTTGACGTTTCCGGGATATTGCGCTTTTCAAAACAAATCGGATTTGCTAAATAACGCAACACTGCCCTTATGTTTCTTTAATGTTTTTAATTATTTTAAACTTGTACTTAATTAACATAGACATTGGACTCATGAAATGGTGTGGGTTTGCGAGTGACTGGCAATCATTCGTACATTTCAACACATTTCATCAGTTAGGTCACTAACTGTACGTTACTGCTGAAATATGAAAGTTATCGTACAATAGGTGTTATGCTGTGTGGCGAAAATGTGGGCGTGTAAATATTCACGATCTGAAGGCAACTGAAGAGGTCACTGGGGCGGCGTAATAAGCCTGATGCAATATTGAATCTGGCTGACGGTTAGTATGAATAAAATCTAGTAAAAGTCCTCTCGTTTGGCACCACTTCCGAACTCATCCTTCGAGTCGCAGTCCACGCCGGATAACAAGACATCGTAGGAAAAGTAGTTCAGATTTGATTACTTTTTGTACCCTACTTTTTGTAATAAAATCCCCTAAACAGGACTGTTGACAAGACTTCCGCGTAAAGTAAACTCAGTGGTGGGGGGGGGGGGCGAAGAGTTAGTGAGCTAATGGCTCTCGAATGCTTACACGCTGAGGGGGTTGTTACTGTCGTATAGCGCCGCATCGCGACTTTTCGCTGTTGTTTCCATACCGAAGTCAGTTATTAATTGGCCATACTTATCGCGACTTTTGCACGACGAATTGCTGTCGGCTCGATGTGGAATTGCTGCTGGGGGGTGTACTTGTTTACACGAACTTCAAAACTCTGCGTACGGATAAAAAACCCGCAGTTACTGCATCGAAAGTGAGGCTGTCGGAGCCAACAGCTGAGGCGTGCAGTGGCTGAATATCGGCGAAACACTTGTCTGAGTTTTAAGTAGTACCTGCGCTGTTAGTATGGCAGCAGCTTACCTACATTACTGGCGGCCTGTCGTCTCTTTACGAGCAGTACGCGATTATCCCACAGGAACTGATGGATTTGGACTCAGTCATTCATACCAACGTCCGGACAGTGTCCATAAGGTTTCATTGAGATTGATTAAATCCATATTAGCGCAATAGTTTCTAAAGGAGGTAAAAAAGCTAGGGATTTCAAAACTAGAGCGGGTACCAAAAAGTGCACGGGGAACGCTGGGAGACCCACTGATGCGCCCTCCCCCCTCTCAGCCGTCATACAGTAGCAGAATATCGATTAAAAAAGTGTCCGGACATTTAGCTAGTGCTCACGCTGTCACCATGGTAACATCATACAACAACATGTAATCTAATACAGTAAGTGGGTTAACTCATGAAGTGCCAACCGAAATTCCGAAATGCGTTTTCGTTTCGGAAATATTAATTAAGTAGGGTTGTAGAATTAATCATCTTGCAATGCAATTCTACAATATTTCAGTTACCTCAGGATTTTGACTTTTGAGCGAACTTCCATTCGGTCGCATGCACAAACTGTACTCTGTAAACAATGACTCTTTGAGTAGCATGGATTCTCCCATTCATTTTCGGTGCCCTTGAAAATTCAATAATATGTCATGGAGAGCATGCATAAAGACATTTATTCTTTTGCTCTTTCGGTAGAAAATGACGTTTTCTTCCAAATATGTACTCAAAGGAAGGGTATGATTCGGTTTTTAAAACGTTTCCTATTCTCGAATAATTTGAACCCGACCTGCCGTTACGTCTGCATTCAGGGTTTCCAAACTACAAGCCGTATCTTTTCTGTGTACAGAAAGCCATACATTTATCTCGATATTAAAAGGAGATTATATGGAGTTCATAAAATTTAGCAGTGTACTTGAGGCATGTTGTTATCTTTGCAAGGCACATTGTTCAATACAGAGACATGACATTTTATGAACAGCCATTTCGCAGCATTAAAAAATCTCATAAGTAGAAACTTTTTAAAACCGAACTATGCTCTTCCTTCGAGTAAAAAATGGAAGAAAACGGAATTTTATACTGAATGAACGCAAGAATAAATATCTTTATGCATGTTTGCCACGAAATATAATCTAATTTTCAGGGCATCGAAAAGCAATGAGAAAAACGCATGCAACGTAAGTAGTCATTTTTTACAGAGTATACTTTTTGCATGCGGCCGGAAAGAAGTTCGTTCGAAAGCCGAAATCCTGAGGCAACAGAAATATTATAAAATTTTGTTGCAGGCTGACTAGTTTTACAACCCTACTTTATTAATCTTTTCGAAGCTAAAACGCATTTCGGAATTCCGGTTGATATTTCATGTGTTAATCCACCCACTGTACATCTCTGGAGTACACACGAATCTACCCTCCAATGAACGGAAACAATATCACCCGGTCATTGACGCCAGCCAACTGAGGAGGAATAAATGACGGCGTGGATAGGAATCGTGTTAAGAGTTATGCTTATGCGGAATTTCCTTCTGCGCCAAAACAGAACACCTTTTTATGCATATAAGTCAGACTGCTTTCAGCTGCCGATATCTTTGCACGCAAAAACCACCGCTCTTCAGAGAGAGCGCTAACTGACACAATATCTAGTGAGAAAATATGTTTGTCAAGACAAAAAAGTACTGCAAGAAGGCGAAACTCAGAGGATTGAAACCGCCCGCCAAAACGCCGTAGTTCGACAAACCCTGATTCCGAAGCAACCTTTAGGTCTTCATATGGACAAAAGGTAATGTCAGTCGCAGTTTCTAGGTGCTGTTCGTTTTTGTTTTGTTTGGATGCAAAAACAAGGGCAGGTATGTTAGCTGCAGAGCCACACAGCGGGCCTGCATGCCAACCCTAGAGGCCTCTCGGGTGTACTGCCAGTTTACTTGCTAGTTAAGGGGTCCCCGACGTTGCGCCGTATTCCGCTCTCAGTAGGACATGACTGTTATACAGTAGGTGGACTAACTCATAAAATGTCAGCAGAAATTCCGAAATGTGTATTTGTTTCGAAAAGATTTATTAAATACGGTTTTAACACTAATCAGCCTGTAGTATAATTCTATAATAATTCAGTTACCTCAAGATTCCGGCTTTCAAAAGAACTTCTTTCCGGTTGCATACAAAAACTACACTCTGAAAAAAATGACTACTTATTTATCCATATTGACCCAACTGTGAAAAACTCGGCGCCTCGGTGGGATTCGAACCCACGCAGTAAGGGGAAGGCTTTAGCGCTAAAGGCTTCGCTAAAGCCTTCCCCTTACTGCGTGGGTTCGAATCCCACCGAGGCGCCGAGTTTTTCACAGTTGGATCAATATGAATTATTCAAAATCTGCCAAAATGTCAATACTTATTTATGATCCATTTTTCTCATTGATTCTCGATGCCACTAAGGGTTCAATTATATTTCACGGAAACATGCATAAAATCATTTCTTCTTCCGCGCATTCGGTAGAAAACTACGTCTTCTTTCAATCTCACACTCGAAGGTAGGGTATTATTCGGTTTTCTAAAACTTTACTAATTCCTGAATAATTTTGAAATTGACCTGCCGTTACACTTGCATTCAGGGTTTCCAAACTACAAGCCATGTAGTTTCTGCGTGTGGAAAACCACATATTTCTCTACGATATTGAGAGGATACCATATCGGGTCCAAAAAATTAAGCATTGGATTTGATCTTTATTGTTAACTTTACAAGCACACTGACAAATCCAGAAACATGAAGTTTCATGAACGGCCATCTCAGGATATTTAAAAGTCTCACAATTAGAAACTTCTTTCAAACCGAATTATGTCCCTCCTTCGAGTATTAAATTGGAAGAAGACGTCATTTTCTACCGAATGAGTGACAGAATGAATAATTTTATTCATGTTTTCCATGGAATCTAATTGAACTTTTAGAGACATCGAAAATCAATGATAAAAATACATGCCAAATAAGTAGTCATTTTTTCTACAGAGTATAATTTTTGTGTGCAGCCGGAAGGAAGTTCGTTCGAAAGCCAGCATCCTGAGCTAACTGAATTATTATAGAATTATACTGCAGACTGATTAGTTTCACAACCCTACTTAACTAATCCCTTCGACAGGAAAACGCATTTCGGTCGACATTTCATGAGTTAGCCCACCAACTGTAAGTAGCCACTATATTATGGCTGGCCTTGTGGCCAGCTCGAGGGCATTAGTGTTAGGGCTAGAATGAGAAGGATTATTGCTAACGCTAGTTATAAAAGAGGCATGTGTTCCTCCCTGGAATTTGGCGCAAGGCTACCTGTAGTACGGGGGCACGTATGCCGTGTATATCCCCGCGCTCTCAACCTCTCTCTCAGGGGCAGTTTAATGTCCAAAGTATGCACGCTCCGATAAGGAACCGGTGTGCCCTGGGTTTTTTTTGAAGTCGATTTGTAGGCTGTACTGACTGAAATCTTCGAAAAAATAATCGGCATGCTGTTGTTCAACCAAGAGATCTGGTTTTCCTGGCGCCGGGTTGAAAACGCATATCGACCGCAGTGGCCGCTGAAAAACAAATCATTATGACACCCGTTTGTGACAAACGGCGATGAAAGCGCTGAACACTCGTCACTTTTGACATTTGTGCACTTTCCACTAAAAAGGATTCGCGCACTTTATTGTTGTGCAACGGCAGTTGATCGTGCTGTTAGCTCGGTTTGTGGAAGTCAGAGAACAGCTCTATCGATTGTTTAAGGGACCGATAATGCCACCTGACTGTCGCTGTTGAAATTGTTTATGGTGTCACCTACGTGTATGGTTTCGGATAGGTGTTGGCGTTTATCAGTTTGTCACCAGGTCTAGGCTCAGGCCTCAGAGTATGGACTTCGAGAGGTCGGTGTCTCGAAGCTGTTCCTAGAGAAAGTTGCCCATTCTGTAAGTTTTGCAATTTTAGACAATCCACAATGCAAATATACATACAGTGCATGACCGATCTCATGTTGGCTGAAATTCTGAAATGCGTTTTCGATTAGGAGGGATTACTTGAGTGGGATTATAATATTGCTCATCATGTGACATAATCCTATAGTATTTCGGACTCGCCAGGATTTCGGCTTTTGAATGCACTTCTTTTCGACCTCATATGGAGACTGTACGCGGTAAACAATGACTGCTTAAGTGGCATGCATTTTTCGCACTGATTTTTGATGGTCTTATAAATGCAAATATATTTTATAGAATAATGAACATAATATGCTTCCGTTTATTCTTTTGGTAGAAAATTACCTTATGTTTACGTTTTATACTAAAGGAAATGGTGTCTTTCGATTTTAAAAAGTTTCTAATTACAAAACGTTTAAGACCGTGAAATGTCCATACGTACAGCACCTCACATGCCCGTTTACCAGCGCCCCTCATGAAACATGCAACATAGTCAGCATCCATTACAAAATTTCAATGAACTTCACATTTTATCTACTTAAAGGCACATAGAAATATATGATTTTTCTTACGCGGATAGCATTTACCTCGTAGAATGGAATTGCTAAATGCTAATGCAACGGTTGATCTGGCTCAAAATAATTCGCTAATTCGTATACTTTTTTAAACCTGAATATACGATTTCTTCGAGTATAAGACGTGAAGATAATGTGATTTTCTACCAAAAGAATAAACGAAAGCGTATTTTGTGCATTTTTCTATAAAGTATATTTGCATTTATAGGACTATCGAAAATCAATGCGAAAAATGCATGCCACATAAGTAGCCATTTTTTATCGAGCGTGGTTTCTGCAGAAGGTAGAAAAGAAGTGCATTCTAAATCCAACGTCCTGACGAGTCCGAAATACTATAGGATTATGTTTCACGATAAAAAAAATATTACAATCCTATCTAAGTAATCCTTCCTAATCAAAAACACATTTCAGAATTTCGGTCAACATTGCATGAGATCGGTCACGCACTGTGTATGTGTCGGCCATTCGTCCACCGACAGGGAATGCGGGCAGATTGATACAAAACTGTTTCGGGATTGTTTGCCTATATTCGCCTAGTCATAACCCTTACCACCAGCTGGGACTGGAAACACAAACATGCGCACAGACGCACCTGGCGCAGTTGGTCCACCGCTGGGGTCTACCAGATGGGTCATAAGCATTGCATCGAATCGAAGTTCATCAGCGCCTCGCCACCTGTCACTCTCTGTCGCTGCACAAACAGGCAAACAACTACCAGGCCGAAGTCGACCACTTCATAATAGCAGCGATGAAGCCCGACAGAAAATGAAGTTAGATTCATACAGTACTGCTTCGGGCTCATTTTACCTTCATCCAGTCAATCATAACCTTGACCAGAAGCTGGGAAGGGGAACTTAAACAGGTGCTGATGGACTTCGGTCCGATTGAGTGCCTATGATCCATCTGTTAGACTCCCTCTGTGGGCCAACGGCGCCATACGCAACTGCAGGTATGAATCACGCAAAACTTGGGTCCTGGGTTTTTGCTTATTTATTATAACGCCCTATAATTGAACACGGGGCCTGTCGTCCCATCGGCTGCGAGTGGAGCCACTAATTGTGATACTGTGAAAGCCAAACTGTCATGCCATATACACAGATATTTTATTAACTAAGCCCTCCTCATCCAACCATACCCAGCATCAGACACTGGTAATTGAGCGACGGGTCCGTTGTCTTTTCGTGCTGCTCGAGAAAACTGACTGTGGTTGAATTTCCTACACCTTCTGGGATGCAAAATGCACTCGTGTTGTTGTTTCTTGGGCCTCTTTCTGGTGCTGATAACGGAAGATAAGCCAGAAATTGTTACCCCAGCCTCTCTTTTCTTTGTTAGCTATCCTCCATCCACCCAGTGTTATCTGATTCTCACAAGGTTTCCTAGTTGCTCCAATGTACTTGTTTGCCTTTCGTTTTCGATTCCGTGTGTCGTGAATTACTTATTTCTTCCAGAAGAGTAGTTAAACCCTTTTGCGCCATTTCAGTACTTACCATACTATGTGTGCTGCAAGGATCTCTGGTTGCATTCTGTTTTACTGTGTCTCAGTTACAACACAAACGCTATGCTTCCTCAATATTTCTGAATGGTTTCTGTTGTCGAACACGTACGCCTGACGTATTTATTCCCTCAAGAATACCTGTCCCTCTCATAAACAACAATAATAAGACAGTTAAATTTACCTTGTTTATGTTCCGAGGAAAGTGATGCGTGAATTTGCAGTAAATCTTTCGGAACAAACCTCTTTAGGCACGGTCAGAAATTTGATAAGAATATTTGAGCTGAAATCCATCAACTGCTGCGGAATAACCGCGTAACAGCCGCGAACCGCCAACAGGCAGCCAGTATTATAGAAGTGAATAATTATTTACCGTACTAACAACAAGGGTGTTAGTTGAAAGCCCAGACACGAGTGTTTCGCCGATCTTCGATCGCTGCCTGACGCAGCTGCGAAGGTTTTGAACGATCAGTGGGTCCCCCAGAGTTCCGGTATTGAACTGCATTACCTATTTCTATACTACTGGCTGCCTTTTGGCGGTTTGTGAAGATTACGCGGTAGTTCCGCAGTAGCTGATGGACTTCAGCTCAAATATTCATATCAAATTTCGGACTGTGTCAGAAAAGGTCTGCTTCGAAAGATTTACTCTAAGATCAGCAAAACAGGCCTGTCTGAGCTTTTAGCTGATACCCGTGTTATTAGTACGGTAAATAATTCCACAATCAAATTTATCTGAGAGGTGGGGTTACATAACTTACCGTTGCTCGTGCACCAAAGCCAAATAGATCGTCCGGATACTTACCATATGCTTATTCGCAAGTGTTTGCATAATCCATCAGACCTAGCACCTGCACAGTCCAGCAGGCGGCAGCATACTGTCGAAAATGAGAGTCCATTTGGGCAGCGGTATAGAGAAGGACCCCACTTAACAGTCAGCAGACTGTGCATCGGGTCATATGGGGTTTTATCTTGGCATACATTTGCAGGCTGTTGCAGAAATTACACTGCCAACAATGATTTCTTCCCACGACCTCACACCTTAACTTAAAATCATTATTTTGTAAAAATTAATTTTTATTTATTGTTTCATTGCTACTCTTATTTCCGTGGTCGTGCAATAGCGTAAGACAACACTTTCGGCATAAATTCAAGCAATTTCTGTGTTTTCTTCCATTTTGTCAGCTTGCTGTCTACCGTACTGCCCCACCCATAAAACTCACTTTGGTAACAATCGGGAGATGTCACCCAAAAAAACCGTTACCTAGAAGTAATACCTCTGACAGTGGACTTAAACGCCTTCAGGCTATATCAGCGGTTGCAGACCTACTTTAACGCGCTACTTGAACTTTCTGCGACGGCCTAACATGGGCTGGTCGAATTAACATCTCAGGAGGTTACATGGACGATGGTCGCTGTTACCCAACCTTCCCCATCGTTGCACAAGTACACCTGAATATACGGCATACATTCGCATTATGGAAGTTTATTACATAACAAAAACACTTTTAAATAGGATAGGTCTGCACGACGGGGGACAGGAACAGTTCCCAGGCACCTGTCAAAGACATGGCATTGAGGCCAAACCAAAGACAATACTGTACTTCGTCTATGTGAGCCCACATAGCTCGACCACATACAGGGCATCCCTCCGGGGAGTTTCCTTTTCAGTCTACTCCAGTATGCCTCAATGACATTGGTGTGCCGTCCGGTGGTAGGGTCCTTGAAGTTCTCTGAGTGGTTAACAGATAAATGTAGATAACCTTATGAGGGAAGACGATGATACGCCATCCACTCGTCCGTTACGACTATAATGCCTTTGGCGACCCATTTTGTAATAACGGAACGGAGAGCGGGCCAAATTCCATCATTCACCTGTTCAAGTAAGGCTTTCTGCCGGCTAGTATCGTACATCCCGACCAGCCACCACACATAAACCCCTATGACCACCTGTGCCGTAAGACAGGCTGCTATGGTTAGGCGGATTTTTGGGTGCCATCTCCCGATTGTTACCCTCCCTTTACCATAAATCACGTATGGCACGATCCACAATCTACTGACAGTTAGGTGGGGTCCTTCTCTGTACCGTTGCCCTCTCCTCCAAAGAAGGAAGACATTAGAGGTTGGAAAAGTGTTGCCTCCAATTGTTACTACTGACAACTTACTGAAAGTTGATTCAACATTTTAAAATTAATCTTTTCAGTTTTCTCTAATGTCTGTTCACCTGCTAGATCACTTAAATGTTAAGTTGTGGCAGTACGTTTAGTTTATGCATGTTGAGTGAGTGGATGTGAGCGTTAGAGAGCGAGAGAGAACGCGTGGGGGGGGGGGGGAAATACGCAACGCCTGAGGTCAGGTCTAGAGGTTGGTACCTCCGCCCACAAACCCAATTAATCGCGTCGAGGTCGCGACCTGGGGCGCCTTTTGAGTCCTTTCTCTCGGAAGGTTTGTTTGGCTTGCACGGCGGACACAAAGGCCAATCTGGACACACCTTAGTGCGACGCCCAAAAAGTAGATAAGGCGTGGTCCTCCTCTTCCCCATCTGTCTCTCAGAGAAGTCGGCACGGTAACCACAAAAAAACTGCCAAAGCAACAGCATGTACGGTCTTCTCCTGCAGGGTCTGTATGATTACGTACATCAACAGTTTGAAGACGACCTCTGGCCCAGGGTCGCCCTCAGGGCCAACTGCGAATATTCTGACTTCAACGAAATCAGATCCTACCCCGAGGACCTCTTTCCGAACTGCGCAAGGGCAATTGCAGAGGAAACCGGCGTCTCCCTGGACGATGTCATGTTTGACGTTGGCATGTTCTTCGTGTGCTTCCTGCTTCGCAGCAAGTATCACAAAATGCTCCGGGTTCTCGGCCGAAACCTGGGCGAGTTCTTCGATGAACTGGACAACCTGCACCGGCATATGCATTTCAAGTTTCCCCAAATGGTGGCACCCTTCTTCACCTGTGCCAGCGAATACGAAACTGGGCTGACCCTTCAGTACGGATCCAGAAGAAAGGGCTATGTTCACTACACTCGTGGCATCGTCACTGGAATCACCAAGATATTTGATCAGTCGGTCGATATCGAGGTTAGTTTCGAATGAAAACAGCTGGCTCGCCTGTTGCATCTAACACACTAGGGTTATTTGGAGTGGCTAGATCGCAGTTGGTAGCCAGGTCCGGCATTGCAGGTGGCTGGGGGTTTGTTTACTGGGACTATTTTGTGGGACTCCATAATCACATGTGACCAATTTGTCTTTCGTTTTACGGCTGACGCTAGGATTAGGGTACCGGTTGACGGTTTCCGATTTCCGGGTCAGGGTTATGCATTTAGGCTTAGGTTTTTGGGTTACGGTTAGGATTTGAGCGTATTATTAGGTTTCAGTATTACGGTTAGGTTTTCCAGCTACGACTATGTCTAAGGGCTACAGTTATGTTTACGATTTCGGTTAGGGTTAGGGTTGCCATTAGGGTTAATCGTTAACGTTTAATGTTGAAGTTAGGGTAAGGGGTAAGGTTGGGATTAGGGTTAGGTTGCCGTCCGCTTCCCATTCCTGGCTACCAACTGCGATCTAACCTTTGGAGTATCCGAAAATGTTGTTCAAAAAAACAAAGTCTACTCACTTGGTTGTTTTCCTATGTTTCATTTGCCCGCGGACGCGTGGTTTATGGTTTAGTAGCGACGATATGATGAAGGACCCCAATTATCTGTCGGTAGATTGTGGATCGTGTGCTGATGTGTGTACTTGCAAAATCTAGTTAAGTACTAATGACTGGCAGTTGAACCCAAGAGCGGAGATACAAAAGACGGAGATTAACTGAGCATGAATTAGGGGATAACGGATATGTCTGCCAGGGAATAAGCTCAGTTGTTCGGCAGTCAGACGCTCCAAAATGGTACCCATGGAACATCCAGTTGTATACCCTATCTGCATGCATTTATCAATTTACTCGAAAGTTACGTTTTTGGCCTCCAATCATCTTCTGCGTTTTCCTGCATTCCGTCAGCTTACTGGCTGGCGTGCTGCCCCAACCTTAAACCCCCTCATTAGCATCATTTCCGCATGACACGATCCACAGTCCACTGACAATTAAGTGGGGTCCTTCATCCTATCGTTGTCGGTTTGAGTTCAACTATTAAACTCCCAGAGTGTGGTTTGAATAGACCTGGTCGATGATAGTCAGAAGTCAGTGATGGTTATCCCGCATGACCCTGGGACTGTCAGTAACCACTCTGTTATACTTTTCGGGCCATCTTTGAATGCATTTATTTCGATACAATGCAAATTATTTCGAGACAAATGAATCATCAAAAATCGTCCGTAATTACAGTGAGTGACCGATATCATGAAATGTTGGCTGAAATTCTGAAACTAGTTTTCTATTAGGAAACATTACTTAGGTGCGGTTTTAGAACGACATAATCCTATAATATTTCGGACTCGGCAGGAAGTCAGCTCTTCAATGCACTGTTTTTCAACCTACTGTAGAAACAGTACTCGTCAAAAAGTGACTACTTAAGTAACATGCCTTTTTCCCATTGATTTTCGACAGGCTTGCAAATTGAAATACACTCTATAGAAACCACGACCAAAATTATGCTTTATTCCAGTCGTTTAATAGAGAATCACGCCAGCTTCATAGTTTATACTTGAAGAAAGAGTATAGTTAGGTTTTAAAAAAGTTTCTAATTGTGCGATTTTTATACTGCATCGTACCTGTCCTTTAACCACTGCACGTCATGATATGTACAAAATAGTCCGCATTCATTGCAAAATTTTATGGATTCTATATGGCATTTTTTTAAAGGCATAGAAGAGTGTGTGAATTTCTTTACGCGGAACGCATGCATCCTGTAGACTGAAATCACTAAGCGCTGATGCAACGACTGATCAGGCTCCAAATTATTGGGGAATTAGAAAACGTTTTTAAAATCTAACTATACTCCTTCTTTAAGTATAAAATATAAAATTGACGTGATTCTCTAGAAACGACTGAAAGAAAGCATAGTTTTAATCATGTTTTTTATAAAATATATTTGAATTCGCAAGACTATCAAAAATCAGTGTGAAAATGCATGCTACGTAAGTAGTCACTTTTTACCGAGTACGGTTTCTACAGGAGATTGTCCAGCAGTGCATTTGAGAGCTGACATTCTGCCGAGTCCGAAATAGTATAGGATTATGCTGCAAGATAATGATTATTTCAACCGCGCCTAGGTAATGCTTCCTAATAAAAAAACTAATTTCAGAATTTCGGTCAATATTTCATGAGATCGGTCACTCACTGTACCCAAAATAAAGCATTTTCGAGGATCGTGAACTCTGTCTTTCAAGTATCAACCATTGCTTACATCATTTTGTAAGATTTCAGGAGAAATGGAATGTCTGTTCACATACATTTCAGCCTTATTTTGTCACTTCTACAGATGCAATGCTCTGTCAAGTCACTGACCCTACAAAAACGCGCATATGTCTCTTGAAATCTGCATTAATTTTTTTCGAAAGGAATCACACTGTCCAACCCTTTGCATTTATGGATAATTTAAAACAAAGGTTTGTTCTGAACCTTAGATTTCTCTCGCTGAAATGTGTAAGGAGAGAATGAATCGAAAAAGTACAGCAATCGCCGGCATTAAAGACTGTGCGACAGTGCTCCCATATTGCTGATTGGCAAAAGCTTAAACAGCCCGTTATGCTTTATTTAAAGGAAGAATTAAAACCCGCTTAATGACACTGCAGTGCTTTGATTGTACCGATCTGAAAAACCCTCTTGTTAGAGATATGACGGAGGCAGGTTGGTAAGTCATCGGTTTAAAAACTACCTGATCGCCTGTTCTATTGCTGCCGCAAAAACGGATGATAGACATCTGCACGACTTCTGCGACAGTTCTATAATATTTCAGTTACCTCAGGATGCCGGCTTTCGAAAGAACTTCCATCCGACTGCATGCAAAAAACTGCACTCTGTAAAAAATGACTACTTAATTAGCATGCATTTTTCAAATTTATTTTCTATGCCCTTAAAAGTTCAACTACATTTCACGTAAAACATGCATGAAAATATTCATTCTTTTAAGCGTTCGGTAGAAAAGTACGTCTTTTTTCAATTATATACTTGGGAAAGGGTATACTTCGCTTTTAAAACATGTCCAATTCCAAAATAATTTTGAATCTGACCTGTCGTTACACTTGCATCCAAGGTTTCCAAACTACAAGCCGCATATTTCCTGCGTAGGGAAAACTCTGCATTTCTCTATGGTATTAAGGGGCGACTATATATGGTTCATAAAATTTGGCAGTAGATTTGAGCCATATTGTCGACTTTACAAGCTACGTTTTTAAATGCAGAGTAATGACTTTTATAAACAAGCATCTCATAGTATTAAAAAATCTCATAGTTAGAAACTTTTTAAAACCGAACTATACCCTTCCTTCGAGTATAAAATTGAGAGAAGATGCAGTATTCTACCGAATTAAAAAAAGAATAAATATTTTCATGCACGTTTTCTATGAAATATAATTGGATTTTTAAGGGCCCTGAAAATCAATGAGAAAAATACATGCTACTTAATCCACCTTTTCGAGACGTAAACGCATTTCGGAATTTCGGTCGACATTTCACGAGTTAGCCCATCTACTGTATATTGATAGCACTCTTGCATTACATCCGCCGTAATTTATCGTCCCTCACTTTTGCCCCGATGGTAGGAGTACGTCAAGCCGACTGGGGGCGGGATCGAGCGCAGTGGCAGATGGAGCTAAGCGATCCGTCTACGCGTGCCACACACACGCCTGTTCTGCGCAAGATAGACCAGGCTTCCACTGAACAAGAGGGCGGTCCGGATCCCACCTTAGGTGAATGTGCCACCTTCAGAAGGCGACATTGCAGCCTTACTCTCCGTCCTGAGAGGGGGACTGAGTTATCCCGTTGGTTAACAGCCTTCCACACCCCGCGATAGTTTGAAAGATCATAAGACTGTTTGTAATGGGGGATATGTGCTGGGCGCCGTGAATACGCAGTCTCCAGGGTCGATCTCACTTTCTTTCCCCCTCTTCCGGACACTAGTCTACTGTCCGGGCTGGTCAGTCATCTGATTGGACGCAGTGGCTGGCAGAAATGAAAAGCCCCTCTGCGCTTGCCACACAACCTGCCTCCCCACGCACATACGCGGAAAACCCGCCAACTGCTCCATGGTATTTGGCCGACGATGCTCTCCGTGTGCTCCACAACAGGGTGAAAGCCGGCACCGCGACTTGAGCGTGATTTCTTTTATAATGATAGTAGATTTGCACAGCATCCAACGTACTCTCTTTCTCTCTCTCTGTCTTCCTCCCCAATATGGATCCGGTGTCAAGACATAATGAAGAAGACCGGTGGCGGGAGAAGGCACTGGTGGCTGGCACGACCGGACCCGCATCTAGGCGTAACACCACACCCTCTGGACCACAATAAACGCTTGACCAGAATTTTAACGAATAGGAACATTGGAGGGGGCGGCAGAGGTCCTAATTTACGCGACTGAGTCTGTCACCACACTCCGATTGTTAGCACCCGTTACAGTAGGTGAACAAACTCATGAAATGTCAACCAAAATTTCGAAATGTGCCCTCGTTTCGAAAAGATCAATTAAGTAGGGTTGTAAAGCTAGTCATCATGCAGCATAAGTCTATGACGGTCCGTCTACCTCAGGGTGTCGGCTTTCGAATTATCTTGTTTCCGACTGCATGTAAAAACTATACTCTGCGAAGATGCCTGCATATGTAGCATGCAATTTTCTGATCAATTTTCGATGCCCTTGGAAATTCAATCATATTTAATGGAAAATGTGCATAAAAATATTCATTTTTTTACTCATTCAGTAGAAAGCAAGGTCTTCTCCCAATTTTATAATCGAAAGAAGAGGATCATCCGGTTTCAAAAACGGTTCTAGTTTTGATATTTCTTAATTCCGTCAAATAGCTGTTCATAAAACGTCATGTGTCTGCATTTACAAGTGTGCCTTGTAAAGTCAACAATATTGCTCGGATCCATTGCTAAATTTTATGAACTCCATATGGTCTCCTCTTAATACCGTAAAGTAGTGTATGGTTTTTTGTACGCGGAAAATATACGGCTTGTAGTTTTGAAACCCTGAATGCAAGTGTATTAGAAAGTGGGTTTCAAAATTATTCGGGGATTAGAAACGTTTTTAAAAACCGAATTATGCTCTTCTTGCGAGTATAAAATTGGAAGAAAAGGTGATTTTCTACCGAATAAGTAAAAAATGAATATTTTATGCACGTTTTCTATGAAATATAATCGAAAATCAATGAGAAAATTGCATGCTAAATATGTAGTCATTTTTTGCAGAGTATAGTTCTTACATGCAGTCGGAAACAAGATAATTGGAAAGCCGACACCCTGAGGTAAATGGATCGTCATAGACTTCTGCTGCATGATGACTAGCTTTACAACCGTACTTAATTGATCTTTTCGAAACGAGGGTGCATTTCGAAATTTTGGTTGACATTTCATGAGTTAGCTCACCTACTGAATAGGTGTACAATCCCGGTAACGCCTGCCAGAATCCAGTGCGGCTCCATATTGACCCAGCCCATCTACCGCGTGGCCCGTTTTGGCGCGAAGGCAACAGCTTATAACTCCCCTCGGATAACCATTCTGAATAACGGGCCTTATGTGTTCTGCCCTCCGGTTTGCTGAAATGAGTCTGGATTTGTCTGAAGAACGTTTTCACACAGCTTCGGTTGTAAGCCACCGGATGTTTACGTTCTGTCTGCTAGGTACGACCCTTTTGACTTTATTGCTTTAAAATTGCACTAAACATCTGATTTCAGGAAATTCTGATTAGCACCGAAATAATCTCCATTTATTGCACCTTGCTTGCTGTCGATCGCACGCTCATTTGGGGGATACAAAATATGCCTCAGCACTTTCAAAGCCCGCATCCGTCTCCGTTGTAGATAGTTCACCAGGCGGAAAGCAGTGCAATATTCCGCCTGCACTACAAGGGTAAGACGAAGTCCGCGCTGGACGACCGATTCCGCCTACCGGCAACAGTATTCTTTGAAATCTTTCCCTTCTGCATCCTGCTGGATCGGACTCTCTGCATCAAGACAGCCGGCAAGGGTGTGCTGCGCGTGGATTCGACACTGTTGAAAAAGAAGTTCTCTGACTGCTTCGTCATTTACTCCCCAATCATCGAGTTTACTTGGGAGAACGTGAGTCAAGCGCTGTTTTTCACATTAATGTCACCTGCCGACTTAAGGCCTTGGTTTTGATTGCAGAGTTCAGTTAATCTCCAGAGGCATATGTTTAGTCCACATACGGTATTGGAGCATTTTTTGATTCAGTCAGTTAACAAATATGCTCGTGCCACAGCTATCTGCAAGCATACAATAATAATCATTTATCTTTGAAATAATTACTAGGTATTTTGGCATATTTTAAAGAATATACATTTTTGAAAAGTCTAACGGCCTCGGTGAGATTCAGACTGGCCGGCAAATCCTGCTTTTGTCGGACGAATTTGAGATATGAGCCCATAACCCACTGGTTAAGGCCTTGGACATCTAACCAATAGGTCGCCGAGGAGTACACTGCCTCGTCCCTTATCGACGGGCAGAGAAGGGGAACATCTTGTGAAGGAAGCGTGATTAAGTGTTGAACTTTTGGAGGAGGAAAATATTGTCGTTGGCCTCCTCGACTTGCCTCTTCTGAACTGTCTTCAGGCTGATAAAGAAGACAAACGGCAAAATAAATCCACTTTAGAATAGAGTGCACTTTGAAAATGTCCATCTTATGCCGAGGAACGCTTTCTAAGTCCCCGTGGCGAGCTCTGCAAACAGCGCAAGTGAGTTCTTATGCCTTCACCAATCTGCTGGCTGATTTAACAACCGCTACTGCGGAAACAAGAAGGGACTGGTCTTGCCTAGGAAACAGTCATTTGGTCTGAACTGTTGACAGTGTTACTGGTAGCAACAAGAAAGTGTCCGCATGAACCTGTAGTAGCATTTTGGCGGACAAGAATGTAAGATCAACTTAAACCACGCACAATAAGTTCGTCTCGCCTAGTCTCAGCAGTCAGGGAGCTGTGAGGAATAGTTCATTCTATGCACAGGGCAGGTTGCCGTAAGTTGGCTGTTTGTTTGCGACAGAGATAAGCGTTCGTTCACGGAGAGTCAGTCGCTGGGTGGTGTTTACGCGGGAGCGAATGTCTGTGTCAGCAGCAGGGGTTGACTGGTTGAGTGTTGGTTGTGTCCTTGGACAAATTAGGGGAGGAATAGGGGGACGCATACTCACAAGGCCTCACGGGTATCAAGCCAGAGCGTTCGACGCGTGTGAGGTGATGAAAGTTTGTGAGGTCAGCCGACAGTCACTGAAGTTGGGCCGGAGGTGTCCCAGTTCTAGCCGGCGGGGGTGGCCGTGTGTCAACAGTTGTCACGGCCATCGTTCGACAAAACGGAGCCGGAGAAAAAGGGGGACTGGAGCGGTTGCTACAGCATCAAACCACAAAGAGAAGAAGAAGAACAACAACAACAACAACACATCGAGGAGAAAAAGCCATTTTAGACTTGTTCTTTAGCAGAACTCAGGAGTTGGACCCGAAACACCCTAACGAAGGAGACAATGCATAAAACTCGGATCCCCGGCAGTTCATAAGCTATGGAAGGAACAGTGAAAAAGCAGTGCAGCACTAAGGAGACAAAGCTGAATGAGGCATACCACCTGCATCATAATTAGTCCTCATTCGGGTTCAATGAATAAGGTCTATTTGTTGCGCCGCAGTTAAACTGCCTTTCGTCTTTAAACGGCGGTGTCTCAATATATTGATGACGCTATTTCATGGATATCAGTTATAAGGTTAGGTTTAGATTACTTTAATACCTGCGGTCTTCATTTTGAAGGATCGCCTTTTATCCGGTGTACGGTGCGTGACCGATCTCATGAACTGTTGGTCGAAATTCTGAAATTCGTTTTCAATTAGGAAGGATTACTTAGATGGGGTTGTAATAATGATCCTCCGAAGGAAAAATCCTATGGTATTTCAGACTTGCCAGGATGTCGGCTTTTGACTGAGCTTCTTTTCGCTCCCTCTGCAGAAACCGCACTCGGTAAAAACTGACTACTTAAGTAGCATGCATTTTTCCTAATGATTTTCGATGGTCTTGTAAATTCAAATATATTCTATTGAAAACATGCAGATAATATGCCTTCTTTTACTTGTTTGGTAGAAGACCACGTTGTCTTTACATTTTATACTGAAAGAAAGGGAACATTTAGGTTTTAAAAAGTTTTCCAATTTCCGAATAATTTTGAGCCTGATCTACCATTGCACTAGCGTTTGGCGATTTCAGTCTGCAAGCTGCACGCTTTCCGTGTAAGGAAAATCCTATATTCCTCTATGCCTTTAAGAAGGTAACACATAGAGTTCCTAAAATTACGCAATGGATACGGACTGTGTTGTGGAGCATTGGTAAACGGACTTGTGCGGTCCTGTATGCATGGTGATCGCACGGTCATAAAAATCGCATAATTAGAAACCTTTTTAAAAACCAAAAGTGCACTTTCTTCGGGTATTAACTATGACGACACTGTAATTTTCTACAAAAGAGTAAAAAAAGCATATTTTGTGTATGTCTTCTATGAAATATATTTGAATTTACAAGACCATCGAAAATCAGTAGGAAAAATTCATGCTACTTAAGTAGTCATTTTTTACAAAGTGCGTTTTCTGCAGGAGGTCAAAAAGGAGCGCATCCAAAAGCCGAAATCCTAATGCGTCCGAAATGTTATTGGTTTGTGCTGCATTCTCATCATTATTGCAACTTCACCTAAGTAATTCTTCCTAATCGAAAACGTATTTCAGAATTTCGGCCAACATCTCATGGAATCAGTCACGCACTCTAGTTCACCGCGACTGAACAAAATCAAAGTACCTTCTTTTTTAAAAATCATGTTACTCCTACCATTACGTCCTCACCTCAACAACCGGCGCCTTCCGGTTCTGGCTCTAGTTTCCCTTAAATCGCTCATAAAACCGTCTAAACAGCGTAAGGTGTATTTCCGAAGCTGTTTATAAAGATTGCTATCATCTTTTCTCTGCGCTAGATTTTGTCACACTGCAACAATGTGTTCGACGTGTTCCATAATGCTCCGGCCGAACAGCAACCAACAGGTACGTCCACCAACCCCGATATACCAGATCAAAACTCTTACAACATTAATTACGGAGTGTTGACTTGCTACCCTTATTAATAATATCGGTTGACTATTTAAAGTCGTAAAAAATATTACGATTCGCATTTCAAAATGATGGAAAATGCGCGGCAAGGAAGCACCTTGCCGATCACAGGGGTAAAGCAAATGATGAGGAATACAACGTTCTAAATCTCTCTATGTAAGCTTTAGTTGAATACATCATGCGCTCGCCTCTCATAGAAGGTTAATCAGGATTCTGAAATGTGCTTTCGGTCAGAAAGGATTATTTAAGTAGTTTTATATGACAAACTGTCATGTAGTACAATTATAAGCCATTTCAGTCACGTCAGGATTCCGGCTTTGGAGCGAGTTTCTTTTGGGCCTCTTTCAAAAATGGCGCTCTATAAAATGACCATTGAAGTTGCATGCATTTCTCTTCAAGACTCCAATACTCTTATAAATTCAAACATATTTTGTAATAAACATATGCAAACATATTCTTTCTGATAATTATTTGGCGGAAGGTTATGTTATCTTCAAATTTTATGCTTAAGGAGAGCGTATATACCGGCGTGGAAAAACTTTGTCATCCCTTAAATAATTTTGAATCTGACCTGTCATGCCGCTTGTATTCAGGGCTTCCAAAACACAAATTGTTTATCTTCTTTGTAAGGAAAATAACAAAGTTATATGCAATAATAATATGTCCTATAACGTTTGTAGAAGTATGCAGCAAGTATAGACAATGCTGTATAATTTACAAAGAGCATTAACAAATGGACGGATACTATGGTTTGCGGGCGAAAATTTCGTGGCCTTAAAAATCCTTTAATCAGAAAATTTTTAACGAACGAAATTCATTTTCGTCAATAATGTTAAAACTTAATATTTTAACAAGTGAAAACGAGAAAAAATCCTTTATGCATAAGTTCGCTGTAAAATATTGTTAAACGTATAAGTTCATCGAAATAAATTCATTTTAAGCAGTCATTTTCTGAAGAGTGTAGTTTTTAAAGAGGCCGGAAAGAAGTTTCTTCAAAAGCCGACATCCCGACGAAACTTAAATAGTTTGTAGTTATGCTGCTCGACAGTTACGCCTACGACCCTGCCTAAAAAGCATTTTTAATCGAAGGCGTATTTTCAGAATTTTTAATAAAATTTCATAAGATATCACCCCTGCTGTAACGTCTTTGAATGGAATTCCTACGGTCACATCCCCAAACGTGCTCCTAATTAATGTCTATGCTATTAATTTTCACCAATCTCCTCCCATCTCTGAACTTAGCGTACTGGCCACGTTTCCGTCACGCTTATTATTCAATACCATACTGCCGGCACAAGTGCTAGCTAAAAGCCCAGACACGTGTTTCGTCGATGGTCCGCCGCTGCATGACACAACTACAAGGGATTCTACTTATCAGAGGGTACACCTGTGTGCTTTTTGTTGCCAGTATGGCATCCGGAAACTCTCATATATACTGCTACCTGTCTGTCGGCAGGTTGATGGATAGTATACAGTTATCCTCCTGTGACTGACGGACTGCGCCCGAAATAATTATGTTAAATTTCGGTTTGCGCCTACAAATCTCACTTAAAATGGTGTTATTCCAAGTCGGTGACTAATTTCTGAGGAAATTAAAAGACAACAAAGCGAAATTTGAAAACATTTCGCATTCTGAAGTTGTCGCAGCGACAGGCTCAAATATTGGGGCCAATAAATGGCGCGAAGCGAAAGCCCCTCCATGCGTCGATCGGATGGGGGGAAGCAGGAACTAAGAGACGAGGCACTGTAAATCATCCATTTTTCAGAATCAACTAATCAGCAAGCGAATCTAGTTCAGTGGTGTCTCGGCTATTTGATTCGACTCCTTATTGCATTGTCGCCGGTGAAATTCCCATTACTGCCCAGCTATTTCTTTCCTAGACCAAAAAAATCTCTCGGGGGATGTGTTAAATAAGGCCAACCGTCTCGCTCTGAATTTGCGCGGACAAATGAAATATATGCGCGACTGGGATTGCATAGCGTACTTGGCATCCCCAAGGCAAGTTATTGACTTAAAATTGGATGCACTTTTCCTATAGATAGCCTTTATACGAGAAACATGCTATTTTTCGAATTTTTCATCGCCTATGCTAACTAAAATCTGTAGTCCCCGAAAAATGTGAAAGCGAACAGGAACCACCTAATCATAACCCTTATCCAAAACGTAGTCCTAAACCTAAGCGTAATCTCCTTGGAAGTAAGCGAGGAGTTCCTGCTCCGAATCCTGCCGTAAAAAAATTTTTCTGAGCTTCTCCTGTGTGAATTAGTTAGTCAAACACAAAATGTAGTTTTTTTTCAAGGAATAAAATTACTCCGAAGAAAACCTCACGGGGTCGTCGCGGTAATAACCAAAATAGTTGGGCCGGAGTTTTCTAATGCACTCGCTTAAAATCAGAACATCAATGGGCACACAGTGCTATTTTTCGTAGTAACTCAACATTCTTTCGGATAAAGAATACAAGATGTGAATCGAGGTAGCTTTATCGGAAATAGATGAGGTCGTCAATAAGGATTGCGTGTATTCATTCTATGTCCTGTAAGAGCTTTTGAAAATTTAACTATTTTTCAGGCTAACGTAGACTTGATGGTTGTTAATTGCTAAGTATAATTTTATGAGTAATTTGATAGCTGAGTTTTTATAGCGTTGGCGTTTCGAGATAAACTGCTGGCACTGCATAACGCAGCCTTCTGCGAAGCTTGCCTTTGTTGGGGGACAAATAATGATTCGGTCGGGTTTCAGGACAGGAGGCTATCACCACTACCATAAATCTTTGGTCTCGTCCTGCTTGAAGACGTGACTGGGTGCCATAGGATAAGTCACGAACTGAGAGCCGCATGTCCACGTCGAGAGCAATCTTCTAGTTTATCCGGCGTAATTGCTTTGACCATAACTGCACCAGATCCGGTAAATGATCTCAGACATTTCCAGTCTTGTGGTGGTTTTTAGGGCTCATTATTTGGTACGGGATAGCTGCCTCTGATCTATGTGCAGCTGCAACTCCAAATGGTGTAAGAAGAGGGTTTACGGTTTTCGTGACCCTCTTCACGTACAAAAGCGTTCGCCAGAATCTGGCCCGGTGCGATTCGGTCTCTCGCCTCGTTTGCGCGTGCACTTGTTGGCAACATTGTGCAAGTAACCAGTCGGCCTGGACATACGTCGAAGGCGTTAAAATCCGGCAACCCTGTATTTTGGTTCATAGCAGTGCGTCTCAACATGTCGATATAGCAGCTTATTTGCGACTGTTCCTGATGATGGGTTCAAATGAAAATCTGAAACGTCAAGCAATCACATTCCCCTTTTCCTCCTATTTTTTCGGTATGTAACAGTATAATGCATTATTCTAAATCCTGTAAAAGCCTTTAAGATTAATCTTGAATCGCTTACCCAGCTCACCTAAGGAATTGCAACCAAGGGCAGATGCCCAACTTGAATCTACATAGATTTAAATAAAACGTCTACTAACAGTAGCAAGTAGCCTTGTTATATACGTCGGCGCAGGTCATGTTGATCTAGTGTGTCAAGATGAGACAAATAGAGACGTTGAGATCAGAGAGCTAACTAAATAATCTACACGTACAGTAAGCTATTTACAAACGAGATGCGCGATGAATGCACGCTTTTAAAAAAATTTAGTTTACTGCAGTGCGTCTCAACATGTCTGTATAGCTTTCTTAAGCAGCTTATTTTCGACTGTCCCCGATGATGGGTTCAAATGAGAATCTGAAATGCCAAGAGATCATATCTCCTTTTCCACTTATTTTTCCGTATGTAACAGTATAATGCATAACTTTGAACCATGTAAAAACCTTTAAGATAAATCCTGAATATTTCTCACAGCTCGCTTAAAGAATCGCAACTAGGATGTACAGACTTCCAACCGGAATCCACAGAGTTTTAAATTGGATGCCTACTAACAGTAACAAATAGTCTTGCTAAATAAGTCTGTGCAATTCATGTTTATCGTATCTATCTAGCTGAAACGAATAGAGGCGTTAGGGTCGGAGAGTTAACTACATAATCTACGCGTACAGTAAGCTATCTACAAATGAGATGCGCGACGAATGCAGACCCTTGAAAAAATTGGGTTCGCACTAACAAACGCGTACACACCCCTCCCTTCGAAATTAAAATGCTTTTCCCCGTGCCCTCTGATATAATCAATCACTTTTGCCTTCCCTACTGCAGGCTGCGAGATGTTAGTGATATGCTAGACGTGGGATTGTCACTGGAAGACCTCAGCCTACATGACAGCAGTCGTCATCGCGTTCTCATTGGCGAACAACAGTCAGCGGAGATGAAGTTGGCATTGCGCGAGGTAAGATTGTTTGTGGTTATCTCTCCCGAGAATAATAATCGGTCAGATGTGGTTAGGTAGCCGTACCTGAAGTAAACAAACTCCAGCCACCCATAATACGGGACTGGTGGTAATGTGGGTTTTAGCAGGTGGGGCGACGCGGAACGCACAAGCGACGAGGTCAAGTAGTTTTATGCAAAAGAAAAGCTATTGGGAAGACGCCGTTGTACTTTGGGTGGTTGAAAAATGGTTGCCCTAACCCCTCACCCTAACCCTAACCTCCAACCTTAACCCCTTGCTCTTACCCTCTCATCCCAACCCCAAGAGTATTGCGTTCATCGGGTGTGGCCACATAAGCAAATCTTACCGAATAATCTTCAAACCCCAGCAACGGGCTGCCTTGTAGTGGTGCTGGAAAAAAGCGAGGTTCAGATCGGTCACGACATGCGTCAATTGAGTCACACAGAGTCCACGCGAGCCATTATCTATCGCCGTGGCGCGCCCAGGCGAACGCTCACGTCGCGCCAGTCACTGCGCTCGATCCAAGAGCCAGATGGCCGATAAGCTTGGACAACCGGCTGGTACACGAGAGAGAGAGAGAGGGAGCGAGGTCAACTCTGATTGGGCGACTTGGTTCTCACAGGACAGAGAATGAGGCTGCGGTGGCTTCCTCTAAAACAGACTTCTATCGAAGTCACACCTAGGTGGGATGTGAGATGTCACCCTTGTAAAAATCCGCTCTAAATCCGCAGTCGTGCATGGCACGCGTAGACGGGTCCCCTAGCCTTGTCGGCCACTGCGTGCAAACCGACCTCCAGTCGTTTTAACCCTCTCTTACCACCGTTTTCTGGCAGGCCAGGAAAGAGCGGGGATGCGGCACCCGCCTTAATAATCCGCTATCACTTTAATTCGATTTATGAATGTCGGGGAAATTTCGAGTTCCAGGTGCATGCATAAGTGAAGAAAAAGAGGGGTCGAGCATCGGAATACTTTGTTTACTGTTCTGAGCTTTCAGACTCGTGCAGGAGTCCATCATTAGAGATAGTAGCAGCATCGGAACAAGCGACAGTTATGGGGCAGTTGCTTTACCCGCAACTGCGTCAGGTCCGGTAAACGACTCCAGATGCTTTTGGCCGTGACAATGGATCTTTTAATCTCATCACCTGACGCCTTATGGTGGCCTACGGTCTGTGTGCAAATCCGACCACGGGTGGTTCGAGAAGGCGAGTAACGGCCTCGGAGACGTTCTTGATGCAGGGGATTGCTCGCTACAATTTAGGGTCGGCACGATTTTGTCCTTTGTCTCGTTTGCGCATTCACCGGTTGACGAAGTTGCGTGGGCAACCATTTTCTCTGAAAACCCGTCGAAGATATTGGAATTCGGCAACTTTGGCTTCCGGTTCACTGCAGTCCCTCTCAACGCGCCGATATAGCGTTGATGATGGGTTCCAGTGAGAATCCGAAACGTCAGGCGAATAAAACCCTTGTTCCGGCGATCGCTTCCACTTTTTATCAACTTGCTCCTGGAACTCGAATCTTCGCTTGTATCGCCTTCATAACTCTGCCCTGACAGGCGGTAGGAATGGTTGAGGGAAGAAAGAGCTGGACGATGCTGCACAAGTCTGTTATCACTATAAAATAATTCATGCACCCTACGTCCAACTTGCTGTGGAGTACACGGTGGACATCTTCGGGATCGACGGCTATCAGATCGATGTCCTGTTAGGCTTTCAGGTATTCCTTTTGTCCGGTCCGCAACTGCTTATCTGTCTTGTTCATAAGCAGCTCTCTCTCTCTCCGTCTTGAATGCACTGAGTAGCCCAGGCTCGACTACATCCTCCGGTAACTCCAGAAGTTTCGGTATCGTGGTTTGATTCGTTTTAGCCAGACGATCACATAAAATAACTGTATGTGTATTACCTTCACCAGATACCTTATTTACTCCAAACAATACCGCATTTATTGCTAATAATTGTTTTTTTATTCATTAGGAGGAGGCGAAAACTAGGGAGTTGGAGGCCATCACACAGCGCGCCGAGGAGGAGACAAAACGGGCGGAGAACTTGCTGTATCGGATGCTTCCGCAGAAAATAGCTGTGGGATTACGTAGAGGTGTTCGACCTGTCGGCATGAGCGAGGTAACAGTAGCGCGACGTCCTGTGCATGCCCACTTGTCCAATCTAAAGTATGCTTTTTCGGGAAGGATGGTATCAAGTAACAGAGCTGAAATGGGCAGCAGCTTGAGTTATCAAGGGGATGAACAAGGCCGCAAGATCCCACATATGTGTAACTTTTGATACATCGTTTAGACTGACTATAAGTTTCCTGTCTCATATAACAATGGAATAACTACAAAGCAGTAGAACCGACAATTGCAAGAAGGCCGCCGGCTAATCGTTATTATGGGCAACGGTATGGAGAAGGACCCCACTTAACTGACGGCAGACTGTGGATCACATCATACGGGATTGGTGATAAAGGGAGTTTTACGGGTAGGGCAGCGTACTAGACAGCAAGCTGACGAAGTGCAGGAAAACAGAAGTTGTTTGGATTTCTCCTGAAAGACTCATCGTACGCTTTTGTGCGACAACGGAAGGCGAAAGCAAATTTCAAAAAATAAAGGAGTTTGAGCAATGGTTCAAAGTCGTGAAAAGTGATTGTTATTGACAGTGTAATGTCTGAAATGGCCTGCAAATGGATGCCAAAATAAAAGGCCCTATGACTTGATGAACAGTCTGCCGTCAGTCAAGTGGGGTCCTTCTTCATATTATGTATTAACCTCTAAATACTCATGTTTCACGTTAAACAAATCAAACTACCGGATGACCTTCTTAGACAGAACCCCCCTAATCCCACGCCTGGATATGGTCCAAACTTTTAAGGGCAACGCCCTGGTTAGAAGTAGTTAAGAAGAACATCAGCTGATAGTCCGGATCAAACCGACAGAACAAGGGGTCCGTGAATCCCTGGAAGAACGTTTACTCTAATAGCGCCCAATGACAGAGGAATGCGGATTTGAGGCTCGATGCGACAAAACATGGTTTTTGGTTAGGACTTACTGGTGAAACCAAAAATTCAGAAATGGTCACATACATTCCCTGTGTCTTTGTCGGAACTCTTTTCAGAATACATATATATGTATCGGATTATTTTTTTCGGAAAGGTGGCCATCTTTATTCCGTTAATTTTCGCTCAGAGTCACAAGGCCATCGTCAGACATAGAGCAAATTGGAAAACAGCGGACTTCCATGCCTCCTCAAAAATTACTACTTATCTGGAGCTTTTGCAAATGAGCAGTCGTCAAATGCTATCATCCTGCTTGGACCGGTCGTCCGTTCTTCCGTTACTCAGATATGTAGGACTTATCAAAGTGCACGCGCTCCAGGAACTTCAGAGCTGAAAACGAAAGCTGATCATACAAAACAAATACCTACAGTGAGGTAGCGATCGCATGAAATGGTAGCCAAAATTCTGAAATTAGTTTTCGATTAGGAAGGACTACTTTGGTGCGGTTGTAATACTGATTTTTTGCGGCATCATGGTATAATAGTTCGGACTCGGCAGGATATTGGCTTTTATATGCACTTCGATTCAATCGTCTGTAGAAACCGCACTTGGTAAAAAATGGCTAATTAAGTAGAATGCATTTTTCACACAGATTTTCAATGATCATATAAAGATAAAATATTTTTTAAAAAATATGTACAAAAATATTTTTTCTTCCACTCGTTTGATAGAGAATAACGTCCTCCTTATATTTTATACTCAAAGGAAAAGTATAATTAGGTTTTCAAAAAGTTTCTAGTTATGATATTTTTTAAGACCGTGCAATGTCTATTCATACAGCATTGTACCTGTCCGTTTACCACTGCTCCTCATGAAATGTACAACATAGTTGTCCCGAACAACTTTGTCTTTTTTCACACTAGTTCTTCTTATTAATCAGCAGGCTCTAAATATTTTTCTTTGATAGTTAAGTCTGTATTTTTCCACTGATAGTTAAATCTGTCATTTTCCAGGAATTCATCTCCAAAATCTAATCGAAAAACCTAACCTTAGTCCACGGATATGTAGTGGAGATGGTAAACTACATAAGCTAAAACCGACTGCCTATTCAAAGATGACAGTTCGAGCGTCCGATCCGGCGATGTCCAACGTGTGCTCTATAGCAAGGTGAAGTAGGCACGGTTGCTTGCGAGTGATTTAGTTCGTGGTGGTAGAAGACTTGCGCTGCATCTACTACGCTCCCTCCTCCCCCCCGCATGAGCTCGGTGCCAAGACATAATCAAGAAGACCGGACGCAGGAGAGGGCGCAAATGGCTGGTAAGGCTGAGCCCGCACCTTGGCGCTCGATTCCATACCCTCTGGTCCACGAAAAACATTTGGTCACGATTTTAACCAACAACAACGACACCACGACGGGTCAGAACGAGGAGGATGACTGGCCAGCCATGATCATGATGTATATAAAATGCGGGAACGCAAGCGCATCTACCGGCAGTGAACCGGGCATCAGAGGGTTTCAAGCTTTTACTAGATTGCGAGGGCAATAGTTTGCTAATCCTGGCATAGCAGACGCTTACAGACCTTTTGACCGAGAAGGGATAAGTTTACATTTACGGACATGCCTCTTAAACAACAATCTGTTCGCATTTAATTTCCACTTATGCCTCGGTTTAGAAAATATTGTTATTAACGCAGCTTCCCCGTCACGGTAGGAGCTAAAAAATCGGCTGCAGGCATTCTTATCTCAAACATATAGAAATTTTGAAAAAAATTTAGTCACGTGTCTGACAAGTAGTGTTAACACAACTTGAAACTTTCTGAGAAAAGCCAGAAGAAAAGCCATTTGGGTAAAATAAAACTCCGCAGTCCAATCGACATGACTGGGGATACTCAGCGTCATAGCAGTCGGCACGATTTCGTGGAGTTTGGATCCGTCTGGTCGAAGACGCGCTCTAAGCGTGCCATCGCTATGGTGATCAATTCCGTGCAGATTGGGAAATGAAATCCACCTAGTAGTCAGCTTGCCTGGTACTTGCTTTATATTCAGAATTTAAAGGCCTTGTTATGACGATCTGTCTCGGTTATACTGTTGTCTTCCAGCAATACACCTACAAAATCCTGGGGCAAGGAGGCATGCAATCAGAATATGTTTAGCACTCAAGTCGTGCTACTTTATTTGTGTAAGTAGCCGTTATTAGGCCAACATCTTCCTCCTGCACCAGTAATGTCTTAGCACTCGGCGGGCCTACGGGCTTTGTCGCTCTAGGATTGTGTCAAGCAGGGTACTAACGCAGACTTTAAAGGTTATGAGCGTCTGATATGCCGTCATTCAACAAACCGCGGCCCTCTCTGCCTGGTATGCGCGGGCAGTTCACTGACACCGTGTCCCCTGCCAGTAGATGCGCTTGCGTCCCCGCTGGGTATACAGGTCGTGACCCACTGCTGTGCTGTCGTTTATTGTGGGCCAGAGAGTATGGTGGTACGCCTAGCTGCAGGTCCGGCTGTGCCAGCCACCTGCGCCTTCTCCCGCCTCTGGTATACATGAATATGTCTTGACACCGGGTCCATGTTTTGGGAGAGGAGGAATGATTGCGGCCGACTCCGCGCAAGTCACCGTGCTTAGTCCCAACTTACTGTGGAGCACACAGTAGACATCGTTGAGCACAACAGTCGGACTGTCCCTGTGTGAGACTACAAATCACCGTGCACTCAAATCACCCCGGGAACCAGGCGCTGCTGACCCCGGCTAGATACCATATCCTTGATGGCTATTTCTGTAAAAGTTCAGCAAAGCCATTGTTGCCTCAGTACCAAAAAGCAGAGATAAACTAACAACAATGGTTTGCAATTTCTCTGAAGTTGAGACGCTGAGTGGGGAGGTTGATTACGCTTGATATGCACGCATGTACAGCTAATACAGATGCTCAGTCTCCCTTATAAGCCTCTCTTTCCGAAGACAAGACTGGATCTGTCATTTATGCAAGTCCTAACAAAACTCACTAAACTAGATGCTTCCCGGAGGGACGTGATTAAGAATTTTACTGGTCATCTGTGTTTAACCCATGAAAAAGAGGCGTCAAGGTGCATCCGGTTGCCCTTTTCTACAGTCCTCGCGTGCGGTGGCATTGTCGCAGATACTCGATAGTGGAATAGTTTTACCATCAAATTCCTTTCCTTAAAGTTGAGGCGTGCTTGACTGACAAAGAGGAAAACTAGGCTAGAAATGGCCCTTCCAGTCCACTCCGCCTTCTCCGGTAGTGCGGCTTCAGTAGAAGGTCCTCTTCTAGTCCTAAGTTGGTCAGAAAATTCATTTCCACATTTTCCTAGAGGGAATGAAACGTCGGCACTACTCTCTGATCCAATTCTCCCGCAAAATCGAATTAAATTATTCAAAACTCTCTACCTCGCGAGCCGTCCAACTCTGCGTTTTATTTGGATTTTGTTTCCTCCATTCTGCAGGAATTTGAAAAGGTTACCATCCTCTTCACTGATATCGTCGGATTCACTGTGATCTGCAGCAAGCTGGAACCCCTCGAAGTGGTCACCATGCTCAGCAATATGTTTGCCAAATTTGACGATTTGACAACGAAGTACGGAGTCTACAAGGTTGAGACTATTGGCGACGCGTATATGATCGCCTCTGGATGTCCGGAACCCACTAAACTGCACGCCGCCTTCGTCGCAGAGGTTTCCTTTGCTCTGAAGGAGACGACAGAACAAATTCCCAATCCATCGGTCACATTGCCGGAAAGTCTAAAAATTCGTATTGGTGAGTTTTGTGTGGTTAATGATGAGCTTTTGTCTGTGTGAAATTAGAGACGATGATTGTATGATTTTTGCTTTCATTGGCGTCCATTCTCACCATGGTGTCGATCCTCGGTATTAGATGATGGTGCATGCGCAGGTGAATCAGACTCACCTGATTAACTGACCTTAGAGGTCACGCAGGTTTTGGCAGGGTCACATGACACTTCGGGCGTCGAAAGCAACGGCGTCCACCGTGTGTTCCACGCAGTGGGCGCAGCACAGATGACTTGTACGGGCATTAAAATATATTACTAGTAGACTTTCGCTGCATCTACCGCACACCATCCTCCCCCCGCAACCGGGCCCGGTGACAAGACAGGGACGGAATAACCGGCGACGTGCTCGAATGCAGTGACTGGCGAGAAAAGAAAGCCCGTCTGCGAGTGCCCTACACACACCTGGCCTGCTCATGATGGACCAGATTTTTGCGCAGACAAAAAAGGTGCGACTTGGGTCCCATCGGAATATGGTTGCCATAGAGGTCACATTAAGCAGGTAAGATTATTGTCTGACTCTCCGACCTGGGAGGAGAACCAAGTTATCCTCTCAGTTGGCAGCCTTCTAAGCTACGAAGTTGTTTCTAACAAGGGTAAAACGAGCAGGAACAACTACTTCTGGCTTATTGGGCAACATCAGCTCTAGACCACGAATGTCTGGGAGTTGAACTTGCTTCCAGCTGATCGTAGCGCTGATTGGTTTAGCAGCATACGCTCTGTCGTCTGTAATCATGCGTACGATATGTCCAAGGAAGTCGAACTGATCCCTGAGAATCCGTCTATTCTGGCATTTCGGATTGTCATTAAAGCCGCCGTCCGTGACCCTATCGAATAATTGACAAAGACGCACAAACTGCACCTGCTACGTGTTTTCACGTCCATTGGTTTGGCGGTGGGTTACGATCGATCGCCTTTAATGATGGGTTTAGGTGGATGTCCAAAACTTCAGAGTAAACTCACGTTTCCAGCGGTCGAGTTGACTTTCTTCGACATCCCACCTAAGGGTCATTTCTTTCGGTTGTGCTAACAATTTTTCTAGTCACAACACACTCCAGGCAGCTCGAAGAAAGCAGGCGTTCGGCCGTCCAGATACACTCACCCATGCACATACTCGGTATCTACACAGATGTCCCAACAATAGCGCCTCGCTAAAAAGTGAGTTACAAAAACGGGCAGAATTACAACAAAGTAAGCCACTTATCGACACCTTTCCTTATGATTGTTCCATAGAACTACGCGGATGCAGTCTGAGATGCAGTAAGTAAAATAGTCAGGCGCCATAGATTCATCGATGGAAGCGGTGCATTGCACCTTCTTTGGGGGCACTTAAGCAGAAAACGTTGTGGGGTACAGAACTGGAGCTCAGCGTCTGCGAGCTGCCCGATTTAGCATCGACCAAGAACGAAGAAGTGGTGCGCACTCCGGCGAAGAATCAAATGTAGGCGTTGTGACACGAAACCTCCTTAAACAGGGATAGTGATCCGGCCATAGTCAAGAAATGTCAACCGGAATTGCGAAATGCGTTTTCGTTCGTTTCAAAATGATTAATTAAATAGCGTTGTAAAAGTGATCATCGTGCAGCATAATTCTATAATAATTCAGTTATCGCAGGATGCCGGCTTCCGAACGAACTTCTTTCCGGCTGCATGCAAAAACTATACTCTGTAAAAAAACGACTACTTAATTAGCATGCATTTTCCCATTGATCTTCGACGCCCCTAAAAATTCAATTAAATTTCATGGAAAACATGCATAAAAATATCCATTCTTTTGCTCACCCGGTAGGAAATGACGTCTTCTTCCAATTTTATCCTCGAAAAAAGGGTATAATTCGGTGATCGTGAGACTTTTTAATACCGTGAGCTGACCGTTCATAAAACGCCATGTCTCTGCATTTACCAATGTGGCTAGTAAAATTAACAATATGGCTCAAATGCACTGCGAAATTTTATGAACCCCATATGGTCTCCTCTTAATACTGTAGAGAAATGTATGGTTTTCCGTATGAGGAAAATATACTGCTTGTAGTTTGGAAACCCTGAATGCAAGTGTAACGGCGGGTCGGGGTTTAACATTACTTGGGAACTAAAAAAGTTTTTGAAAACCGAAGTGTACATTTTCCTCGAGTATGATATTAAAAGAAGACGTTATTTCCTACCGAATGAGCAGAAAAATGAATATATTTAAGCATGTTTTCCATAAAATATAGTTGAATTTTAAGGCGTCGAAAATAAATGAGGAAAATACATGCTGTCTAAGTAATCATTGTTGCAGAGTATAGCTTTTGCATGCAGCCGAAAGGAAGTTCGTTCGGAAGCCGGCATCCTGAGGTAACTGAACTATTATAGATCACCATCATTAGTTTTGCGACACTATTTAATTAATCTTTTCTAAACAGAAGCGCAATTCGGAATTTCGGCTGACATTTCTTGAGTTAGCCCACCTACTGTAAATAAGATCCTTGTTCAAAATTTCTTCCCCGGGCAAGTGGCCGCGATGACCTAAACGAAGGATCCTATCCCGTAACAAATTTCATTTCTCTTCAATGGGCATTAATCGCGCGGATTTCTTCCAAGTCCGAAACGATAACCTAAAGAACCTAAAGGATAACAAAGACATTCTCCGGTTGTAATCCACAGGATCGGCCACTTTTAGAAGGTCAAAAGCTTCCTGGAGGATGGCGAAATTTGTGTTAAATGCCAACCGAACTATGGAAAACGCTGACACGTGAACTTTCTGGGGCGTTACTTACGATGAGATGTCACAGTAAAATGCTCGACAGAAGGAGAAGACTCAAAAAATGGCTATGGCTCCTTTCTACGGCCTTTTCGGGCGTTTTTCTCTAATTCGTTGTATCCACCTTCTAGAGAGATAAGGTAGTCATTTCAAAAATTTATATTTCATGGTTGCAAATACAAATGCCGTGGGTGGTCCGCAGACATCTTTTATACAGAAATCTAATGGGAAAGCTTACGCTTTAATTGATCGTGGTGCCTCATCATCATCATCATCATCATCCTCATCATCGTCATCATCATCATCACCATCTTCCTTCCTCGCACATTCATGTTTCCCAGGATCTAACAGTCGAGATAACTGAAGTGTTCCTGAAGAACGAACATTACGAAACGGAGATTCGACTCGGAAGGGCATTATTTCTTCGAATCGTTGAATTTTACGCTTAAGCCTATTTCGTCCCAAAGCAGAATTATCTGCGAGCAAGTGTAAGGTACGCCAACAGATTAGCTGATATTTGGACTTATACAAAGATGATCCTGTAAACGTTAGAACGCCTTTTGTCCGAATACCGCAGACCAAAATTCTGGATTGGTCATGCTGATCATGTGTACGCCGTCCACCTGCTGGATCAGAAGCTGACATTTAAAAGATGTTCCAATGACAACTTGCCGTGTATGCAGCCTTCCTTGCTGTCTTTGTCGCTAACAGAGATTGGTAACGCCCAAACCTGGGCTATTTATGATGCCAGCAAGCGACAGATGAGTACTGAATTTCAGCAGCAACCATCCAGTCAGTCACAGTTTGATTTGTATAGAGGTTTTCTAATGGCTTGTTGAGTCATGTCATACAGAATCGGGAGTAAAGGCTCTAGACGAATATCCGAAGACAATGTCGACATGAGAACAAACTACAGATAGCTCAGACTTTGGCGAGCGCTCTCGTGAATAGCGAAAGTTCTGGGAACTGTCAACACTCCTATCACAGTACTGGTGATTGAGATTGTATGTAGAACTGGGGAGGCTATTAGATGCCAAGCAAAGAGGTCGAACTGCACACTTCTAACGCGTGAAACATCAGAAGATTGTTACTTAATGTGGAGCAAGTGTGGTACTACGTCTGGACGGGGACTAACTGAAACACGTCGTTCAAGAGGAACGAGGATGACACTAACCTGTATGTCGCGGCACATTCGAAACTGCCCTGACACGAATTTAATGCGGAAAGTCAGAAATCCTTACAGATGGAAACGACCCCGTGAGCTACGAACGGCCTAGACCATGGGTCTCTGGTTCGGAATGGCCTCCTATCAGTCTGTGCAGCGATGGAACTTCGTCTGAGCAGGACAATTAGTCGATCGCATTATAAGCAACTGCGAAAAGCATTGTTACGGAGCAGGAAAACCCCGCAATCTCGCATCGTCTGCCATATCGCGGCAACGAGTACTTCACACCTAACCGGTCAAGCAAGTAGGTATGTTAACACGGCAGGTGAATCTCTCAAACACTGCTTTATTGTTTGTTTGTTTGTTTGTTTGGTAATGGGTTAGAGTGGCGTCTGAAGCCTCAGAATAAACTTCTTGCGCAAGACGGATATTTCGTTCTCTTTTGAACTAACACCTGGATCAGGACCTTCTTTATGCATTTTCCTCATTTTATGTCCTGTTTGGGTGACTTCTGTCCGCCTGGCTTGCTTTCAGGCTGCTATATGAACTTTCGTCCCTGCCCTTGAGAATGGTACTCAGGTCTCCTACTAATGATCGCATCTTGAAGAGTACTCACACAAGGTTACTGACAGCCGGTCTGTCATATTACTTCCATCATCTATACATCTTCAAGCCACCTGTAATACTGGGATGGTGGAAATAGGGTTTACTGGCGTAATGAGGATAAAATGGCAGCAACCAGTAACGAAAATCTCACGAAAATGCCAGTTTGTGTTCCCGCAATTGCCCTGTTCGGGACGATGACAGTATTTAAGGTGTACAACTGCGCACCAATTGGATGTAACTCTGTCAGACAATTAATTAGTTTTCTCCATAAGTATCCCCAAAATTGAACTGATTGAATATACTACATCGCTACTTGTCGCATATGTGGAGACTATTCGGACCTTAAATCCACCGACATGATCATAACTCAGCAAGAATTCGGCTGATTTTTATTATGAGTAACGCAAGTTTCTGAATTTTGGAAAGATTACGATGAGGGTTAGTGCTAGGAAAGAAGACTGCGATTGTTTAGTTAGTTAGCTCCAGTACATTTTATCGAATGCTCAATTTGTTAAACTTTGTCCTGCATATAATAAAAGAGATCCAGAAACTCTAATAGCAAAAGTCACTAGAGTGATTAATAAGTCCACCATCCCAAACAAAGGATGTTGTTAAGTTTGCTGAAAGCTTGTTGGCTCAACGTCGGATTGTTGTTTCACTTCAAGCGCTAAAACCACCACGCGCTAAGGATAAGAGCACTCCAAGTATAGCATGGTGGTGGCACGCGAGGTGGCGTGCGAATCCAAAGTCGTTTGGTCAGGTCTCAAAGTCGCTCCTGTGAACGTACCTTAACATGAACGGCCCATCAGAGATAGAAAAGGCCAAACTACTTTGAGCACATGCAGTGTTGCGCACAGACGTAAAAAAGCACATTCAAAAATCGTCATTCTGGCGTCACTGAAATATCTCTCTGGATTATGCTGCACGATAAGTAATCATACAACCCCGAGTAGGTAGGCCTCCCAAATTGTAAAAGACACGACTGTCACAGTATTTGCCCACCGACGGCGCCCTCCGCGTTTCTTGTTTCAGTACAGCCAAATTTATTGATCGAATTTCTCACTTTCCTAGTCTACAATATGAGACAGTTAAAAAATATTTTTTGTGCAATGGGAAGCCTTTTTAGAATAGTTCACGTCGTTTTCATTCGTCTTCGTACATGATCTTTGAAATGCAGACAAACGCGATAATGTTGGTAGAGGAATAAAGAAATTATGGCAGTTCGACCATCGATCGCGACGATGCCTATCGTACGCCTATCGTATGCTGATCGCCCGTGTTGTCAGAAATCAAAAGGTGGCACTATTTCTACCATTTCATACTAATGGTAAATGAATTTAATACCCCTTGTGCAGGCATTGTCAAAAAGATATTGCATTGTTGTATTTTTACACGGATGACTACCTTAAAGCATCTTGATCACCCTCACGCAACAACCACCGCGAGGTCCTTTTTTTCTGGTTTGGACCTGCAACTTGGTGTGCCAACACACCCCAGATGTTTGGAATTGGGTGTGTCAGGGATATGCATCCCGAGGAAGCCTTCCTGTTGGTCCAGCGCATCTATCGCGTAACCCATTTTGGAGCCCTATGAAAGTGTAGGCATCACACGTTGCGTGTGTGTACTTAAGTGAAAAAGTGCCTTCATTATTTAACTGCTCTCTGCTATGGGATAGCTTTGACCCAGCATGAGCAAAATTATGCAACATCTTCAAATAAGGATCGACGCCACCTAGCATTTAGATAGCAGCAGATGACTATCCACGACTGTCCGATTGTAGTTACCTGAACGTTGTTCATGAGCAGTTGTGATGTCTATGCCTGCGGGAAGACCTCCCGCTGGGTAAGCAGTCGTGTTTGCTTACGCAAATTAGGTTCAGGGTCTCATAAACCGTTGTCCCTCGTAGGTCATGTGTACAGGCCGCACAGTCTCCATCTTCGAAGTCGGCCAGCGCAGGTCGAGAAGTCGGTCTTAGTTGGATGACAAAGAGCATGCGCCTAACATGGAAAGCATCCGTGGCCGACGTTGTTTAAAAGCGCGTGATGGCCATCACATTGACTGGCCAGTCCGCAGTGCGCAAATATACGCAGTAAGAGTAGCCATTTGCGACGAAAAGGCTGAGTGGACAACAGCCGACACGTGTGGGTAGAACAGCCAGTGTGTCCTTGCAACGACGACCACCCCCATCGCGTGAGTGTCAGAAGAGTCTACTTTGTGAACTTCTACCGCCTTCAAAAAGAAGGAGGAGGAGGGGTCGTCCGGCCGTAAATAATATAATCGCTTAGTTCACCAAAATAAATTAACAGTTGGAACAGTAATATTAGCGGTGTAGGCGCCTATCCCCCTCCGTCGGACGCTCGTTCGTTCACTGGCCGAGAGGAAACCTGCCGGATACGAGTTCACTCCGACGTTATTTGCCTGAACGCCTTCCTCTTTTTCCTCGTCAGGTATCCACTCAGGCCCTGTGATGGCCGGCGTCGTCGGTCTGAAGATGCCACGGTATTGTCTGTTCGGTGAAACAGTCACAATCGCCAATACTCTAGAAACAAACGGAGGTGTAAGTTCGTATGCAGTGTTGCAAAAATGCCCTCATTTGCCTCCTAGTAAACGATGTTGCGCGCAAGTCGGCATTGCTAGAACTGCCTTGGCATCCGCATTTTCTCCCTTATCCTACCGATTTTTTGAAACCACACCTCTGATTGCACTTTCTCAAATCTGCCACCTATTAAGTCAATGGGGTTTAAACAAAAATGGAACATTTTAGGTGCGTTAGAAGACCTCCAGCGGCCAAATGAATACTTTACGGCTCATTTGGGCTGACAAAACCTGAACAGTGTGATTATGAGTAACTAGGTGTGGTTTGCTGCTCATAAGCTCCCAGTCCTCCGCAGAGAACCCAGATCCCTTATTTATTCTCAATGTGCTACTACGTGGAAGGCAACGGTGTAGCTTTAGCTAGCCTGTGGGCTGTGTCATGCGTTGGAGATTCGTAGAGGGGATCTTACGGGTGGGGCAACACGCAGGATGAAGAGCAGGTGGGATGCAAAAATACATAGAAAATAAACAAACTTCTGCCGAAAGTCTTATCGTACGCTGTCGTTTGGCAAGTAAAATGAGCGCGATAATTAAAAAATAGGCAAAAAGTAATGTTTGAAAATAACGGACTTTGAATAAACCACCGCTCGTGAGTCTGCATTCAGTCAGGAAGGCAAGGGCATTTCGACCGATGGGAACAGTGGAGGATAAGTGATGCTTACAGTCACACGGAATTTTAGCATGCGTATTGGAGTTGCCAGCTTCGTTGGGCCTACACCCTACCGTTACCGCATAGAATTCTTTGATTTGAGTCTTGCGAAAGTTGCTTATTATATTACACCACAAAGACCGGGAGGCTACTTCTCTCGAGGCCCGTAAGAGCAACATATTCCTGGTTTTGGGCGGATTTGCTTCTTTGCGTATGTCCTTTAACACTGTCGTGAGGGTACCCATTGCGACAGAAAGAAACAACCTTGCTGGACAATGTGTATTCACGGGGCGCGCAAGGGCAGGATTTACGGTAGATGTTCCATCTCGTGAAATGCTAGCTGATATTATCAAATGTGTTTTCGACCAGAAAAGATTACTTGAATAGGATTGTAGCATTAACTATCGCGCAACATAACCGCAAAATATTTCTGTCATGTTGGGATGCTGGCTTTTGAATGAGCTTCGCTTCTTCGCTCTGCAAAAACCACGCTTAGTAAAAGATATCCGCTCCAGAACTGTGAATCTTTCCCCTTGATTTTCGATGACCTGCATTATGAGGTTTAAAAAAAGTTTCTAATTATGCGATTTTTTAAGACCGCGAAATGTCCATTCATATAGCATCGTACCTGGAAGTTTACCACAGCTCCTCATGAAATGTACAACATAGTCCGCATCCGTTGCAAAATTTTATGGACTCTCTATGATGCTTTTTAAAGGCATGGAAAAATATTTAATTTTTTTACGTGGAACTTAGGCACCTTGTAGACTGAAATCACTAGGCGCTAATGCAACGAATGATCAGGCTCCAAATTATTCGGCAATTAAAAAACTTTTTTTTAAACCTGATTATGCTCCTTCTTCGAGTAAAAAATATAAAGAGGACGTAATTCTCTATCATACGACTGAAAAAGTATACTTTTGTTTGTGGTTTCTATAAAATGTATTCGAATTTGCAAGACCATCAAAAGTCAATGGGGAAAGTGCATGCTACTTAAGTACTCATTTTTTACCATGTACGGTTTCTACATGAGATTGAAAAGTAGTGTATTCAAAAGCTGACGTCCTACCGAGTCCGAAATATTATAGGATTATGCAGCAAAAAAATCCGTATCGCAACCGCGCCAAGTAATCCTTCCTAATCGAAAACGCATTTCAGAATTTTAGCCAACATTTCATGAGATCGGCCACTCACTGTATGAATGAGGAGGCACAATTCGGATGCCTGACAATGTGTTCTTTTTTGTTCTGCTAGCCCAATCGAATAAACCTGAGTGAAACCACCTACAAAGAACTGGTCGGCTTTAATGCCTACATTTTCACGCCGCACGACGAGGTGAAAACACCGGTAAGCCCTACTTAATTTGATTTTAAAGTAGGCCTCTTATTTTAAACTGAAACGTCCTCATTGCAGAAACTGGGGACAGGAAGTGCGCAGGCCAGCGATGCAGGAAGTTGAGGGAAAACCTCCCAGCGCGTTTTCATCCGTGACTGCAGCCTGTACACGAAATTTGCAATCATTCGTGGAAGACCTGACTAAGAAGTCAGGGGCAGAATTTTGAGTGAAAACGTGTGTTTTGGCGGAGCTGCGATAGTAAGGCACATAGAACAAAGCATCAAGCTAGTTTCAGGTGTGAAACATGCCGGTTTTCAACGGACAGATTTTCCGGTCGTCTATGCGTACCGATGATAACAAGGGAGGTTTTTATTGGTCATTTCTGGCTTATTAGCCATTGCCAGTCAGCCCTGTCAAACCCCAGATTTGGGGCATGTGATATGTGATCTCGCTTTCTATGGTTATCGAGCGTTAATAATTCTAATGCACTACGACAGTTTGACTGTCGATTTCAATCATATGTCCGCAGAAGAATTCGAGCAGGTACGCTGAACTGCGCGTCAGTTATAGGGGTCTTACGCTGCATCTGCCGCACCTCCCCCCCCATCCAACCTGCACCCGGTCTCCAGAAGACCGGAGACGGGGGAATTTTCAGGCGGCTGACGCGGTCGGAACCGCCCCTAGATGTGCCACCGCACTTGGCCCAGATGCCATGGAGAGAAAGGCCACATTAAGGGGCCATTGCAGCCTGACTCTCAGTCCACCGGTTCTCTACTTCACACGAACACACACTCGGCAGACTGTGAAGTCCCGATTATCCCCTCAGTGAGCAGCCTTCTGAACCAGGGCTTTTAGAGAGCCATGATAGCTTCAAGCGCGTCAGCGTGCTCTAACGCACTATTAGTGAGTCACGGCTCCTTGTCTTGTCGGTTACGATAGGAAATATTAACAAAGATAGAAGAGCGTTCCCCGATCAGGTTACCGGACACCCTCGTCCCGTTCCACCTTGGAGCTTAGTGTGTCGTTTCCATTTCCAAGTTTTAGCCTAAATGCATGCGATTGTCCAAGTATGGCGTGACACAAATTCGGTTATTTTTGCTCTGTTACAGGAAACAGTATCCTCAAATGATATGTGGGGCACTCAGCGTCAAGAAATTTTCCACATTGAACTTTTAGATACTTTCGTCTGAACGGATATTTAGTCTAATATCCACGGATTTATAAGGAGCACTTACGAGCCTAGTCAATTTGGTGGTCTGTAGGGTGTCAGGAAAATCCTCTTTAAAATCGCTATCTGTTGCACTGACTTATGAGCCCTTAATACTAGATTGTTTTTCTCTGAGACCAAATGCGAAGCGAAACAAAGTCTTAGGGTATCCTTCATATTCGACTACTTTTAGAGATCCGGTACGTTTTGTCGTGGCTGCGTGGAGGAAAGCATGACGTCATTTTTAAAACACAAGTCTTAAAAAATGGAATGGAAGGTTATTTTTTCGTAAGGAAGTGGAACTGTTCAGTTCTCAGAAATTAAATTCCCTCATACATAGGATGGTTTTTAAGAAGGGCTAGGTCCCGAAAACTATTCTAGGAGATATACTTGGATCCTTATCGGTAGGGCACAGTTATAAGTACCCTCCTTATTACAATTGGCCCCATGCCAAATTCTAGGGGTTTAGGGCAATTGTTAAGGTTAGGAGGTTAGGGTGTCCTCCCCCCAACCATCATCGACCCCCTCGCCGCCATATTCATCCTCAGCCTTCCTTCCTCCATCATCCCTATCTCGTGTTCTTATCTGATCTCCCTCAACCCTTAATGTTTTGCGAAAGAGACCCTATAAGCGGAGATACGAAGTATGTAGTCGGAAATAAGACGGTATGTAGCCCCACTGTGTTTAATGTCCGTTGTTACCTACTATATATATCCTTCAGTAGGTCCTGATTTTCTCATTATTTCGAGGTCATAGACAGTCTCGTCACATCTTCGTTTGCCTTATTCTTGTCGGTTCCTACCATACAACGAATGCCGTATCGTTTGTCTGGGCCATAAACAGTCCCTCGTCATGTCTTAGTCCTAGTCTATCCAACCTATCCGGCTTTCCTATATTTATCTCCTTTCAGAGCAAAGAAACTCTCAAGACCTACTGGTTGGATGACCGCTGTCCGGAGGACTCAGCCCCGAGAGCCGAGCTGTTGCAAAAGCTGGCAGCAGAACGTGTGGTTCTCGCTGACTGCAATTTGACACACAACTTGGAGTCAGATACCGACGGATGGGAGGGCCTCTTGACCGCACAGGCTTCCTCGGCATTCAGCCAGTCCCGGCGCTCCTCCAACGCCTTAAGCGGAATGTCACTGTAGCTCCCCGCCACCCCCCCCCCCTGCACCGTCAACTTCACTACCCGTAGCAGCAGTAGTGGGCACTCACATAAGTCCCAAAAGAAGCTCTGTGACCCAAATTGTCGCGACTTCCCCCCTCCCCCCTACAACCTACTTATCTTAACATTTTTCCGTAGGCGGAAAAAGCGAAAATAATGAAATTCGCGACAAAATAAAACTGTGCGGAACGACGTCCTGCTTTTTCTTCCCCACCTAGGAATCGCGTAAGAAAAGAGCTTGTTCTGACCGATAGTACACCAGAAGTCGTAAAGGCAGGCCTGTGAGGGAGGACCTACTCTGGAATGACTACGAGAACGACTGCTGGGTGGAAGTCGACACCAGTGTGTATGCGCGGGGGGCTGACTAGCTAATACTCGCGCCAAGGAACTAACAATCAGACAAAACCTACACGATCGTGGTGAGGAGATTGACACTGAAGGTCTTGCCAATAGAGGCGAAGAGACGAGTCCCAGGAAGCAGTCGTGAATAAGGAGACACGATCGCTGGGACAAGAGCTTTATTCGTCTGACGTTTCGGATTCCTGCTCGAACTCATCGTCAGAGACAATAGCAGGTACGAGTGGTTCATGCATAATAGGCTGCAGTATTTATAGGATGCAGTCGCCATGCCACCGTGGCTCCCCCCTTCACCAGGGATCATTGCACTTGGTGTGATGATTGTTTGATGGTAGATATTCGCGCCGTTAATTGCTGCAATTTCATCGGATGCATTGGATGTTGGTGTGATGATTGCTCGGCCATCTAACTCACCGACCCTGGCGTTGGGAACAGTGTTCACCTGTGTGCTCCCCGCATGGCTAAGTACTCCGCCTAGAAGAAGTCTCAGTATGGAAAGGGGGAAGGGAAGGGGAAGGGGAAGGTCGTTGCACTTGTTGACGGACTGGGGGCCAGTGAGCCATGACTCAAGCAGCGCGCGGCTTACACGGTTGTCACCTCTAGCGAGAATTTCGGCCTCGTCGAATTTGAATGTGTGGCCGTATCTCGTCGAATGAGCCGCAACTTGAGAGCTGGCGTCATTTCTCCGCACGGCTGCAGAGTGTCGAACCGCACTGTAGTGAGCCGAAAGACAAGATTGGCGAACGACAATAACTCCGACGGGTCTTCAAAGTCAATGGCTACCCGCGCAACTTCGTAAACCGGAGCATACCCCAAAGGGACGAAATGCCAAACCGCACTGACCCCACATTTTGGCAAGTGCTTCCGTATATGAAGAACGTTTCGGAAGCTGTCGGCCGCCTTCTTTCACCACTTGAGGTTGGAGATGCACACAGACCGGCGACAACTATCAGGAGTCAGATAATGATGTCAAAAGACCCGCTGCCACGGCAAGAAACGCCTGAAGTCGTTTATCGGATCTAGTGCAGCCGCGGACAAAACAACTACGTCGGGGAAACCGGAAGAGAGCTCCGAACGCAAATGGCCGAACACGCTGCAGCCGTGCGGAGAAATGACGCCCCAGCGATCGTGTCTCTTTCTTTAAGAGCGAAGGACTTTATGAGCGAGATGTGTGAACTGAGAAAGAGCAAGCGTCACGGACGGGCGAGTAGAGGGCGCTAACAGCAGGTACACCGCTGCAGGCAGGACCATTATGCAACAACGATGGATGTCGGAGAGGGAAAATGGTCGACGCAGAGAAGCTGTCCGTGATGGCTATCAGAGGCTCTCAAACGTCCAGTACCGACTGTCTGCGTAGCCTGGGCCTGGACCATGTATGTCTGCGGACAAGGCACGGTGACAGTTCAATCACCGTGTGCCCCATGGCAGTGTGAGCGCAGGAAAGGCGACTTCCGCGCAAACTGGTTAAGGGTGATAGTAGGCTTGCACTGCGCCTATCGCACCCTCTCCTCCCCTCCAGCCTGGCTTTGCGTCCGTGACAGAGTCAAGATGACCGGCGGCAGGAGACGGTGCAGGTGGCTGAAGTGGCGTAACCCCCCCCCCACCCCCAGCTAGGCTTACTATTGCAGTCCCTGATGCCATAAGCAAACGACTGGGATTTCATACAAGGAAAAAGCGGAGACGCTTGGATCCACACTGAGTGAGGAGGGGGTCCGAAAAACCGCATTAAGAGACATCGCGGTCTGTCTCTGAGTCCGGCAGTCGGTCTCTCCACACAAACATGCACTGGGCTGACCGCGAAGCCTGAGTTATCTGGTCAGTTGGCAACCTCCTAAGTCACGCTTTTAGCTCACCGTAGTATTCGCATTTGCGTCAGATTATTTATGGTGAGGAAAATACGCTGAGGCTCGGTCTCAATCTCCGCCTCATCCCATTTCCGTGCAGCAGTCGAGTGTCCCAACCGGCCGACTAACTGATGCTGAGATTGGGGAAGGTATCTGACAGAGCTAAGAACAGTCAGTCTGCGCGTGCCTCACACACACACACACACACACACACACACACGATCTGGTCTTCACGCGCACAGCAGGAGTTCACACAAGAGGTGGTAGACTGCTGGGATCTTAAAAGGCACGCTGACAGCCCATTTCGTCAACGATATGGGCCAACTCATGAAATGTCAACCAAAATTCCGAAATGCGGTTTCAGTTCAAAAAGATTAATTAAGTAGGGTTGTAAAACTAAACATCATACAGCAAAATTCTGTAATAATTCAGTTATCTCAAAATGCCGGCTTTCGAAATAATTTCTTTCCAACTGAATGCAAAAGCCATACTCTGCAAAAATGACCACTTAAGTAGTATGCATTCCTTTTATTGATGTTCGATGCCCTTAAAGATTCAATTATACTTCATGGAAAACATGAATAAAAATATTTATTCTTTTGCTTATTTAGTAGAAAATTATGTCTTCTTCCTATTTTATACTAGAAGGAGGGGTATAATTCGGTTTTCAAAAACTTTTCAATTCCCGAATAATTTTGAACCCGACCTGCCGTTACACTCGCATTCAGGGTTTCCAAACTACAAGCCACATATTTTCCGCGTACAGAAAACCATACATTTCTTTATGCCATTAAGAGGAGACCATATATGGTTCATAAGGTTTAGCAATATATTTAAACCATATTGTTGACTTTAAAAGTCACATTGGTGAATGCAGAAACATGACGTTTTATGAACGGTCATCTCACGGTATTAAAAGGTCTCACAATTAGAAACTGTTTTAAAACCGTAGTATACGTTTCTTTCGAGCATACAATTGGAAAAAGACGTCATTTTCTACCGAATGAGCAAGAGAACGAATATTTTGATGCATGTTTGCCATGAAATTTAATTGAGTTCTTACGGGCATCTAAAATCAATGAGAAAAATGCTTGCTAATTTAGTACCCATTTTTTACAGAGTATAGTTTTTGCATGCAGCCGGGTAGCTGACCTATTATAGCATTATGTTGCATGATGATTAGTTTAACAACTCTACTTCATTAACATTTTCAAGGCGAAAATGCATTTCGAAATTTCGGTTGACATTTCATGAGTTAGCCCACCTACTGTAACTACAGACTCGAAGCCGACCAACACTATTCCTCAGTCTGTCTGCACAATCAGCGGACTGAGTCCCAGACCGGTAGTAACTCCCGCAAATTGAAAACGCATGTGAACCCATGAAAGTAAATTGCCTTCAAGTAAAGAGGACTGAGAAATGCCGATGTTATGCGACCATTCTAGGCGACATTTTGAAAGGCCTGTTCGTCGTGCTCAGGTCGTAATTAGCAATAATTCGCAAGTGACGTGGGCACTCATACAGAAAGTGGATTAAATCCAGAGGAGACCAACTGGGTGATAGACATCTCCATAGGAAACACGTATGCAACCCGGCAGCCCAGTCACAAGGATCATGAAGAGATGATGTGGAGGGTGTTACTTATGGAGTTATAGATCTAAGAGGAAGACAGACCGTCCCCGAGAGTCGAAGGCTTCAAAGGGAGTTGACCGAAGTAGAAAAACCTGAAGTGTGCGCAAAAGATGTAGTGCTCAGCGAGGCGGCTTTGCCGATTGCTAGTGATGACCACTACCCCTGCCTCACGAGGTGAGCTCAGCGCGGAACTGTGCTTGGACTTCTGTACACTGAAACGGACTTGTGCTGCATCTGCCTCACTCGCCATCTGCACACACATTCTGTTCCACTGGCAGGGCATATTTAAAACGATTGGGAGTGGACGTTAGTCACAGTGGCTGGCGAGATCAAGCAACCCGTCTACGCGTGCCACACGCCGCCTATCATGCGTGACGGGTATCAGTGAGTGATATCCGTGTGGCATAGGTGAAATCACTATGAAAGCCACGTGAAGAAGGTGCCTTTGCAGCTCAACCCTCGACTCAATGGGGAGACGGACTGCCTCTTCCAAATAACGGGTATCAGCTTGTCATGGTAGTTTGAATGCGCTTTCTGGTTGATTCTGAGGGCAAGCTTTGGGGTTGAACCAAATGAACCAAATTCTCTCTCCCCCTCTCGCTTCCCTCTCTCCTATGCCAGTGGTTTACTCGAGCCAGATAGAGGACTGCAGAAGAGACTGGATGCAGTTCTTGTCGTAACATAAGTCCATGTCAAGCGCGTACTGCATCCACTTACGGCAATAATTAGGGCCTCGGAGTGTATATCGCATGCCACGAGACAGCAGGGTCCCACTGCTGACTTAACACAAGGAGAGCAGAACTCTATTAGTGTGCATCGGGCTTTACTATCATCCAGATGCAGATAGGACGTTGAATCATTAACTAATCCTCACTGTGTAAACTTGAAATAGATCAGTTCGAATTAATTTCCGGGAAAATCAAAAGGCCTCAAGTTCAAAAGTGGACAATCCGCCAGAAAGCACACGAGTAACGCTGGGGAGGGGGGGCATTGGTGGGCCGAACCTCTCGCAGCTGTACCTTGCAGGGGCAGAATATCGGCGAAACACGTGTATGGGCTTTTAGCTAGCGCCTGCGCGGTCAAATATGGTGTATCATGTGACCTGTGGATGAGTAGTGCCCCTCAATCGACGACTGACTGGATACCTGGC